GCAGTAACGGGTCAAATTTAAAACAATGATTAATGTCTTTCTTACGTTCATTGTATAATAAAGTTTTGTAGGCCAGACGCGCATTCCGTCTGTATTTTATTTTATCTGAACGTGCACATGAAATGTATTTTGCCAATTGGTAGAAGTGTTCAATTTGCCTTTTATCAAAATGCTTGGATCATCATTACTGCTTTTCATGGATGTGAACACTGTGTTGTAAGCCGTTCAGACTTTTCATGGATGTGAACACTATGTTGTAAGCCGTTCAGACTTTTCACGGATGTGAACACTATGTTGTAAGCCGTTCAGACTTTTCACGGATGTGAACACTATGTTGTAAGCCGTTCAGACTTTTCACGGATGTGAACACTATGTTGTAAGCCGTTCAGACTTTTCACGGATGTGAACACTATGTTGTAAACCGTTCAGACTTTTTACGGATGTGAACACTGTTTTTGTTGTAAGCCGTTCAGACTTTTCACGGATGTGAACACTATGTTGTAAGCCGTTCAGACTTTTCACGGATGTGAACACTATGTTGTAAGCCGTTCAGACTTTTCACGGATGTGAACACTATGTTGTAAGCCGTTCAGACTTTTCATGGATGTGAACACTATGTTGTAATTTCAGACTTTTCATGGATGTGAACACTATGTTGTAAGTTCAGACTTTTCATGGATGTGAACACTATGTTGTAAGCCGTTCAGACGCACCAAATTTATAAAGTGTTATTTTCATTCTATGGCAGTTTGACGAATAGAATTTAAGATAAAGTCATTAAGGTTTTTAATTTTGGGTTAATAAATAACGTTATCGTTTTTATTCAACAAATAAAATTTACAGTTCTCAACAATGATTTAGACTATAAGTTTAAAATGGTAACAGAAGTGTTAATTCTTGGTCCAGTTTGAATTAATTCTGGTCCAGGACGGGTTCATTCTTCGTTTAACTCTTTTATGCTTTCATAAATGACTTATATTTTAGGTACTCAATAGCATGATTTATAATTATGCTGATGGTAATACAGTAGCCTAGTCTTTATGACAGTAATACGTTGTAAATGCTTTAGTGACTGATAGCTTAGAGCTGATAAACTAGATTTCAGTAAATTTAATTAACACTTATTATAACAAATTCCAGACAACAGCCATTGAGAAAAAGACAAAAAAATATTACCAGACCTTACAAAAAAATCGCTTTAATTGCTTGTGAAGATAATGGTAATGTTCTGCAGTCATATTTCTGAAATATGTAAAAAGCATCAAGACAGATAAATATTATCAAACGGATGGCATAAATGTAGACATAAACTTCAAAAGTAGAACTAAACTTAAAAATTCATTTATCTTCAATTTGTAAAAAAAAAGTTATCAACATCATGATGGTTAAGTGTTCTTAAAAGGAAGGTGGTATAAATAAATAGGCTAACTTTGTTGCTTTATAATATATTTTTGTCATTTGGTCTCTGGTGGATAGTTGGCAATAATATCACTTCTTTTTAATTTTATATAGGTAGTCAACAGAAAGCATTCACTAAGTAATTGTTGTTAAAGGCGAAACATCAGAGTGAAGAAAGAATCTAAGGACCGGATTTATTTCTCTTTTATATAAACGATCTACCTCAAGGCCTTAATACATCAGTCAGACTGTTTAAAACGATAATGAAGTCCAATAAAACATTTACTTTAATAACGACTGCCATAAACTCGAGACCTATTCAAACTTGCAATATGGGAAAGTTTTTTTTAATGGAGTTTTACCCTATAGATTATGCAGCGTCCTCGCTTTCATGAAAAAGCAAAAATCAGTTGTACCATCGAAAGGTGATGTAGATTGGGGTGAACATATAAACATCGTTCGAAACTTTCGATTCTTACATCGAAACCTCAACATCAGCTCAAAAAACTTTAAAAGAGCATTATGAAGACTACAAATGAAATATATGCTACGACACTATTGGCCCCTACCAGCAAAACCACACCGAAGACTGACTGCATGTTACCAACAGACAAAGAAGTATATCAAGCGTCTGCATAATGAAAAAAGAGAATGAAATACGAAGAGGACAATTAAAAAACATAAGTCGAAGGAAAACAGACAATACCATAGCCAAAAAGATAAACGACAAAACAACAGTCTACAAAACAATACATAAAATACTAAAGACTGGGCAATTTGAACCAAACCATAAACTAGGTGTGATATCAGGTGCTCCATAAGGATAAGCAGATCCTGCTCCAATAGTAGTGTTGCTCGTGACAAGAAAAAAATTTGGTGATGACACAATCGAAAAAAAGACGGGATTGTGACTACAAAAATTGAACCTTTCTGTGGTCATCTGTGACACAGATATTTTTTAAATATTAACCAAATAATAACGGAATTAAAAAAAAACTATCGAAGGGATGGTGGAAATAAAAAAAAGTTCAATGACTTTAATTACTAGACTAACTTACATGTAAAATAAATTTGACTTTATCAGTTTGCCTTTAATAGCTACATGAAACGGATGCATCGAATTTGTATGAAGATATCAATTAAATGTGTCCTGTTAAATTTTGTTTTTTAAGGGGAGCTAATTTTTAGTTTTATAAGTGATATAAACATGGAAAACAGACACTGCAATTACCAGATCAGATATGATTTCAGTTTTTATTTCCTGAGATGTCAAATGAGTTATTTGAAAAAAACTTGTCCAACATTTAACATAAATAAAAACAAATGAAGATGTGGGGTATATGACAATGAAACAGCAACTCCACAACACAACACAAACCAAACAAGACCAATACTGTGTCTAAACATAATTAGTATGGTGGGGTTATAAAATGGAAAAATTCCAAGGTGTAAGGTTAAAGTCAATTGCATAAGTGCAACCATTGAAAAGGCATGAATATGATAAGTAAGAACATTTTCTGTGTTAGAAATAGTTTAATCTTTATATCACTGAAGCAGGATATTACTTATTATAGCGAAATTTGTATTGTGTGTAGGGTTTTTGCAAAATAACTTGTCATAATGCATTCAGTAGTTTACAGATGTTTACCTCAACCTTAAGCAAGTAAGAGATCCAATGGGAAGACTATTACCATTACTATTCACTTAAAAAAGTGTTAAAAAGCAAATAGTCTGTTAAAGATCCCATAAATTTTGAATATGAGTGCTCACGCTGAAATGCATCGCCTGCTATACTTATGGGCAGAATTTATATTGTTAGTCTGTAATATGACAGTTTCACCACAAGTATCGCATAAACTTAACATTATCATTCTATAAAATTGAATTCACGGTCAGATGAACCATGTCAGACGGACATGTACATCTTACAATCAATCCATACACCAAATATAGTGGTCCTATTGCTTAAATACCTGAAAAACAGATCAAACCACAAAATCTTCACATTGACCAATGAATCATGAAAATGAGATCAAGGTAATATGAACCCTGCCAGACAGATATGTACACCTTACAATCATTCCATACACTAGATATAGTTGACCTATTTGTTATAGTATCTGAGAAACTGACAAAACCACGAAATCAATGTCAGTGTCATATGAATCCTGCCAGTCATGTACACCTTACAATCGTTCCATACACCAAATATATTTATTCTATTGCCTATAGTATGTGAGAAATAGATCAAACCACCAAAAACTAAACATTGTCCATTGAACCATAAAAATTAGGTCAAGGTAAGATGAAACCTGTCAGTCGAACATGAACACCTTACAATCATTCCATTCGTTAAATATAGTGACCCTATTGCTTACTGTATCTGAGAAAAAGACAAAACCACGAAAACCAAACATTGTCAAATGAACCATGAAAATTAGGTCACCGTCAGATGAAACCTGCCAGTCAGACATGCATGACTTACAATCATTCCATACACCATATGTAGTGGCCCTATGGTTTATAGTGTCTAAGAAAGAAACCTTACCCCCAAAATTTAACATTGTCCAATGAACCATTAAATTGAGGTCAAGGTCAGATGAAACCTGCCACTTGACATGTACACCTTACAATTATTCAATACACCACATATAGTTGACCAATTTCTTATGTATCTGAGATACAGACTTGACCATGTAACTTTAACCTTGATCACTAACCCATGAAATGAGGTCAAGGTTAGGTGAACCCTACCTAATGGACATGTACACATTGCAAGGAACCTAAATTCCAAATATAGTTATCCTACTACTCATAATAAGTGAGTATTTCACTTGACAAAAACTAACTAATTTTTTTTAAGCAGTCAATGAACCATGAAAATGAGGTCATGGACTAAGGACATATGACAGACTGAAACGTCAAAACATAAGTTATTTGCATACAAGGTATAAAGCATCCAGGTCTTCTACCTACTGAAATATAAACCTTTATACAAATGGATTACACTATCTCTATGGATCGATTGTAATCCCTATGTCTTGCATTATGGGACTTCGTCGCAGGGGAGATTAAAATCCCATTTGGCTCTGTGTGCAATCACTGTGCAAGGTTCAAAGAATGTTGAAGGACACATTTTTGCAGTTCCACACATGAGAACAAAAATCAAATCTGTCCAAAACAGGTTTTACACATTATCAATCATTGTGCAAATTTTGAATAATGTTGATTGAAAATTCTTTATGCTAAGCTTAACACAAACAAGGTAACTCCTATGTGTTTTGACCAGAAGAGTCTGGATGATGAACGAAGTGGACCTGTCACCTGACCTTGATTGGCCTATAGAGACATTGGTAAAAAAGGCCTTTAGAAACCAACACATAAAAGTAAATTTGGGCAGATCAATCTAACTTTCATTTGGACTTATCTCTAAATGTATAAAACAAAAGGACTAGTAGTCAGAATTGTTATCAGAATACACAGGATTTGTTCCATTAGAACTTTTTTTTAAAAATCCTTGTCTGATTATCCTTCTAAATAAACTTTCATCCTACTTACATGTAAGATTTTTCTACAATAGTATATTTAGCAACGAAACAAAACTTGGTATATTTTCTTTATTACGCTGTAATATGAAAAGCTCTGTATCACATTTAAATAACAAAATGTAAGGAATACACAAATTGTGTAAAAAGAAATAATACTTAACGTATTTATATACATCATAATACTGGTTATATATTCACTAAATGTTATGGCAAACACAATCAAAAATAATAATTATACTTTTTTCTGATTTGAACCATTATTACAACCTCAACAACACCATTAACAATGAAATCTTCAAATCAACCCTTTTTAAATGAAACCACACATATATCATCAGACCTAGTATATTGAACAAATGAATGTCAGATAACAAATTGTACCTATTTCTAGATGTTGCACTGTAAAAAAAATCAGTTTCATTTTCATTTCTTTCAACATATTTCCTTGTCAATTTCTAAATTACAATTAAAAATGAAAGATAATACACCTTCATGTTATAAAAATTATAAATGTGACAAATATTATTATTGTTTTCTGTTGTTGAATAAGATTTTCTCTAAAAACAATTTTACAATTTCTTGATGTTGATAAGTTCAATGTTTCAGTGAAGATTAGTATAATTAGACTCATACATACAAACTTCATACAAAACTAATTACCTTAGATGAATGAACAGTCACATGTCACATGATTATTAAATCTGAAATTTGCCTTAATGAAAATATGCATTAATTTCTAACATTTTATCTTTCAATTTTTTTTTGTAAAATTACAATTGTTTTGAGCAGTGACACTTTCATCATTTATCATACATAATATTGCATGGCAAAAAGTTTCAAGAAATATTAAATCACAATATTAATCAGCTTTAATGATCATATTTATAACAATTTTTAATGAAATACATAAAAAAAAACAATTTCAATTAAATATCTGTGGACAACTGACATCAGATATTCTAATCGCAGTATGTTTGCATTGTGTCCAATACAGAACAATGAAGGTAGCATTTTTTTTTAATTCATCTTGAAAATGAAATCACATTACCTCTAGATAAAAACATCAAATCTAAATTACTCATATTGTGAGTTTACTCTTTTTTAAAGTTTCAAAGAAAATGAGGTCAATGCCAAATAATTACCCTAAACACAAGGGTAAACATTAAACATTATTGGGCATCTGCGTTTGTCTTATGTCATATTATAATGTTTTTTTTTATTTGGTGTTTGTTTTTATCTTTTAACTTTAACTTTTATAGATTTGGACGATTTAGAGCTTGAAATATGGTATAGACATCTCTTTAATGTTCAAAGCTGTATATTCCCTTCTACATGTAGATGACTTTTGGTCATCTTTGTCCTTGGGTTGCTGTCTCACTGATGAATACCCAACATCTCATTTTATTCATACAAATTTAACAAGCATCATTTGCCTATCATCATTGGCCCATCATGTATTCATAATGAGAAATAGTCTTCATCCATGACTTTTACTTTACTACTAGAACAATAAAGCAAGAGCATGTACTTTATCTCCATGGCTTCTTAACCATACTCTTAAATTTATACAAAAGGCAGAGAGAAGCCAAAATTAAAAAATTACAGTCCTCAATATTTTGAATGGTGAATTTATCTTATAAACAGTTATAAACAAAGGTTGCTGCAAAGAATGGAAGGTCTGGAACCAAGTTGCTGCTAAGAAATTCAAAAGTGGAAAGTGACCTGCTTTCTTAAATTGGCAGAATTCCTGAGCAAACATGTATATATAGTTGGTACAGAATAATAAAAAAATAATAATAGTTAAACTACTAGATAAAATAACTTTTTAAATAGAATTATTGAAATAACTAATATATACATGTTTAATATGTTGGATAAATTAAATTGATTAGACTTGTACATTACTCATTACTTATATAAATGTTATATAATTTTCACTGCAAGCTTAATATCAAAAACAGGTAAATTGCATTTCTATAAACATTGAACATGCATACATCTTAGTCAATATAAATTGAAATATGAAGAATTTAAAAGTTTGATCTACTATATCATGTATCTGTATTTCTCTAATTCTTCGTCAATTTATCCTTTTCTGCACCTATTGTATATAAAAAAATTTAATCAACGTGTGGTTCGTTTGATCTCAGTTCTTCTTTGGTTAAAATCCAATTATGACGTCAAATTTTCTTGTAGTCTGCTTTTTTAACAAAACTCTCGACAATTAAATTTTAAATATATAAAATTACAATCTCCTGACTTGGGACAGGCACATACATACAGAATGTGGCAGGGTTAAACATGTTAGCGGGATCCAAACCCTCCCCCTAGCCTCGCGTTTTAAATTTGAAAATTTAACTGTCTCGAGTGGATAAATATTGTATCACACTCGATGCAGTGGTAGAATCTATATGTATCAGGGATTCTTCATTGTTTCAGTTTCAAAGGCAACCCTGTTTATCCAAACATGTACATGTATGTCAGTTAAAATTCTGCTGACTTTACAATGTGATAGTTAACATCTTTTTACTATGTAAATATTCTATATATAAAAAAGAAAAAAAAAGCTATCAATTACTCTGAAAATACGAAATACAAAGAAAGCCATTACATAATGGTGTTTTCTCTACATGCAATCTGTGTCACTACACTAACTGCCATATATTTTCTATAAACACTAACTTAAAATCATACGTCATACACAAATAGCCTCATAAGACTTTCTACAATCTGCCGATGATCTGTTTAAATCTTCTTTGTATTGTAGTAATTTGTCAAAATGTTTCTCACTTTTAATCATCTCTGTGTTTTTATGAGATTCATAATGGAAATCTGGTCCGGTTGACTCATACCTACAAAAAATATCCATGGAATTGAAATATAGTGTGTACATGTTAAAAAAGCAGACTGCATCTAACAATATGCAGTTTATCTACCTGAAGATTACCTGAACTTCTGGTACTAATGAAACGTGGACCTTCACTGAGATAGCTGTGTCAGTGGAGTAATTGTTAACAGCATGTGCAATTTTGTTGTGGAATAAAAAAAAAAAGCAGATTAAGTGAGTATTATCAGTTTCTAAATGATATTCTATTCAGAGTGGCACAGGAACCTTTTTAGTTGGTTTCTTGTTGCTTAGCCTTTAGTTTTCTGTGTAATTATTTTACTGTTGTTTGTCTGTATATCAATGTTCTTTTAGCAATGATGTCTGTTTTTCTTCAACTTGTGGTTTTTGATTGCTAGGTGGTATCCCTCTTTTTTTGTGAATGTCAACTTCAATTTGATGAAATCATAAACTGATTAACTTCTATCTTTAGCTAATTATCCATTACAAAATGGAAATATATATATATGTATATAAAAACTATATTAATATCAAGATAACATGCAACTTAAAATTAATCTTAAAATTAAGATATACATTGTTTTATACAATAACATGCTTTTTACCAGAATCAGCATATTCATTTTGTGTCAATTTCTGAAAAACAAATAAATTAAAAAAAGTTTTGTTTAAAGAATTCTTGTCTGGTTATTTACATTATTTACATGTAGGTAGTAAAATCAGTCATTGATTAAGATATGACACAATCAGTAATGGCACATGACATGAAATTAAAGTGAGGTAATCTTTGGTTCACGATTACCAGTGAATCCTATACAATACAATTTTTTTCAAAGACTATCACTTTTTGTGGTAAAATATTAAATCCACCAAAATTGAACACAGCCTATGTTTGAGAGATATGGACATTAATAAGATAATTCAAAAACCAAAAATGTGATGAAGGAATGGAAGTTCAACATTAGTGTAAAGGATGTCTATTTATAGTTGCTCATCCTGAAATAATGCCTGTACCAAGTCAGGAATATGACAGTTGTTTTGCATTTGTTTGCTCTTTTGATTTTTGCCATTTTATAAGGGACTTCCGATCTGAATTTTCCTTGGAGTTCGATATTTTTGTTATTTTACTTTTTTCCAATACCAACTTTCAAGGTTATCCAAGGATGACAAACTACTGAATGTCATGAACATTATGAGATAATCTGTGTCTGGCTTTGAAGCCGAAACAGGTAAAAAAAAACCCACACAAATGTGTACTAAAAGAAACTCCTAAATTCAGAGGTAACAAACGCTAGATAAAGTGTAAAATATAGGGAAACATCAGTCTATACGTTCTATTTAGCATTTATTTGCTCTTGAAGTTTTTCAAATATCTTGAATGGTTATTTTTTATTTTGACATTGATAGACTATAAGGAGCTTACCATTTTTTATGTGGTCCCCTTAGTCTCTCCAATTCTTGTAGCCTTTTAAGTTCTAAGTATCTATCTTCCTCAATGCGTAGTCTCTCCATTCTTAGTGATGACAAGTCAGATACATATGGAGATGTGTATAATGGTGATGACTTGCCTGCAACATATAAAATGTATATATAGATGTATAGATTAATATTTCTGTAAGAATAATTCTACACTATTTAGTTATTAAAACAAAAATGGGCTAAAATTGTTATTTAGGGACAGTCTGTCTACATGAATCTATTATTTAGGGACAGTCAGTCTACATGTATCTATTATTTAGGGACAGTCTGTCTACATGTATCTATTACATTGTATTTAGGGACAGTCTGTCTACATGTATCTATTATTTAGGGACAGTCAGTCTACATGTATCTATTATTTAGGGACAGTCTGTCTACATGTATCTATTACATTGTATTTAGGGACAGTCTGTCTACATGTATCTATTATTTAGGGACAGTTTGTCTACATGTATCTATTACATTCTTTCAAAATTTTAGGTTAAAACACTAAAATAGGTAAAAAAAGAATCATTTAAGGGCAATAACTCCAATTAGGAGTCGTTCATTGACAATTTCAGCTATTTGACTTGGTCAATCATAGATCTCAACTAGTTGATCATTTTTGTTGTTAAATTTTTTCTCTGCAATGTATATCTATGATAGTTTACATGATTTATAGTAAAATTTCTAAAGCTATAGAATCAAAGATGCAATGTTAACAAAAACTGTTTAAGAAATATTTGATACTCTATAGTAATTTTAACATGGGTAGGCATTATATTTGTCAATATTTAACACCTCGCTTGGCACAGAGAAATAGAATACCTACCCTTGATATAACGAGCATACGGCATTACATGAAAGAATTATTTCTTAAATAGTTTTTGTTCACATATTGCATTTATTATTCTTCAATAAAGTACTGTAAATTCACAAATTATTGCGGGGTTTTTATTGATGCGAATAATGCGACTGCTGAGTATATAATAAGAACTTGCATTCTTATATCCGATACATACATGTATAACTGTATGCAGATTTTCCTGAAATCGCAATAATTAATCTTGCATTTTAGTCCATTCTACAAAATTCGCGATATTAAATGCACACAATAATTTCTGAATTAACAGTATATAAAGGGTCTTTCTTTACCTTCTATGGTCCAAAAATAGTAAATTTTTACCTTGAATGCTGTTATCCAAAAATATCAAATTTTGAAATGTAATACAGAAATTTTGACAAATACATGTACATGTAATTATATAGTCAAAAATCTTATCTGTAATAATATCTTTTTTCAACTAATTCAACATGAAATTTATGGATTCTGAAGTCGTTTAAAACATGCAAGTTGAAAGAAGTTTTTATTTTTTGGAGGTCATTTGCAGTAAACAGTATTTCCATTGAAACAAAGTTGTTAATATAACAAGAAAGAAAGAACAATTCTTACGTGTTACAGGAGCCTCTGAACCCAATAGGTACATAGAGTTGACACTATCTGGCTCATAGCTAGTCTTTACATATGAATTCGCTGTTCTAGGTCGTGGCTTGTTTTCAAGTTCTTCCAACTTCCTGTCTAAATCACTAAGTTCATAGGAGGCCTGTAATGTCACTGGAAAAAATTTAAGTCCCATTGAATCCTTAGATGACAATGACAAATTTCTTTCATCATAATTAACCCGACTTGAATCTTGAAGAGCAAGGGCAGCACCTATTGTGCCACTGTTCTTATGAGGTGACCTTGATCTTGATGATGCTCCATGTCGTGGCGATAAGAAATATTCCTGACGGTTTAAGTGAACAGGTTTTGTATACCACAATTCCTTACCATCATCAACAGGAAGACCCCCAAAAGATTCTGTGAATAACTTCCGATCACGAATTTTGTCATATTCTTCTTCTAAAGGAGTTTTGTGTCTCAAACTGTATGGCAAGTGATGACCAGAAAATGTTACACTTCTTCTCAATGTATTGTCTACATTTTTGCTAGTATTTTCCAAGCTTTTGGCAAGATCTCCAAGTGACTCCGCATATCTTCTGTCACGGTAATTATCCTCCTGATCTAATATGTGTTGACTTAATCGTGAAGTTGTGTTTGTCAATCGAGAGTTCCTCAAACCTAAGGGTTTTTCACTGAAAGGACAGAGAATTGAATTAAAATAGATTTAAACTTTAAAACATTTATTATCAGGTGGCAGTTACATGTAATATTAGTAAAGTGATCGATATGACTGATGATTGTTGTACTTGAGTCTTATTTGGCATGAAATTATGTTACATTTTATCATTAAGAGTCTTATATCATGTACTCATTTAAAAAGCATGGTGCAGCTTATATGAGCCAACGCACTATTCACTAAATATACATTTTTTTGTACAACTTCAGACCAGATTATACCCATTTAATCTTTAAAAAATCTAAAATGTACAACTATTAACCTTTTAATTCTCATGAGAAATAAGTTTTAGTTGATGAAAGTGATTTCCGGTGATGATATGTGATAATGAAGTGTTCATTTTTTTCAAAATTCTCATACGAAAAAAAAAAATAATGATTTCGATTTGGGCTTGCTTTTTTAATTCATAATTAATTCTACAATTCAAAGTACATTTGTAGCATTTTCTTATATATGTAACCGTTTTCGTTAAGTGACATGTTTATGACCCAACTGACACCTTTGATGATCGTTAATCTGTTTATCATTCGATCTCGAGTTAATAAGTGTCATAACTTCTGATTACAGGTGTGTAACAACTAAAATGTCTTAACTGCATTTTCCTTCAATTGAGACAATTTGTAAGCATGGATGAATCAGCTTATTTCCAAAAGCAATTATTTTATTAAAAATATGATGAATTTTGTTAGTAATGAAAGACGAAAAAAGTGATTGAAAATGAACACCTTATTTTACAATGTCCCACAAATCATTATAAAACAACATATGATTAATATAACAAATATATTTGTTTCTGAAGTCTTCAAATTCGTCACTCGATTTTTTTTTCAGAAAACTGTCCACGAATTTAAGAACCCACGAACATGTAACTTTTGCTGAAACCACGAAAATTGATACCCACGAATAAAAGTACTTTCACAGTATATGGAGCAGTCTGGTGTATCTAAGACTATTGGCTTCACTCTCATAAAACCAATAATCAGATAATATTGTGTTAACAAATTCATGACATACTTTAATTTCATTAAAATCTTCTTTATGTATGGTTTCACCCTTAAGATTTTATGTAATGTGTGTCCAAAATTCTTCTAATGTCCTGTGAGTTCATGCATGCTTTCTAAAAATAGCTTATTTTGAATACAGATAAGATTTTTATACCACGAAATATAGTTCAGTTTGAACCAAACAGACTGCCAAGGATGCAGAGCAAAATTTATTTCATTTTGATAAAAATTTGACTTATTTTTTAAAATGAAATCAATTTTATCTGATGATGTGTTTTTGAGAAATTGGCTAAATATGGTTAATCATGGGATTGCAATTATAAATTTATGCTTGAACTTCAATTTAAAAAATTTTTGTCCCTTCGGAAGACTAAAACAATTACAAATACAATTCTTTTTGTGTAATATTTGTGTAATATTGCGGATATGACGAAATCAGGTAATGCATGATATCACCGACCCCGCAGAAACAGGGGATTCCACTGTATATATATATATATATATATATATATATATATATATATATGGTGTACTAATTTTTGCACCTTTTGTATGTGGTATACAATCTTTTCCGCAAGTTTATTGTTTTCTGTTTGGTATTGAATTAATAATTAAGATCCATTTTGTAACATCTTATGATCCGTTTATTTGGCAATCACCAATGGCAGTCAGCAGGGTTTTAAGAACATCTGTTGTTCGACCTGTTAGTCAAATGCATTTTGTTAAAATATACTTTTTCACTTTTTTGGTCTTTTGGAAAATGTTGTATGTGCTGTATTTAGACCCCTCTATCCAGAAATTTGTTTTGCATGCACACGAATAAAAATTGTGGTTTTTATCCAACGCAATCATAGGTTCGAACTTTGTTTTCAATTTAGACTTGTATATATATATGCCTACTCTAATAAATTGTGATTCCTTGTGAATGTTTTTAGTATAAAAATTGATAATTACCACATGAATCACTGTTTACATTTTGCTGGGAAGAATTTTTCTGAGTTTTCTTTATTTTGATTGGTTAGCATATTACCTGGATATCATATAGGATGCTCATATACATATATTTGTTTCAGGATTTGCTGCACATTCGAAATTTATTGTTGAAAAATTATTTACCTACCCATATGTCGCTTGCAACTGGGTTAAATTAACTTAATTTTTATTTTATGCATTCATCAACAAAGTATTGCTTACTTAAGTGTGGCTAGCTCAAATGTGTAATTTGATCTGTTTGGCTTATATTATAGATTTATTTCTGATGACTTGAAGCTTACTTGCCCTTTCCCCAGATCATTAAAACAATAATTTGGACCCTTTGGATTAAGTTAAAAAGGGTAATGCAAAACAAAAATGGCTATGGCTAAAACAAATTTTCTACAATTTTCAAATACAGCAGATATTTAACCATGATGGGTGCCAGAAATTAACAAATGCAGAGACTATTTGACGATGCAGTGTAACATCATCAAACAGGCCATGGAGATCCCTGGTCACCTACATCAGAAGATTTCAAGGCTGCACTATCTGTTTGTAGATGGAAAGATTGTACATAGCATTGTAACCGGAGAGCATAATTCTTATCATTATAAAATGTACGTACTCAACGGTAGAAGACAATATTCTTTACAATAATAATTTAATGGTCGAACAAGTGTTGATAATTCAAAACATCCAAGTATCATGTACTTCCATAGCTCAACCGCTTATGGCTGTAGATAGTCATTATACTAGAATGATGATATCTTCGACACTTCCCTGGCTAGGTAACTCTTCTAACCGTTGGTTTTTTATTGTCAACCGCTTATGGCTGGCTAAGTATCTACTTCATATACTAATGGAAGCAATCCCATCACAGTATAAAAGGGTTGATCCAGAATTTTTAAGGGGGAGCGTAATTCCATAAACCAGAGGATTCCTTGCCAAAATATTATATATATTTTTTAAATTATCAAAGTGTAAGCCGTGCAAAACGTCATAATTATTTGGACTAGGGCACCACCATATACTATAATATACACAGCCCTTCTTCTGAATCTGCTGTTTAACCTGAATATATTTGTAATGTTTTATTCAGGGGCGTAGCTGCCGTTAGGCACTTTAGGCACGTGCCTACACATTTTTTTTCACAAATGTTTTTGTTTTTACTAAAAAAAGAATAATGACAATGTTATCTGTAGATGCACGTGAAGTCGTCAAAACTCTTTAATTATCAAATGTCATTTGTACACTAGTCTATCATCCTTAGTGAATGGAGTATTGGATAGAATTGTATGTACATTATATTATAACTTTGGTTCAGATCATTTCACTTCCATCAACAAATACATGAATGAACCTCAACATGGTCATGCTCAAAAACCTGACATTTCATTCTTAGATGCATGATTTTTTTTTATTAGTTGTTGTTGGCTTTCAACTAGCTTTCCACTTGGTCTTCATCCCACCTACAATAAAACCCTTGCCAAGTGGGGCGTCTGTTTGGCTGTTCGGGATGTATAAATACGCAGTCACGTCTGGACAGAATGAGGACGTTAAATCTGATGCCTAGTGTAGAGAGAATGCCACGATCTCAGCATGTTAAGAACACTTGCAACAACTCATTGATTGGTCCGTAGGTGGTCTGTCCCTATCCACTAAACCCTCATGGTCATATGTCATTTCCAAATTTCCAGACCTTCATCCTGGACGACCCCTAGTACAGGACCAACCTAAGTAATTGTAAATTTGTTTTTGTCCTGAACATGCATGAACTATTTGCCACTGGACGTTTTGCAATCAATTAATCAATCAGCTAGCTTTCAGCAACTTCGAGTACTCTCAGGTCAACGTGTATTGACCATAATTATTCAAATTCCTTAGGTATGAATTTTACAGTACAGGATATCAGAAAATATGAATTTCTGGAATTTTGTTAGATAGTATGAACAGAACCGAACTTCTGGCTTCATTAGGCATCGACTGTGTGTTTGTATGTGTATGTGTGTCCGAGGAGAGTCAAGGTTTAAGAATCAAAAGATGAATGGTCGATGTCTAGCTCAAAAGATAGTATTATTATATAGTAGTCTCAGTATTTAGGTGCCTATTTTTTTTATGAAGGATCTTCAAAATGTACTATCAACTGACGTATATATATCAATTATCCTCAATCAGAAAGGAATAGATATGAAAATACTAAATAGGATGTACTGCCTAATTAAAGGGCTACGCTGATCTACGGTGGGCAATTATAATGCATATTCTATTTTTTTTTTAGATTTCCGATTGTACTGCGTCAATTTATCAGTCAGATGTTATTGTAAAATTATTTATAATTCAATCTTTTTTTCATGTATATCATGATAAAATTATCAGTAAATTTTATGTTTTTTTGTACACAGACCCCCTGCCGCAATTTGTGCCTATAAATAGGCACAAATATACAGTATATTGGATACCTAGCTACGCCCCTGTTATTTGTTAGTTATATCTACTTGGGATGAAGTATTATCAAACCAAACCAGTTCGACAAAAAACATTAGTTAACAGTCGAAGGCCTGTCAAGACTGGTGGCGATTGATACTTAGATGTTTTGAATTATCTCCACTTGTTCGACCATTAAATTATTATTGTAAAGAACATTGTCTTCTACCGTTGAGTACGTATATTCAGTTTAATTTGTAAAAAGACCTGTATGAAGCTCTCTGTCCGTGCAAAACAAAATCTTCATCGGGATTTAGGAATTGTCGGCTTCTTGTAAATTCCCGCATGCTGAAATTCTTTTGTTTACGGAAGTAGATAGTTGGATACGACGCATGCGAAGTGCAAAGCAATGCATCTGAATCTCTGAACCGCTCTAAGCAACCGATTATTTGAACGAACAGACAAGTTTCAAGCGCACCTAGAATTCCGGTGTGGACATGCACATTTCCGTTCAACGATTTTGAAAGCGAAAGAAGACCTGCAATAAACACTTATCACTCAAATAAATCAATGGCAGACCCCCAAAGATTTGATGGCATGTTGCTTGCTATGGCACAGCAGTGCGATGGTGGAATACAGGAGGTACTGCAATTCATTTTACACAAATATTGGGTAACATGAAGAAATTTGTGCTTGGAAGTAAGATCTGAAATGGTCTAGAATGTTCTTCCTGGCTATCTCTCACCCTTTCTCTCTCTCTCTCTGTTTAATGTTTATATATATATATGTAACCAGAGAGCATGATTTTCATTCATATCGCCTGTCTCCACCTGGACTCAAACCCTGTACCACTGTGTTACAAGACAGCGCGTTAATCGACTTAGCTAAATAAGTACTTCCCTAGCTAATCCGCTTACAGCTGGCTAAGTAACTACTATCATACCAAGGGAGGCAATCCCGTAACAATTCCTCCACAAGAGTCAATATACTAGAATGATGATATCTGCAACACTTCCCTGGCTATGTAATTCTTCTAACTGTTGGTTTTTTATTGTTGGGCGCCAAATGTAACTGGAGAGCATGATTTTCATTACAAAATCGCCTGTCTCCACCGGGACTCGAACCCAGGACCTCTGTTACAAGGCAGCGCGTTAACTGACTGAGCTAAAGAAGTCGTATTAAAATAGAAAAATCGACTGAAAATTACCATTTTTCAGTAAGGGTGGGTTCAAACCCACCAGAAAATATGTATACCACCTCCCATGCCATCCGCCCCCAAATCTCACTACATAGTTTAATAGATCAGCATCAGTTACAGCATCAACAGTCAACTGATTTGCATATAATTTGCATATGTTTGCAAATTTTCGAAAATGCCTGGGGGCTGATTTTCCAGAAATCTCTTGGGGTGGAATGAATTAAACTTTAAAATTTTTTTTTCTGATTTTCAATCTTAGAAGAGTGTTTCGGTCAGTTTTACACCCCAAAACTCCCCTGAAACTCAACGGAAGTCAAATTTGACGATTTTGATAAAATATTTTACATGAAATTTTAATATAAAGATATGTGTCATCTAATGAAAATTAAATATCTAAATATTCGTCAAAGGCACACCTTTTTACCGTCCACCTTTATATTATTATTATTATAAAATTCATAAAATTATTTATTTATTTATTTATTTATTTATTTATTATAATTCATATATATATTTTTGTATCCCTTATACATGTACATGTAAATATTTTTTTAATTGGGGCCGGATCGACATGAAAGCAGCAAAATTATCATCTTGTACACCAGACAAATTAAAATAAACATTTGACCTGCAAGGTATCTGCTACTTGCCATAATATATTATGTACTGTGTTACAACCTCGTGATAAATGATAAATGCAATATTATGCTAGACAAACTAGCTCCATGGAGCTTTCATCTATCCAGGTAAAGTCTGACACAGACAAGAAACTTTTGCAGCTCATCATACATCTTGGTCAATCACATCTAATTGTGCTGCATAAAAATTGTTTTGTTTCTCAGATTGTTCCATACAAAAAATGGAATAGTTTTGTTCATTCGGCCAAGTACAGCCCTGTATTCATGATATAATTTCAATGCTAAGTTTAGTAGCTATGTAGTACTGTGGATTCTTATTATGCCCCAGCTAGGGGCATTATGTTTTTCGGTCTGTGCGTCTGTTCGTTCGTCTGTCTGTCCCGCTTCAGATTAAAGTTTTTGATCAAGGTAGTTTTTGATGAAGTCCAATCAACTTGAAACTTAGTACACATGTTCCCTATGATATGATCTTTCTAATTTTAATGCCAAATTAGAGTTTTGACCCCAATTTCACTGTCCACTGAACATAGAAAATGATAGTGCGAGTGCGGCATCCGTGTACTATGGACACATTCTTGTTTTTCATGGAGTACCAATTTTTCATGGATAGCTAGAGTTAAGGCGATTCACGAAATTAAATGTTCAACAAAGTACAATTTTCTGTAGGCTTTAATGCAGACTTTGGCTAATACATTAAAATCAAATATCCACCATTATACAATTTTTCCACAATTCATGAAAAAATAAATAAATCCACAGCAAGTTAATTAAACTTTTTATGACAACTAGAGTTTTGGCATTGGAAAAAAATGAGTTCTAACTCTTATTTGTTATGATTTTTGGCTATATCCTTTAACAATGAGAAAAACCCATACCGCATTGTCACCTATATAAGGCCTTTAAATGACAAATATAAAACAATTCAAAGGAGAAAACTAATAGCCTGATTTAGCTCAGTTATTATGATTTTCCAAAAACTGTTCATAAAATATTGACTGTTTGAGCAATATTATTTAGTGTGTAACTGTGTACTGTACATATATGTTTTTATATTTGTTTTTTCATATTTTGCAGTTGATTAGTGCCTTCTTTAGTTTCTTATTAAGAAAGACAGACTTTTACACCGGAGGACTGAGAGGAGATGGTGAAAAGGTAAGACTTTAGATTTTTCATATAAATAATCCTTTTTTTCTAAGATAAGAAAGGAATTAAATAAGTATTTCTCTTTGCGTTTTGCTGAAAGTTATATTTGGGATTGATGAACAACTTATCTTTTGAAATAGAGAGGTGAAAAATACTAAAGGAATATTAAAAGTCACAAGTCAAAAACAAAATGACAACGCAATGGTAAAAAATGAATAAGGACAAAATGAAAAACAACAGTACACAAAACACAACAGAGAAAATTAAAGACCCAGGGCAATAAGAAGTGTTGAAAACTCATGAAATAATTTAAATGTGCACATGATACTTTGCTGCTACAAAATGTCAATTTTTGCTACTGGACCTCATTTTGTGAGCTATTTACTAAGTGAATATTGCCTCAGTAGATGTCCTAGATTAGCCTTCAGATCATGACATAACAATATATAGATCTGCCATTAGGACAGCTTGTAAGTTAACATAAATGCTACAGTGTGTAAGAGTAATTATCTGGGAAAGATTTCCTTTTGAACCCCCTTATAGTGATTTCTTACCATTATTTGTGTTAGTATAATTAAATTGATGTCTAAATATAACATTCATCATGGACATAATTTATCAACATTGTTACTAGCTGCCTTATAAATGATCTTCTCACAAAAACAAAAATACAGAGGTCATAATTTTTATTTTTTTTTACAAAAACATATACATATACATGATATGTAGCATAAGTTGTTTTACACAGTTCTTTGTCTTGAAATATTTTTTTAAAAGTTGAATACACATGTTTTCAGATTTTAAGTCTATCATTCTTTTATTTCAGATGATTATGAATTCTTTTAAACGTTACCAGGATATGGCAGAACAAAAAATAGCAGAGATAAAAAAAGAAAAAGATGAAGAGGAACAAAAGAGGAAAGAGAGAATTGCCAAGAAAAAACAAAAGGAAGAGGAAGAGAGAAAGAAAATGGAAGAAGAGCCAAAAATTAAAGAAATTACAGATGAAGAAGCTGAAAAAATACAACAAGAGATAGAACAGGTGCTTAACATGGTCTATAAAGATGTATTAAAAGTATTAATTGATGGTTCTGTGGATTCAATTGTTTTCGTGGGTACCAATTTTCGTGGATTATGGAAGAATGGTCTTTTCCAGGATATATGATTTCGTGGCTTTGCCAAAGTCTGCATACTAGAGTATAGAAAATGGGTATTTTGTTGAACATTTAAATGCGTCCTTTACCTTTGCAAACAAAATCAACAATAATTGGCACTCCGGCTTCCTCCACCAATAAAAACTGGCCGCCACGAAATAGCCCAAAAGCGGTGCTTAAAAGTGGCGTTAAAACACCAAAAATCAGAATCAAATCAACAATAATTGGTATCCTTAAAATAATAATGACTCCACAGTATTACATGTATACTGAAATTTTAATGGATTGTTCATACTAGACTTCAGTCTTATGATTTAAACCTTTAGTTCACTGTTGTGCACATATCTTTGTTCTATCCTTGAAGTGACAGTTGAATTTGAAAATCTTCATATCTTTGGTTTAAGGTTCTTCGGCAAATTCTTAGTTAGATATTTTATCTAAGACCTAATAAATTAAACTCTTCAATAAGACTTATTGCAAACTCTGAATTTAATTTGTAAATTGTTTAACAGCAAAAAGATGATAAAAAAGAAGAAAAACCTGCAGAGGAAGATAAGAAAGAAGAAACAAAAGAGGAAGAGAAAAAGGTAAGATTATTAAATATGAGACCTGCCATCTATTATCAGGTGTGTTCATTATAGAGCTATACACTAGATTATGTATGCAAAAGAAAAGTTGTACATGTTATATAGCAGAAACAAAGAACTATTGGATTTAAAAGATTCACATTTAACCACAGTTATCATATGTGATAAAAATTTGCTTCAATAATTGAAAACTAATGAAATGCCCCACCAGCGTGTTATCACATTCTTGACAAACTGAGCCGGTATCTTTTATTTCTTTGAGAACTCAGTAGGGATAGGAATGTGCTAATTTCTCATTTGAGTTCCTGTCAATATAATACATAATAAACACATCACATAATGCACTAGTCTTGTCTAATATATTAAGTCACGTAGACCGAAAGCTGACCGCGGGATTTATGCCATACCTGTCGTTATTGTAGTGATAAGTGAACACAACAGGGGGTCCAGTTTAACAGCCAATCAGAAGACATGTTACATCCAAAATTAAATTATTTAGGGTTAGCAGCCATTTGCTTTAGTTGTTTTTGTCAGTCATATTTCATCATTAAGCTAGCAGTTGAACATAAAAACATTGCTGTCAAAAACAAAATGGGTGAAAATATAATTTTTTAATAATTAAAACAATCAATGCTTAAAACAGAATTCGGAAAATGAATGCAGATGTCCCTGATTGGCTGAATAGCTACTGGCTCTTCATGAAATAAATTTGTAGCCACAGTCAAGTGGACAGCTTATTTCGAATCCTGCCTCATGTTATCTTTTTGGGTAAAGGTTATGCTTTGTATTATTTCTTAGCAGGTTTGCATATGAATATAAGTAGATGATGGTAATATGCCAATAAAACAGCAACCCATCAATACAAAAAGCCAAAATATGTCTAACGGGCCATATGCAGTCATCAACAACAGACAAGTGTTTATGCAATATGTGAAGTTCGAAGTCTAGAAATGTTGTGAATGAATTAAACAGAGACTGTGAAAGATCGGCCATTAAAACCAAAAACATTAAGATATAACTTAAGACAATCACTGACTTGAGCCAGGTACATGTCGATCTCATTGCCTATTTATATTAGATCAGTAGAAAAGCAAAAGGTACATAACAAAAAACATGCAATACAAATTAGTATGGGAAAGCACTAGATATAAGATTACAAAAAGTAGGGCACCAGTACATTTGTCGGTGCATTATTTCATAGATATAAGAAGATGGGGTATGAGTGCCAATGAGACAACTCTCCATCCAAGTCACAATTTGTAAAAGTAAACCATTACAGGTCAAAGTACAGTCTTCAACACGGAGCCTTGGCTCACACCGAACAGCAGGCTATAAAGGGCCGCAAAAATGACTAGTGTAAAACCATTCAAACGGGAAAATTCATGTCTGTATATTTATTATGTCATGAAACATTATCAATGTTTTGAGAGTGACAATGAATAGATTTTTTTTATCTATTAAATGAATTTTAGGAAGATGAAGATGAGGAAGATGAGAAAGACAAAGGGAAGTTAAAACCCAATGCAGGAAATGGTGCTGACTTAGAAAATTACTCTTGGAGACAAACACTAGATGAAGTTGAGGTAAGGGTTATCAGTAGCAGGGTGCAAGAAAAGAAAAATGTTGGTCTACTGAATGTATATTAAAAAAAAAATTATTGCGAAAAATGCGACAGGGTTATAGTCGCAATAATTTAAACTCGCATTTTGAAATATCTTATATGAATTAAACAGGATTGGTCTCAATATCGCAAAAATTAGAATCGCATTTTAGTCTTAAATGACAAAATCGCAATAATAAATGCACGCAATAATTTCTGAATTTACAGTAGTTACAAGAAAATCAAAAATTTTATTCAGATCTATAACTGCAAAGGATTATAAGACATTGTTAAGCCTATAGAATAACATAAGGCCAACCTTAAAAATATGTTTGTTTGCAGTTTTCCGACTGTACCTTCAGACTGAAGGGTCGGTAGGTAGGAAAAATATTTTATTTTATCAGCCAAAATGAAGTTTAAACAAGCAGTTACACAAACCAAGTTTCTTGTGAAGAAATTTCTTTTAAAACAACAAACACTGAAAACCAACATGAAATGAACAGGCATTTTCAGATAAAAACTTTTCAACCAAAATTGAAACTATAACATGGTGTGATTATCCAATTTATGACATTATTGAATACTAGTACTGGAACACTTATAAGATCTTATAAACAAAGAATGACTAGAATTGTTTTAAAGAAATTGTTCACTGACATATGCTTCTTTACTAGAAAGTTTTCATGAGTAGAGTATTTTCATTAGGAAAATGTAGATATCAAAGATTCATAAGACAATGAAAGAGTGTTGTTATCAATAAAAAAATTAACCATTGAACATGTTGAATCTTTCTCAATTAAAAAAAAAGGAAACTTGAAAAAATATATTTGCCATCTGACTGTTTTCATAGATCTAACAATATTTAATTATATGTAATAAGGTTATATTTTGAAAGATATGTTGATGTGATCAGGCTTTAATTAAAACCAAAAAAAATCTTAGACTTCAGGGTGAAATCAATAGCACCCCTTTAAAAGTAAATGGTCTGTACTGAAATGTTTTGACTGCATAAAAAATTGGCAGCATAGCTCCTAAGGATATGTTTTAATTCAATTCACACAAGCCACACTGTTTGAGTATATTTAATATTGTAAAAGGGAGAAGAATTGCAATGAGTGGGGTAGCTCCCCTTATCCTAAAGGAGCATACTCATTGCAATAGAAGATAGATTTAACATAGAGAAAGTATATTTATTTTTACAAGCCAACCATTAATTTTCTTTACATCTTTGTGTAGTTTCTGTGGCTTCTTATAGATTTGGCATTGTCTATCGATTATAAATTCCAAATGCACACTTCCTGGCGTGTTTACAGGTATCCATGAAGTCATGGAGAAGTGGTTTCACCCTTGTTTTCTTCACAACCTTTTATAGAAACTATGGCATACTTCAGCATGTTCAGGCTGCTGTCAAATTGTTTAACCACTGATATTGGTTCCATAAAGTCAGGCTCAAGAGATTCTGTACCCTATCTGTTTGAGATGGAAATGGTTATCGTGTCGGTTTTATGAATATCCGCTGCATCATGCGTTCTCAAATCGTCAATGATATCCGTCTGAATCTGTATAAACAGTTTACTATTAAACTTTTTTGGTTGTTATTTGTTTTAAAATTGACAGAAAACGACAGTGCAAAGTACTCCTCCATGTCTTCATCGATACCTGTAAACAATCTCCATGTGTAGCCTGGCATCCTGACCCAATCTAATACTTCGTCGATAGGTCTACTCTCAAGCAGTTGGCCAGAATCCCAGGCTATCTCCATGTGCTTTATTATTAAACGGTCCCATGTACGCTTGACAAGAAGGTAAGAAAAACCGAACTTGAAACGTGTAATCGACCCAGACTTTAAATCAATTCTGGAAACGACCAGAAGTTCCGGATTGGGTCAATAGAAAAATAAAAATAATTTCTTCAAATTAAAAGCAATAAAATTTTCACAGTCGGGCGGATTTTCGAGGGTTGGTCGGTAAACTGCAAACAAACAATATTTTAATTTAAGCCTAATTGTTTTACCAATCAAGAACTTATTTTGACTGTATTGTAAAAAATCATTGAATTCCTTGAATCAGGGGATGGTCTTTATCTCCAATATAAATTGGTATATTTTCTAACTAATAACAAAGAAGGCTACAGATGTGCATTATATAGTGTTCTCAGTGGTAATTTTTATACGACAGCAAAATATTTGCGTTCATATATTGCTATCATGTCGTCGTCTGTGGCAGTGTGGTCGTCATCCGAAGACATTTGGTTTCTGGACAATAACTTTAGTTTAAGTGTATGGATCTCTATGAAATTTAACCAAAAGGTCCAATACCACAAAAGGAAGGTTGGGTGTGATGGTCCCAACCGTTTAGGAATTAGGGGCCAAAAAGGTGCCCAAAACAAGCAATTTTTCTAGTTTCAGGACAATAACTTGTGTATAAGTATTTTGATTGCTCTGAAATTGTACCACAAGGTTCAATACCAAAAGCAGAAGGTTGGGATTTATTTTGGGGGTAATTGCCCAAACTGTTCAGGAATTAGGGGCCAAAACAAGCATTTTTCTAGTTTTCAGACAATAACTTGTGTTTAAGTGTATGGATGTCTCTTAAATTGTACCACATTTTACAAAAAGAAAATTTCTTTTTTTCGAAAAGGGGGGGGGGGGGGGGGGGGGGGGTAAAAAAAAATAGGGGGGGGTCAATTTTTTTTCCCTCAAGATATAAGAAATTATCAATGTTCCAAAAAAAAATTGGGGGTCACAATTTATTTTGCTAATTCTTTGTATTTAGTCTGAAAACAGATTTACTAAGTATTGCGCAACAGCACAGTATATTGCACAACAGCAAGAAATCTTCAATTGAATATAAATTCAAATCATATAACCAATTTCAAGTTCTTTGACTACATTTGTTCTGTGTCAGAAACCTATAATGTGCCAAATATTTAATTACAATCCAAATTCAGACCTGTATCAAGCTTGAATATTGTGTCCATTTTTGCCCCAACTGTTCAGGGTTGGACCTCTGCGGTCGTATCCAGCTGCGCTCGGCGAAGCACATTTATTAACAAAGCTTTTAACAACTGACATTTATTATGTAACTTTAGATATTTGTAAGTGTTATCCATGTGAATCTTTTCTGATTGGTTAGTTTTTGTTTACTTTTAGGTGAAAATACCATTTAAAGTATCTTTTCCAGTGAAACCTAAAGATGTTGTTGTTGATATTCAGAAAAAGGTTAGTATTTATATCATAGTTTAATATCAAAAGGAGGACCATATCTTTGGTACATATATACATTTTGAACCTCAGTTCAAAGGTCACTTCTTTTATAAGGTCATTTTTCTCTTGTCCCTAGGGTGACCTTTATATACAGATTTGACTGTATTTGTCAATCTATCATGGAAAACAAAGGCTTGTTCAAATTTACTATGGGAGCAAGTGTTAAAAATTACAATCACATTCAATTACTGAAATCAAGTGATAAACTCTTTAATTGAACAAAAAGTGTAAAAAAATCATTTGCATAGCTTTGCAGGTTAAATTTATAGTCTACAGTATACATTTATCTTGAAATTTTGACTTCCTAAATGTTTGCATTTTTTCGAAGAAAAATATTCATTCTTTCAGACATTAAAAGCAAGATTGAAGGTCACCTACATCTATATACAAATTGATAAAACATTTCATCTATAGATTTACTTGATATTTTGAGAAATTCAAGGCAGGATTAAATAGTCATCTACAAATATTACATAGGTGGCCAAGTGGTCTAAATAGTAAATTACTGTATCACTAACCTGTCGACACTTGAAGTTGTGAGTTCCAAACCGACACATGGCAGGTGCGTTTAAATCTGATCTTAATTGACTAGGATTATCAGTTTTCCTGTCTAAGGTGGCAGTTCTCTCCGGGCATTCCTGCTTCCTCCACCAATAAAAACTAGCTGCCTCGAAATAGCCAATAGTGCTGAAAGTGTTGTTAAACACCAAAAATCAATCAGTCAAATATTTGATGCCAAAGCATCTTATCTGTAATTTTATACTTGTTCTTTTCAGAAATTAAAGGCAGGGTTAAAAGGTCATCCACCAATAATTGATGGTGAAACATATAATAGTATAAAAATAGAAGAATCAACGTGGATTATTGAAGATAGAAAATGTTTAGTTCTTACAATACAGAAGGTAAGTTATATAGATATAAATAAAATATTGTAAGAGTTTATTCGTGTGTAAAAGAAGGCTTACTCATTTACAATCAGAACAAAGTACAATGTAAAGAATTTGAGTAAACATTCATTGTACCAACATTTTATGTCTTAAATTTTCTTTTCTTTTTTTCATTGGAATTTCACAGATATACTTCTAAAGGTCAGAATTTACTCTGTTAGTGGTATATTTTTCACTTGTAATTTAAATCAATAAAGACTGAAATCTAAAATTTCTGACCTTAATCTGTTTAGGGTGCTGTTTGTGAAAATCAGTAAATAAAATTTAAGATTTCACTCCATGCATTCAAACATACAGTTACAAAAAATTAACAAAACAAAAATCAAATTTATTGTTTAAAATTCACAAATGCTCTTCATTCACAAATTTGGAGAAATAGATTAAAAAATTGTTCTAAGGGAGATAATTATGTGATCTAAGGTGAAACATACTGACTTATTTTTCCAGAAATGCCAGGTCTGAAAAAAGTTAAAACTGTATAAAAAGTATGTTTTTTTAAGTTGAATATAACAATAGTTTATTCTAATGTTTTGTCTTTCCTGTAAGGTGAATGCAATGGAATGGTGGAGTAGAGTAGTCACTACAGAACCAGAAATTAATACCAAAAAAGTAAATCCAGAAAATTCAAAGGTACAAATTCAAAAAAAATATATAGTTCATTTGCATTTTGTTACATTTAAAGTTTGTGATTATTTCAGTTTAAGGGGAACCACTTATGACAAGTCAATGATATTTGGTATGCAGTTGAATAAGCATTGGCACGACTCAATTCCATGGAGATTAGTTGGCCCTTCCCCCTCAGTCATGGTCTATTGACTTTGAAACTTTTGCACACATTAAAGTTTGTGATTATGTCAGGTTAAGGTGAACCACTTAATATAAGACAATGATAATTGGTATGAAGTTGTATTAGCATTGGCAAATATTATTACCATGGGCATTATTTAGACTATTTTAGGTTGTTATGGTCAGTAAACAGTAACACTTTAAAATAGTGCTTTTTGTCTTGCCTACGAGAATTAGGTGTGCTGGTTCAAGAAAAATGTTATAAATGTGAGCAAACTCTTTTATATAACAGCTTGGAGATTTGGATGGAGAAACCAGAGGTGTGGTGGAGAAAATGATGTATGACCAAAGACAGAGAGAAATGGGATTACCTACATCAGAAGATCAAAAGAAACAAGATGTTTTAGGAAAGTAAGTACTAGTTGTCACACTTCAATTCAATTCAAGGAAGGTAAAAGAATTGTCATCACACAATTCTCATACTTTGGAAACTTATTCTGAGGAAGATAAGACATGATCCTTCACACAAATACTGTTTATGTCCATTGGACTCAGTGCCTCACTATCATATTTACTTTACATCTATTTATCTTAAGGGCATACAATACAGTTACAGGGGAGATAATGACGTTGCACATGTAAAGTGTTATTTTTCACGACGTCAAACTGTGACATATAATGAAAAGATGCATTTTTCAACTCATTTTTATCATTCGCTTTAAAAAAGGTGCATTGACCCCTATTTTTTAAAACGACATTTAGCTTGATTAGGTATGGATATTATTTGTACCAATTTTTTTAAATTAGATAAATATACCACCAAAAAGCTGTTTTTTATCTAAAATTATGAAAAAAAATTTAAAAAATGAATTATTTCCAAAGAATGTTGCACAAATTTAGAGCATATTTATGTAAAAAAAGATATTCCAAATGATTTTACAAAAAAAACTTTTGTTTTTATCTTTTGAAACAAAAAAGTTAGGCATGTCTATCCAATGGATAGAAATATCTGAGAATCTGAAATTTTGAGTAAATGTCTAAAACTGTGACCCCATTTATCTCTAAAAGTAGCACATGCAGGTATATTTTTATCACATATTTGAATTGACTAGGTGGAAAATAGCTTGTATGCAAATTTTCGTAAAAAAATCACTGTGGGATCAAAACTGTATTGTATGCCCTAAATCTCAGTCTTATCGATTCTTAAATCTTGATCAAATGACATAAATCTTGATGAAGTTTCATACAACTATCACATGTACTTCACATCACTCTTATTTTAAACCTTACATTACTCTTAACTCTTCCAACTCATTATAATTCAGCAATGAAATTGAAGTTGTGTTGTCCTTTGTACATCAGTTAGTTATGATAAGGTCTCATCTTGATGAAATTCATTTGTGAAATTTTATCAACTTCATATAAATCTACATTTTGGGTGAATTCATGGATTTTTATGAAATTTTGCAGGCAAAAAGAGATACGAGTTAAGAAAACAAATATATTATAATCTTTTATACTCTTGAATATGCAGTAAATTATAAATCCTGTAGAAGTACTGATGTATAGAATGCATGCTAATATCCCCATATAAAGCCTGTTATAAACAGCAATTAAAATGAACAAAACACAATAAATTAAAGAAGTAACATAAATTCTAGTACTCTTCAGTGATAAATAATCTTGGCTTCACATGTTATATTCTACAAATGACAAATGTACATTATTATGGTGGAACCTGAATGCAGGTTGTATAATGAAAGTGTATTGGGTGAAGATGCAATACCAAAAATTACTTGAATACTGTTATTTAAATATATATATACAGTAAATAAGAAGATGTGGTTTGATTGCCAATGTGGTAATGTCGCATCAAAGTACAAATGACATGGATGAATGCAACTGTAGGTTGCGTATGAGCAAGACCCAAACTGTATAGTCAGCTATAAAAGGCCCAACATGACAAAATGTGAAACAATTCAAACAAGAAAACCAATAAACTGATTTATGCTGAAACAATGAACAAATATAACAAACCGCAACCAATGTCAACAACTATTACAGGCTCCTAACTCGGGACGCACTTAAAGAATGTGGCAGGGTTAAACATTTTTGTAAGCTCTTTACCCTCCACTAACCTTGGACAGTTGTATAACTGCACAACATAAGGACAAACTGTAAAAATCAGTTGCAAATGGCTTGACTGATCAGATTTGCTTGAAGCACAAAAAAACAACCAACAAAAGAGTACCTATCTAAGAGAACTCGCAATTACTGGAAGCTAGCTGAAAGCCATTTACAACTAATAAGTAAATCATGTTATCCCAGATTAAAATATCAATCAGTTCACATCCAACAGATTTAGTGTAGAGAGGTCATAAACAGTCTGAGAAAAGTATTCCCTTGTGCAATGCCAACATATAATTAGTCAGGATAAGTTTTCATAACTGTACAGCAATAATTTTTAAGTAATGTTTGGTTATTTCCTCTATTTGCAGATTTATGAAACAGCATCCAGAGATGGACTTTTCGAAGTGTAAATTCAATTAACCGTTTCATTCATTGTTCATGCCATTTTGTACTATCAATCCAATATGTAATTAACTTAATTGAATTGTGTATGCAAATATCATAAGAGTTCAGTGTCAGATTATGTTCTTTGACATTCATTTCTGTTATTTATAGTTATTTAAAGTTCTTTTCACGTCGTTAATAGAACTTAGCTATGGATGTGAATTATTGTTAAAGGATAAATGCACAACAAAACTTAAATTTTTGAAGAACAATATTTTACCTAACAATATCAAATGGATTGGCAGTGTATGTGGGTTTTGGGAAAAAGTTGCACATTTAATTGTTCACTCATACTTATAATGCATGAAATAATTGCCACTGGACATTATACAAACAACAATTTATCAATCATTCTATCACAAACTTGTTTTGTTAGGTTTGTATTACTTGACATGACAGTTATAAGAGGGAGTGGGGTTATTGAGCTACATATATGGTTAATGCATAGACTTTTTACAAATTCCATTCCTGACATTGCCTTGGTAACTAGTTATTAGGACTAATACGATCTTTATAAATTTTATTGAAATAAGATTGTCATTAAATTAAGTAAAGATTTATCTTTTTGGTTTAATAATCAGTGTTTACAAAATTCTGGTAAAGAGGTTTTCATAAAGACATACAATAAAAACAAGCCTTATGTAAGAGTTGCTTTATAGAAATTTAAATTCAAGCAAAAGTGTCAAAAATTTCTCAATTGCAAAGAATTGTAAGATCATTTGTATATAAAGGACAACAAAGTATGGTTGCAGCAATACACAGTATAGTCAGTAATTAAATCCAGTTATTTTTTTGAATCACTTTGAGTTTTAATTTTTTTTTTCAAAGATTGTAGGTATAAATAATTAGTAAATACATGCCTTTAGATAATAAATGGCAGCACTGCATAGAGACCATATCATAATTTTACTTTACCCTCCTTCACAGAAAATATCTGCATCATATTAAACTGCATGGCCAGTTACAAATCATTCTCATTGTAAATGTTGCATGTTATTACATCATTTGTCATAGATTTATTTGTGGTTAATAATGTGAAAATGTGACTCAAACTCCAGCCACAGTTTGTCACCTGGGAATTTCTTGTTAAAAGCGAGACAGTGTAGGTTACATAGAATTTGTAATTGTTATTTGACAAACATGTACGAACTACATGTTGTTTTTTTTTAATCTTGAGTTCATTTGTTTCTGATATATGTAATGTTGTTAAGGCATAATTTTATTATATATAACAATACAGGCAATATTCATATGCATGTATGTATAAAAGACTCAAATGCAAGTAGAAAGGGGTTCACACAATACTGTAAATAGGTTCTATTTGATCTTTGATAGTAAGATGTAAAATAATACACATTAAAGATGATTATTTTGAATTGTATTCCTGTTTATTTATAATCATATATTACATACAAGCTCCAATTACATTGCACTGTGAAAAATTATATAAATAAAATGATATGGGGTAATTATACTTGAGATAATATATCATATATAACATAGCTCACAACATGAACACAAGAAGTATGCATTCATATACACATCATTAGATGCCCTATAAAGTGGAGTGCAAAAGATTTTATAAATAAGGCAACAAATTAACACAGCCTTTGTGATTTTTGTCTTAAAAGTTAGTCCTATCCTGGAATTTGTTCAACTTCTAGCATTAATGAAGCTGCTTTTCTTTGTGAAAAAATCCTTGTTATTGTTGTAAACTATTCTTCAGCGTATACAATTTGAAAAGGACTTCAGCCTATTAAAACCTTGTGTACAACTTTTTTTGTCAAACTGTTATATAGTTTAAATTAGTAATAATGTAAAAATTCAATTTCTTGGTCAATTTTTAAATCACTTTTTATACTTTTCTTATTATTGCATTGTTTTTCAAAGTTCTCTAATTTTTTCAGCAGGTTTCTGCATTATTCTTAAATTCTTAATTTTTTTTATCTGATTTCTGCATTATTTTTAAATTCTCTATTTTTTTATACGCCCGTTTACGGGACGTATTATGGTATACCTCTGTCCGTCTGTCCGTCCGTCTGTCCGTCTGTCGTCAACATGTCGGACATTAACTCATAAATGCTTTAACCAATTTGCATAAAACTTTGGTGAATTGTTTATATCTATTGACGTGAGCTCCCTTTTATTTTTTATAAATTTGAAATTTTACGTTTCTGAGTTATGGGGTTTTATTCATTAAAAAAAGGGGGATTTTCCAGTTTTTATACGCCCGTTTATGGGACGTATTATGGTATACCTCTGTCCGTCTGTCCGTCCGTCCGTCTGTCTGTCCGTCCGTCGTCAACATGTCGGACATTAACTCAAAAAAGCTTTAACCAATTTGCATAAAACTTTGGTGAGTTGTTTATATCTATTGACGTGAGCTCCCTTTCGTTTTTTATAAATTTTAGACTTTTCGTTTCCGAGTTATGGGGTTTTATTCATTAAAAAAAGGGGGATTTTCCAGTTTTCGGACAATAACTCAAAAATGCTTTCACCAACTTGCAAGAAATTTTGATTAATTGTTTATATCTATTGACATGAGCTCCCTTATGATTTTTGTAAATTTTAGATTTTACGTTTTCAAGTTACGGGGTTTTATTCATAAAAAAAAAGGGGGATTTTCCAGTTTTCAGACAATAACTCAAAAATGCTTTCAGCTGTTCTCATGAAACTTTGATGAATTGTTGATATCTATTGATGTAAGCTCCCTGTAGAATTTTATAAATTTTAGATTTTACATTTCCGAGTTATGGGGTTTTATTCATTAAAAAAGGGGGGACTTTCCAGTTTTCAGACAATAACTCAAAAATGCTTTCAGCAATTCTTATGAAACTTTGGTGAATTGTTTATATCTATTGATGTAAGCTCCCTTTAGAATTTTATAAATTTTATTTGTTAATAGTCTGACAAGAGATTTACTAAGTATTGCGCAACAGCATAGTGTATTGCACAACAGCAAGAAATCTTGAATTGAATATAAATTCAATTCATATACCCAATTTCAAGTTCTTTGACTACATTTATTCAGAAACCTATAATATGTCAAATATTTAATCACAATCCAAATTCAGACCTGTAACAAGCTTGAATATTGTGTCCATTTTTGCCCCAACTGTTCAGGGTTGGACCTCTGCGGGAGTATCCAGCTGCGCTCAGCGAAGCAGTTTATTGGACAATAACTCAAGAATGCTTTGACCAACTTGCAAGAAATTGTGGTGAATTGTTTATATCTATTGACATGAGCTCGCTGTCGATTTTTATAAATTTTAGATTTTAAGTTTCCGAGTTACAAGGTTTTATTCATAAAAAAGGGGGATTTTCCAGTTTTCTGACAAAAACTCAAAAATGCTTTCAGCAGTTCTTATGAAACTATGGTGAATTGTTTATATCTATTTAAGTAAGCTCCCTTTAGAATTTTATAAATTTTACATTTTACATTTCTGAGTTATGGGGTTTTATTCATTAAAAAAGGGGGGATTTTCCAGTTTTCGGACAATAAGTCAAAAATGCTGTCAGTAATTCTCATGAAACTTTGGTGAATTGTTTATATCTATTGATGTAAGCTCCCTTTTGATTTTCATAAATTTCTAATATTACATTGAGAATTAATTGAACTTTATTTGTTTATAGTCTGACAACAGATTTACTAAGTATTGCGTAACAGCACAGTGTATTGCACAACAGCAAGAAATTTTTAATTGAATATAAATTCAATTCATTTAACCAATTTCAAGTTCTTTGACTACATTTATTCAGAAACCTGTAATATGTCAAATATTTAATAACAATCCAAATTCAGACCTGTATCAAGCTTGAATATTGTGTCCATTTTTGCCCCAACTGTTCAGGGTTGGACCTCTGCGGGCGTATCCAGCTGCGCGCAGCAAAGCAGTTTATTTCATCTAATTTTGCATTATTTTTTAATTTTCTATTTTTTTTCAGCGGATTTTTGCATCATTTTTAAATGCCCCAGGTCTTCTTCAGTTTTTCTATTGTCACTTCTTCTTCATCACTTTTATCATCTTTGAAGTGTAGACCAAATTTAACTTTTTGTCCAAAATTATCACCCATGTATCTTTCATCTGCTTTCTCACTTACTCTTTGCCATCTGAAAAAGACCAATGGATTTGATATTCATTGTTTTGAATATGGAGGTGTCTCTGTTCCGGATTAATACTGTTACATGAGTGTCTGCCTTGTCATCCTAGAAATATTACTACCTATGTTTGTTTGGTTTTCAGTAGTTTGTTATGTGGCTGTATTCTGGCACAAATATCTGCATACAATATTCTGTGTATGGATTTCAAATGATTCAGTTTGAAAGGTATCCAAGAGAGTTTTATAAATTGAGAACAAAATTTAAAGGATAAATTCCATGTGAAATTTGCTTAATATACATTTCATGCTGCAATTTTGTTCCAAAGAAAAAAGTGGGAAACAAATATGAAATAACTGATCCCATTGTAAATCATGTGCTGCCAAATTTCTTTTCTCAGTATAGCTATAATTATCCTATTAAAACAATGTACAGTTTAAGTAACCTGCAATAATGTAAGAAAATCCTAGTCCCTAATGGCAACTTGTACTGAGTTCAACATAAATTCAGAACTTATATGATATAGTTTTTTTTTTGTTTTTTTTTATTGCATTCATCAATTTATGTGAATCTTTACTTACAGCCAACCTAAATGCCTGATTAATTAATATCATCTCTTGAATTGGAATATTAAAAGCAAGACTTATAATAAAATTGAGAATGGAAATGGGGAATGTGTCAAAGAGACAACAACCCGATAATAATTTATAATGTATGTACTCATTATTGCTATGAAAATCCTTTCCCATGTTTCATACATAAAAAAAAGTTAAATTGTTTAATTAGGGTACCTTGTATCACAACTGATTCTGAGCAAGTCTGTTAAGTTAGCTGTAGACATGTGCGCTGCCCTGAAAAATAAATAGCTACAATTTAAAATTTTACATATTTTATTGTTGCTTGTTAATATTTTGACTTTATTTCTTCTAATTCATAGACCATTATAATAAAAAAATAAATTAAAAAAAAACATCGCTTAGACTTGTTTAGTACTTCCTTAAAATTTACAACCTGAAATATGTTTCATGCCAGGCTATTTTATACAAACCAAATGTAGCAAAACTAGGAAAAAGAATTTTATTTAAATTAATGAAAGTATGAATAATGGCAGGAATGCTGCAAGATGTATTTTGGGATTTTTAGTGTTCTTAGCTTCAGGTCTCATTGACACATACCTCACAGTGGTGGATCCAGGATTTTCAACAGAAAAGGTAGGACTCAGAGGGGCAAGCCAAAACATTTTGCCTTGAAAAAGGGGGCTGGCAGAAACATCTATACTACTAAAATAACGAGGTCCAATTTGATAGCTGGCACGACGTAAAAATGACGAATCAAAGAATTCAACTTTATATATAATTAATATAGGACAATGGTGTTGATTAAAAATTACACCATTCCAGGCCCTTTTGTTTTCCACATAATTAATAATACCAATAATTAACTAGTTCCGGGTAGAAGGGTTCAAACAGAAAGATTTTGAAAGCAGAGAAAACTGCACCTTATAATCAGCATGACTTTATCAAATGACAAATTATATGAATACTTAAAATCCAGGCTGAAAATAAGGTGTAGGTACTTTAATTCAGTCATGGACCCGCGATGTCACGGGTATGTTCTAGTTTTCTTTAAAAAAAAAAAAATTCTGCCATAAGGAGTTGAACAATTAACATTAGAAAGTAGATTAATTGAGTGAAGTATGGATGCTTTAGATGCTTTACCCCATGGTAAAGATTAACACATCTCCTGCTTTGAAGTCTGATGTTTTCCATTGTCCTCCAAATTTCTCTGTTATTTCCCATGGATCAGTAGTAAACCATCCAGTTCCTACATTTAAAAGTATAAAAGTATGATTTCTGTACATGTAAGAATCTCAGTAAAACTCATTGTCTTTCTTGAGCTCTTTCATCAGATCTTGCTTGTTTTTAATTTTTGAAGGGTTTTGAATATAAAAAATGTTTGCAACTAAAAGAAAAAACAAACAAGTTAGACATTCTTTTTCACCGAACATGTTTAAAATTGTTTCTCTTATAAGTATAGTAAGAATTATTCATGAAAGACGTTTTTATTTGCAGTCCTGAATATACATGAAATAATTGATGTTACACAAGTTAAATCAAAGAAGCTAGTGATATATAATTTTGCAGCGAGTCTAATTTTCCCTCTCAAATAAGGCTTTTTAATTAAGTATAAAAGTTATCTGTATAATATCTATAAAACACATTATAAATTACAAACCAAACATTTACAAACTTAGTTTACATACCTTTAAGTTTGGCAGCTTCAACATCTAAATGTCCATATGTTTTCTGGAAGTATTGAAAACTGGAAAGGTAATACAAAAACAGTTAAATAAGCAATTTTCTTGTGATATGAGGTTATAGCTAATCTTTCATGTGTAGTATTTCTTTGAAGGATTAGTGAAATAGTGACTGCAGTCTACATTTAGAATTCATTTTCTTAAAAAAAAAATCATTTCCAAAGAAAATTGCATTAATTTATAAGAGATGAAATTGGAGCTTTAAAAGAACAATGAAACAGTATAATTGTTCATCTGTATTCTTTAATTTTATGCCATTTTTCTCAATTCTTTATGTTGTGTCCATTATCATCTCTTCATTATATTTTAACACCCCATTATTCAATTCTTGATTTTTTGCCCTTCATCTGCATTCTTTGTTCCCCTCTTCCCACTATTCTCTATTCTTTAAACCCCATCCAGACCCTCATAATTTTACTTGTTCATTAATTATTACCTTTCTAGAGAATTAGAACCTTCACATACAGCTAAACATCCCATTTCAAGTGTTACATCTCCAAACGGAGTCCACATTGTGTAAAGATTTGGTGTTCCTCTGTTCATGTAAACACGGTCAACGTGGACACCAGTGAATGCCTCTCTGTATATACCTCTGTAAGTCATATAAAAATAATTATTAAAAAGAGGAAAATGATTTTAAAAAAAACTATTATTATAACAAATGACACAATGAGTGCAAAGCTATCATAGCCACAGACAAACAAAACTAAATTTTGAATCTGCTTGGAATTAGCATTTAGAAAATAACACTTCCGAATTACATAAAAATCCAAATAACAGCTAGAACACTTAAAATTAACAACTATTTATAAATCATGGCTGATTCTTTAATATAGAAAACTTACATCATACCTTAACCATTTAAAATCGAAAGTTCTTGGTTCCTCGCCCAAAAATCTTCTGAAGAAATCTTTTGCTGTAATTCAAAAATATTTTTGGAATGGTAAACTGGTTAAAAGAGATGTAATAACAGGTTTAATAAAGTCATAGCAAACATCGTAGTATATAATTTCACAATTTGAAATAATTCTAGATTTTCACATCTTCCGTATGCCCATTTTTTCTGAGTCAAAATATATTTGTAATTTTATTTCCTGCTATTCTATTTTATTTTGACAGGAGTTTTCACCAAAAAAGGTTGAACTTACAATTCATATATTTAAAAAAAAAAACAATTTCCATGACAGATGTGAAATTCAAATCTAACAGAATTACAAATATACTTAAGACGGCGTGCACAAAACTGAGTCCACAAACGTAACGTCTTCAAATTATTTCAATCATTTACGACGTCGGCATTTTCCCCCAGAAAACAAACGCGTAACAAAAACACTGGACACTTAATTTATCACATAGCTTTAAACATACACGTTCAACATATTTTTTTTTAACAACAAAGTGCAGCATATGCATATTCTGGAAATATAAATAAATATATGCTAAGAGCAGTGTAATGGAAATAATAAGCGACTATGTCGTGGACCCTATTCAGAAAATAGCGTTAATACGTCATTTCTTTAAATTGTAACATAATAGCTGGACATTGAAAAAATTCAGGTGTTCAGCCTGGACTATCGAATCATTCATATTTTGCAGATTTTTTTAAACCTCTTGTTATGCACATTTGGAATATTAAGATATTTTGAAATAAAAAAATAGCAATTGAATATTTTTTCTTACCGATTCTTCCATTTTCGAATATTAATCCTTCCAAATTACTACTTCTTACACATTACGAACTACATTTCAAACTCATCCATCATGGTCGTTTTTGAATTTTTTTGCGGTGAATTTCGTATGACGTCATAGTCCGAATCCGAAAAATTCTATTATACGAAAATGCGGGAAAATATGTTGAATTTGTATAAATTTAAAGTCAAAAACTCTATTTTATGCTTATTTTTTTGTTACAAGTTTCACATAATTTTGCCGTTTTCCCTATGTTCGTTTCATACTTTATAGATTTAATTTTGATAACTTTATAAGTAATGTGGATTTTAATGGGTAGCATTCATCATTTTATGATATAAAAACTTCCAATTTAAAATATATTTTAAACACGGTTGTATAAAACTACTTTTAAAAGCGCATTTTACAGTTGCCTTCAACTTTGTGCACGCCGTCTTTGTATTACACTACGTTTATATACTTACGTCTAGGACCTTCCAAAACTTTTTGAATATTTTCTGCGTGTGTTATTTTTCTGTCTCCCTGAAACATTACATGCACACGGCTCATTTTAAATATGTTAACTAAATTGTAATCTTATATTTCATGCAATACCAATAGATCGATTGTATCACTAGTCCCAGCAATAGCAGTCCACCTTTTTTTTTATTACCCAAATTTAATCAAGGCTTTGTAAAGAACTACTATACAAATCCTTGATTTCATTTTTTTTTCAATACTGCTTGAACGCTGGGTAAGCATTGTCTCGGAGCAGTCGATTGGTTGTTATGCTGCATGTCGAATGTTTTCGGTAATTCCTGTTAAAATATTTATGTACTAAGTAATCATTCCATGTCTGTGACGAACTGATTTTTTTTTTTAATTTTATGTACCTCTAAAATAAAAAGGAAACGGTTTATTTCTTTAAAAAACTCATTTGCAACTTGTTAGTGCACGTGTCCTAAGTCAGGAATCTCGTCAGTTGATGTCTATAGTCATATTTTAGTTGTTTTCTTTGAAAGCATTTATGTTGATGCAGATTTTTTGTATAGTTATAACCAGGAAGATTTAGACACATGTGAAGTAGAAATAACGCCAATTCAGACAATATATTTTAAGTGCTAAAGTGACAATTTGTTAATCCGTTTATCTAACCTTTTACATTTCTTTGTGTTTAATTAATTCTATTGTAAAATATATGTTTGTCGTAATGGAAATCACTTTGACGATAAGAAGTTGGTCCTTTGGACACCAATCCTTTTCTATAGATACTGTTTTTTATATATACTTTTGTATGTAATTTTGAAGTCAGTTTAGGTCTTAGGTCTGCTACTGTCCGGACCTTGCTAATAAAGTTTAAAGTATTGGTATTCCGTCTTTGAGTTACTATAGTCGGAAAACCCCCGGTTATATAGTCTCTGTTCTGGAATCTGTGTGATTTAGAGCTACATATACATGGGTATAGAGCACTTGTCTATTGTTGAAAATCGTTTGTTAACGTCTAGATGTGTTGGTGTTGGGTAAATGTTTTAACACTGACACCTGCTTTTGCTCTTGTTGTAAATTTACTGTTCTCTGTTAAACAAAACTTTGTAAAAGTGGTTCTTCACAAGAATAAGAAATATTATAATTGTCAGATAATGTTTTTGGTTTTGAGAGAAAACATTTGAAAGCAGTCAGTCGTGAAGATTAAAGGACAGTGTATTCGACTTTAAGTTGAAATGGTGTGTAATGCCTGATCATAAATTCGTGAAAATAATAATTTCAAAAAGAGGTAGAAGACACCATAAAGGGAATATCAAAAATCATAAGTCGAAGTAAAACTTGGCAAAAGAACGAAAAACTACGAAATAACAATCAAGTCTACAAAATATTACATAGAAACTAAAGACCGGGGAAAACGAATCCCAGCAACCGGGAGTGTTTTCAGGTGCTCCTTTTGTGGCACCAGACGTGTTTATCATGTTAGCTATAGTCATGACAAATTCGACGATAAATCTCATTCGGTGCACCTGAAAGATAACGAGATTGTAGCGGCGACCATTGAAACATATTCATGGTCATGTACGTGTAACACAGATATAAATAATTCCATAACGGTCAACCAAATCATGATGATGTCCATAAAAACATGCAAATTAGACTTTCAGAAGTTAACACTCCCATGCATACTAAAAACTTTTTTTTGCTCTTCCTGTCGTACTTTTATTTCGGTTGATGTGTGCTGGGAGCATGTCTTTTGTTCAGGCGGATAATTTCTTATATTTCGATATAGACTTAAAGAAAGGATATGAATATTAAACACTTTTACCCTAAGATAACACGAGACTTACCTCCATAAAAGGAATACATCCTTGACCACATCTAGCCTCCAATACTCCTTCAGGCCAAGGGTCAACTAATTTTCCATTGCCCTGTTCTTTGACGTATTCTAGTACAGTTTGTCGTGCGTTAAGTACTTCTTGTCGGTAATGTAAACCCCGAATAAATAAGTATCTGCCAAGGAATTAAAAGTGGTTGATTTTAAAAACTAAAACAAAAATAAATGCAATATACATTTCTTACCATCATGTTTTGTATGCACTCCGTGTTACATCTGGCCTTCGCCTTCAGGAAAGAGTGTACCAATAAGTTGCCTTCGCCTTCAGAAAAGAGTGTAACAATAAGTTTGTCCCGACTTATTATATTAGAGAACTGTCGTTCTTGCATCTATAGGAATGCTTGTCTTGTGAACACACTCAGAACACATTATTTGAAGTATAATTATAGTTGAGTGCATGATATCGACTCTTTTGGTAATCATTGCAGAGTTTATGTGTCTTGTTTCCTTATATATACAAACACAAGAAGAGGTACTTATACTAAAACGGTTATATTTTTGGCAATATTTAAACGTTAACGGCATGACAGAACATCCTGTCGTTTCGTTTGAATCCAAAGTTCGTGATAGAAGAGTTTTATACTATACATGTATCACTTATATGCATGCATCTTGAAATTCAGCTCTTACAAGAACTTGCTGTTCATTCTGATAAGCAATATTTTAAAGTATAAAATTGAGAATGGAAATGGGGAATGTGTCAAAGAGACAACAACCCGACCATAGAGCAGACAACAACCCGACCATAGAGCAGACAACAGCCGAAGGCCACCAATGGGTCTTCAATGCAGCGAGAAACTCCCGCACCCGGAGGCGTCCTTCAGCTGGCCCCTAAACAAATATGTATACTAGTTCAGTGATAATGGACGTCATACTAAACTCCAAATTATACACAAGAAACTAAAATTAAAAATGATATAAGACTAACAAAGGCCAGAGGCTCCTGACTTGGGACAGGCGCAAAAATAAACTATTTAGTGTTATCTTTGATGGGTTCATGTTAACCAATTGTCCCGTTCAGACCAGTTAAAGTGTCTGATTGATTTACCATACTAGTATTGTATACTTGCTTTCGTCCTGAAAAAAATACAGTAATATTTGTCACTGACAAAACTATGCTGTGTTGCTTTGCATTTATTTTCTAGTTGCCCTAAACATATATATTTGATAACTAAATATAGACATAATCTGTGATTAACCTCAATGTTGATACTAGTAGCTGTCCTAAGCATGTAACCTTTTTCAAAAAGCACACGTAAAAGCTCATAGATATAAGAGGATGTGGTATGAGTGCCAATAAGACAACTCTCCATCCAAGTCAAAATTTATAAAAGTAAACCATTATAGGTAAAAGTACGGTCTTCAACACGGAGCCTTGGCTCACACCGAACAGCAAGCTATAAAGGGCCCCAAAAATTACTAGTGTAAAACCATTCAAATGGGAAAACCAACGGTCTAATCTATATGAAAAACGAGAAACGAGAAACACTTATGAACCACATCAACAAACGACAACTACTGAACATCAGATTCCTGACTTAGGATAGGTGCAAACAATTGCAGCGAGTTTAAACGTTTTAATGGTACCAAACCTTCACCCTTTTTCTGAAACAATAGTTTAACATCACAACATAGAAAGACACACTATAAAATATCAACTGAAATAGCTTAACTCAATCAAAGGACATATTAACACCAGTGAACATACACTGAACAAATAAATTTGACCTATGATACAATGTAAATACAAAAATAAATAAACTAAGGGAAGAATAATAAAAGTAACATACACTATATATATATGTCGGTATATATAAAACTATAGATCATAATACGCGAATACAATATGTGAAACACAAGCCTAGAAGCATCAACTGAATGTTGTCATGCTCTGCTACTTTAAGTTTGTGATCTAGGATGGGTTGATGCTTCTAGAAAAACATGTATGGTAAATAAACAATCAAACAACAACAGTGGAAGGAAGCGATGACGATTGTCAAGAAAGAAAATTTATTGAAAATAAAGAAAAAATTATAATGATAAAAGTGAGTCCAAGCCCATGCTTTGTGATTACAACATGTCGCTATCTACATGTCTGCCTCTGGATCTTGAACATGGTTCGCACACATATAGATCGTGATATTCAACTGAAACGTTCATTGGATCTAACGTCAGAATGGACGCGTATCATCATTAAAGTAATATGTCTTATAATAAATTCATTGTTGTGCAAGATTTATAATTACAACCTATCTTTAGTGTAAAACGCATTCACAACATGAATTAAACAAGTGAAATAATTGTACTAGATCATCAATACAATGTAATAACACAATCAACATGGACTGTAATTTGTGACTGAACAGTAGCAACGATCTTAGCCAGATATCAATGAAAATTAGTTAAATAGTTTGTATACATAGCGTATGATTGATTTAAGTACTTATAGATATTTTCATGTATACATACAAATAAAAACAAGGAAATCAATACCCTTTTGTCTGTATTTCCTTGTGTAACGCCTCTACATCAGACAACAAGTGATTGCAATCTTTAAGCTGCTGTAGTCTATCTGATGGAAACTCCACCGTTTGTGTACCAAGTTTTACTGTCCTTGTCGCCATTTCGTTGTTAATAATAACGGCCTATTTATCTACATGTTCTTCTAAAAATAGAAGTGTATTTGTTTATCTCTAGTATTATCAACCGTGTCCTTAACCCATAATATATATAATGAATATTCGAATCGATGAAATATTTGTATCAATTTGCAAAGCGTTGGTTGCTTTCGAGGATTACCGATAACACAAATTGAATATGATTTACATCTATGATTGCCTTCAAACAGGATCTATTAAATCTTAAGTATCAATTAACAGAACAATCGTAAACGAAGAATAACTACATTGTGATAAAGTACAGCAGTTTAGGTGAAAAAAATGGCTACTAGTTATAAATATATATATATATACATGTATAAATTGAGGTAAATTGTATGGCTTTCCAAATACCGTTTCGATTCCTAACATCACTGAAGAGACATTAATTGTCGAAATCCGGATATGGTGTACAAAAACCTTTGCACCTTTTGTTTGCGGTATACCATCTTTTCCGCAAGTTTATTGTTTTCTGTTTAGTATTAAATTTATAATTAAGATCCATTCATTACATCGGTGATCCGTTTATTTGGCAATCGCCAATGGCAGTCAGCAGGGTTTAAGAACATTTGTTGTTCGACCTGTTAGTCAAATGCGTTTTGTTAAAATATACTTTTTCACTTTTTTGGTCTTTTGGAAAATGTTGTTTGTGCTGTATTTAGACCCCTCTAACAAGAAATTTGTTTTGCATGCACACGTATAAAAATTGCGGTTTTTATCCAACGCAATGGTTTGAACGTTGTTTTCGATTTAGACTTGTATATACATGTATATATATAGATATATATCCTCCAGAACTAGAGATTAAAGTAACAACAGACACGGCTTCCTCCGCCTCATTTCTAGACTTTTTTAAGCGGTCATCTCAGTACCAGAATCTATGACAAACGAGACGATTTTAATTTTGAAATTATCAATTCCCCCCATGCACCTTAGCAGCAATATACCAACTTCACCTGGGATATACATTTCCCAACTCATTCGGTATTCAAGAGCTTGCAGCTGCTACTCAGACTTTATAAAACGTCACCAGTGTCTGAGCAGAAAGTTGATGAACCAGGTTTATGTCAAAGAACGTCTCGTTCTTTTTCTAAAAAAGTTCATCGGAAGATACCAAGACCTTGTTGATAAATATACCGTATCAACTTTACAAATAATACACGATGGTCTTGAAGTATAGATTCTAGGTACTGACGTTGTATATCATCTTAATTACGTGTTATAGTGTTTTTTTATTTGTCTTTGTAAATTATTTAATTTACTGTTTAGTCCATTTTTGGTAATATCCTCTTGGCGTGTCTTGGTACTTATACATCCCGCCATTGTGTTATTCGGTGCTATCGTTATTTTTTTGTATTCTAGTCTTTCATTTTTGGGTATGTGCTTTGTCTATATGCCATTTTGTTTTTTCTTTTTTGGAATATTTGTTTGTTTTTATAGTGATTAAGATTATAACACAATGTTGACTGCTGTACTCCTATTTTTGACATTTTTACCTATTATGTCTGTTTGTTTTGTTCACTCATTGTTGTCAATTTAATGGAATTTTATGCGACTGTCATACAAGTGAGAACTTTAGCTAGTTATAAAACCAGGTTTAATCCACCATTTTCTACATAAGGAAATGCCTGTACCAAGTCAGGAATATGACAGTTGTTTACCATTCGTTTGATGTGTTTGAGCTTTTAATTTTGCCATTTGCTAAGGGACTTTCCGTTTTCAATTTTCCTTGGAGTTCGGTATTTTTGTTATTTTATTTTTTGGTGGGACCTTTTATAACCAAAAGTTGAATATTAAACGATGAATTTAGTTAGTTTTTTAGTCCCAGGTAGTTACGTTGAATAGCGTCAGGAATATAAACTGGGATCTAAAATTTAAGTCACGTGAGCCCGAAAATTAGGGCATGTTTACCTACTTGAGGTTGTTATGCCATCGTACAATCATCCTTACTATACTAAGAACGTTATCGTACAATCATCCTTACTATACTAAGAACGCTATCGTACAATCATTCTTACTATACTAAGAACGCTATAGTACAATCATCCTTACTTTACTAAGAACGCTATAGTACAATCATCCTTACTATACTTAGAACGCTATCGTACAATCATCCTTAGTATACTAAGAATGCTATCGTACAATCATCCTTACTATACTAAGAGCGCTATCGTACAATCATCTTTACTATACTAAGAACGTTATCGTACAATCATCCTTACTATACTAAGAACGCTATAGTACAATCATCCTTACTATACTAAGAACGCTATCATACAATCATCCTTACTATACTAAGAACGCTATCATACAATCATCCTTACTTTACTAAGAACGCTATCGTACAATCATCCTTACTTTACTAAGAACGCTATCGTACAATCATCCTTACTTTACTAAGAACGCTATAGTACAATCATCCTTACTATACTAAGAATGCTATCGTACAATCATCCTTACTTTACTAAGAATGCTATCGTACAATCATCCTTACTATACTTAGAACGCTATCGTACAATCATTCTTACTATACTAAAGAACGCTATTATACAATCATCCTTACTATACTAAGAACGTTATCATACAATCATCCTTACTATACTAAGAATGCTATCGTACAATCATCCTTACTATACTAAAGAACGTTATCGTACACTCATCCTTACTATACTAAAGAACGTTATCGTACAATCATCCTTACTATACTAAAGAACGTTATCGTACAATCATCCTTACTATACTAAAACGCTATCGTACAATCATCCTTACTATACTAAAACGTTATCGTACAATCATCCTTACTATACTAAAACGCTATCGTACAATCATCCTTACTATACTAAGAGCGCTATCGTACAATCATCCTTACTAATTACTTTATTAATAGTAAACTGAAAATAATTACTGTATTAAATCAAAGCAGATGTTATTGCCTACTAGTATGTAAATTGATAGTTTAATCAGTTATTTTTAACGTAGACGTATTTGAATTTTATTTTATAACATACATCAAACTATTATGCGGTTGTAATCTACTTTCAAATGTAACAAACATCGTTTTATTACAAACTATTGCAGAGACATAGAAACCTGAGATATGAACGACATTTGTTTGCTATACTAAGTAGTCGCTCAAACCAAATCAACAAATACAAATAATTTAATTCATTTCCGCCAACATCATCTTTGTCACAATCTCCCAGCAATCCAATCTGTTAATCAAGTACAAATAACAACAGCAAGATCATTCAATAAACGCTAGCATCGGTCTGTATAGAAATGCCATCCAGTTACCACAATCACCGATCTGAACAATAACATCATCCAGTAATCACTACCATCGATATGGACAGTAATTCTACATAGTAATCAGTACCATAGATTTTAACAGTAAGACCACAAAGTAATCACTGCGTACAATTGATATGAACAGTGATACCTCACCGTGATAACTGCAATCGATCTTAGCAGTAAAACCACACAGTAATTACTACCATCGATTTGAATAATAACATTACAGTTAACACTAAAATCGATCAGAACAGTAATTAACATATCAGTAATCACTACCATCGATCTAAATAGTAATGTCATCCAGTAATCACTATCATTGATTTGAATAGTAATGCTCTCCAGTAATCGCTGACATCGATCTGAATAGTAATGCTATCGAGTAATCACTGATATCGATCCGAATAGTAAGGCTCTCCAGTAATCACTGACATCGATCTGAATAGTAATGCTATCCAGTAATCGCTATCATCGATCGGAATAGAATTGCAATCCAGTAATCACTGACATCGATATAAATAGTAATGCTATCCAGTAATCACTGACATCGATCTGAATAGTAATGCTATCCAGTAGTCGCTATCATCGATCTAAATAGTAATGTTATCCAGTTATCACTATCATTGATCTCAACAGTAACATCACCATTAATCCCTACAAGCGTTTAGAACAACTGATACTTAAGATTTGCGAAGACATGATTTATCTACTACAATGTATTTGTAATAAGCTTTGAATAAGCCTCCAGTAACTAAGTACCTGATCATAGATTAGTACTTTGTGTCTTTTTGTTAGTTGTTTCCTGTTTCATGATGATCTTAGTCCAGCCCTTTCTAGCAGATTTCAACAGGTTGTTCTCACATCGTTGTGCTGATACACCTCTGTTCCAGGTTAGGAGAGGATTGAGGGCTCAGAGATATGTTTAAACCCACCACATTCAGAACAGTAATTAACATATCAGTAATCACTATCATCGATCTAAATAGTAATGTCATCCAGTAATCACTATCATTGATTTGAATAGTAATGCTCTCCAGTAATCACTGACATCGATCTGAATAGTAATGCTATCGAGTAATCACTGATATCGATCCGAATAGTAATGCTCTCCAGTAATAACTGACATCGATCTGAATAGTAATGCTGTCCAGTAATCGCTAACATCGATCGGAATAGAATTGCACTCCAGTAATCACTGACATCGATATAAATAGTAATGCTATCCAGTAATCACTGACATCGATCTGAATAGTAATGCTATCCAGTAGTCGCTATCATCGATCTAAATAGTAATGCTATCCAGTGATCACTACCATCAATCTGAATAGTAATGCTATCGTAATCACTACAATCGATCTGAATAGTAATGCTATTCAGTAATCACTACCATCGATCTGAATAGTAATGCTATCGAGTAATCACTACAATCGATCTGAATAATAATGCTATCGTAATCAATACAATCGATCTGAATAGTAATGCTATCCAGTAATCACTACCACCGAACTGAATAGTAATGCTATCGAGTAATCACTACAATCGATCTGAATAGTAATGCTATCGAGTAATCACTACAATCGATCTGAATATTAAAGTTATCCAGTAATCATTATCATCGACCTGAATAGTAATGATATCCAGTAATCACTACCATCGAGTTGAATAGTAAAGTTATCCAGTAATCACTATTATCGACTTGAATAGTAATGCTATCCATAAATGAATAATCACTACCATCGATTCGAATAGTGAAGTTATCCAATGAAGACTATCATCGATTTGAATAGTAATGCTATCCAGTAATAACTATCATAGCTCTGAATAGTAATGATTGCCAGAAAATCACTATCATCGATCTAAACAGTAATTTCATTCAGTGATCACTATCGTCGATCTCAATAGTAACAAAATCTAGTATTCACAATCCATCGCTCTGAATAGTAATAATATCAGTAACCACTACCATCGATTAAAATGGTAATGTCATCCAGTAATCACTATCATTGATCTCAACAGTAACATCACCATTAATCCCTACAAGCGTTTAGAACAACTTATACTTAAGTTTGCGAAGACATGATTTATCTACTACAATGTATTTGTAATAAGCTTTGAATAAGCCTCCAGTAACTAAGTACCTGATCATAGATTAGTACTTTGTGTCTTTTTGTTAGTTGTTTCCTGTTTCATGATGATCTTAGTCCAGCCCTTTCTAGCAGATTTCAACAGGTTGTTCTCACATCGTTGTGCTGATACACCTCTGTCCCAGGTTAGGAGAGGATTGAGGGCTAAGAGATGTGTTTAAACCCACCACATTCTTTATGTGCCCATCCCATAGTCAGGAGCCTGTAATTTAGTGATGGTTGTTGACAGCTGTTTGACATATTTGTTTTTTGTTAATAGTTGTTATAGAATAAATGAAGTCGTTAGTTTTCTCATATTGTTTCACATTTTGTCATACCGGGGACTTTTTTGCCAATAGTGCTGAAAGTGGCGTAAAACATCAATCAATCAATTTTTAGCTAACTATATTGTATGGGTTTTGCTCATTGTTGAAGGCCTAACATTGACCTATAGTTGTCTACATTTACATCCACATTCTTTGGTATTTGGTGGATAGTCGTTTCATTGACAATCATAATATATCTTCTTCTTATATTGAAAGGTTAATCTCTTCATAGAGATTTTGAAAATGTAATTATCTGGACTATCAAATTCTGATCATCTGAAAGTATTTTAATGAATATGTTATTTGAAAGACAAACGCAGTTCATGTGTTTTGATTTCCAATAAGAATCAACAAGAGCAAAACAGAATGTTGTTTTGTATTACAACATTATTTTATAAACAATGTGATTTTACGATTACGGGATAACACCCCAGTGAGAGGCCCAAAATATGCACAGGCCAAAGGCAAACAAAAAAGTGAAAACATTTTATTTAACTTTTATTAAAACAATTAAAATCGATTTTTCATAATATATATTACTAGCTGTATGTAATTCTTAATATTTTTGTAACAATTGGATATAACAACAAAACCACTGCTTTCCAAGTATCAAATATTGTACTTTACTAATATTTTAGATCATTTTACCAAATTAATGGATAATGTTTTCTTCTCCAAAAACTATCTTATGTTTTAATCAATCATTAAGAAACCTGACAATACTTCAGATGAGAATTTCTTGATATGAACAAGTGTGAATACAACTACAGATGCATCAGGCATAATATACTGTGGATTAATTTATTTTTGTGAGTACCAGATTTTTCGAGGATAGAGGAAACATTGTGATTTTGCGGGTATTTGATATCGTGGTTTTGCAAAGCATACATGGGTAGAAAATTTGTAATTCATTTAACATTTAAATTCGTGGTTCACCTTCACCCATGAAATCTGCAAAAATTGGTATCCCACCAGTAATAATAAATCCACATTATAAAGTATTTCTCATTTTGACCTCTGATGTATGCAGCCAAAGGCTAAAGCTTTTTTATTCATTTAGTATGGCTATTTTAATAACCAAAAGGACCAGCAATTTTTACATGCACATCGTCAAAATATATAAGAAGATTATGGCAGGAAATAAGATAGTTTTATCAATTTTTAATGTGAAAAGAATTACTTTGAAAAAGATCTAGTGAAAATAAAAACATTCTTGCTTAATTTTCCTCAAAGGACAACACATTTCATATTTTAACAAATGTCTTATTCATTATAATACTCAAGCTTGCTATATAAAATAGTCTACATCTAGTAACCGTATATATACATTGTGTATGTCTTCTATATGGATAACTTGCAAAATCAACAAAAATAAGGCAAATATATATATATTTCTTATCACTTATTCTATTTAAATGCAATCTGAGAAAAGATATCAGACAATTTGCTGTATCTCTACTGGTTAATTCATCATGTTTACACCAAATCATTTGGAATGTTTACTAGCCACAACTGATATGGATATCATCATATTAGGTGATAGGGGCATGAAATAGAGGTTCAACTATACTTTATCTAGTCTAAGATATATGAGGTGGGACATTCATTTGTATCCGTATCAAAAATTACTGTAAATTCAGAAATTTTTGTGCGCATTTATAATTGAAATTGTTGACCAATGGACAAAAATTTGAGATTATTCATTATAATTTCTGGAAATACTGCATTTAAATAATGCTATAAAAATTTAAAATGCGAGTTTTTATTTTTTGCGAAACCTATACCGTTGCAATTTTCTCCCAAAAATAGAAGAATAACAAAAATTTCTGAATTTACATAATGCAGAAATTATGCATTTACTATTACATGGAAGTTAAAATATAGAAAAGTTACATGAAATAATAAAATGTAGTTCATTATATGACTAGCTTCTTGATGTGGAGTAGATCTCCTTAATATCCAATCTTAAGTAGTATACTTTCATACTGAAAATAGTTTGACTTTCAGTAGTTTTTTTTTTGTGATAAAAAGTTAATTAAATACACCACAGCCAACAGATACAAAGCATAGTTTAAATCAATAAATCAATAAAAAATGTCTTTGTATTACATTAATGATCTCTCACCATTATTCAACAATATTGCAACATTGTTTTTTTAAAACATATAAATTATATAATGAGATAGTAATAAATATAAACACACAAATCAACAGTGATTCTCAATTGAAACATTTACACATAATACTTGTATTAACTTATTGAAGAAACTGTGAAACAATACTTAAACAATTTTAAACATTCATATCACCAAAATCAAGTATTCTTACATCATTTCTTATTTACTTTACTAGGAATTCCTTAATAATAATATTCCAACTTTATTTTATATAATTTTGAATCTGCAATCAACAAGTTTCAGTTTCCCACAAAATATTGCTTTTGTAATTTGCATATGACAGGCAGAAACTTCAGAACATAAGGCATCTGTGTTCAAGAAATGAAGTATCCAGGTATTTCTACCGGTTTGTTTTGCTGCTGCCAAGATTGGATAAATACCCTATGTCTCCCATTTTTGCAACATATTTTGCAGGCGAGACAAAAACTGTTTGACATAAGAGGTTTGGTGAGGAAGGTATATCTCAGTCAAATTGAGAAATAAGAATGTAACTTTTGCAAAGGTGAGAATTCACTTGATCAAGCAATTCACAATTTCTTCTGCAGGTTATCCCTTATATTTCCAAAATCCTTGTGTAGATTTAAACTATTAGATTAAGGATTGTGTATGTGGCTTTAGCACCTATGGATTAATGATAAGATTAACCTACATCACGTCATACTTTTTTTGCTTTTTGCTGCTATGTCATCGAAGAACTTATCACGTTTCTCATGTAGATATTGCACAAAATTATTGACCCTATTTTCCCTGTCATTTGCATATTGTTTTGCAAGTGTATGTAAAGATTTGGTTTCTGATTGGTCCATTTCTTGAGCTACAATTTCATAATCACTTTCTCTTTGTAATCGTAATTGGTCGGATTCATTCTGTTCTTTGGCCCTCTGAAAATAGGAAAAAACTTATTAGCAACTTAACAAAAATAGTTACTGGATAGGAGAAAACTTTCAGGTATGGAATATACAATTGAAATAATAATTAAATCTACAAAATGAATGTATCCTTAATAACAGGTCAAGAACAATGAATATCCTGATACAATTAAAAAAAGTCATATTGAAAAGTAGTCTTTAGAGAAAAGAATAAAATGTTACCTTTTACTTACAGAATAACCAATCCAAGAATTAAAATATTGAAATTTATTTGACGAATGACCAGACAACACATTACTTCACGAATGTGTGTAGCACATGTTTTGATTAACAGTGTTGTTAGGTCACCAATTGAATATTTTTCTATACTTGATTTTTTTTTTTGTTATTTGTTCTTTTAATACATTGAGCATGTGGACATTTAATGGAAATAAAATAGAAAATGCAAGGAACTATATCTTTTACAACCAATTTAATAAATTGAATGTTCTTAAAGTAGTTTTATCTTGTTTTTTTCTTCTAGAAACATCTTTCCTAAGTATTTCAATACTTGTGAACGATTCATTTCTACTTTTGCATATTGAAAACGATAAGACTCAGTTTAAAAAAAAAATCCTTTTAAAGAGGTTTGTGTATATTTCTATTTAAAGGTAAAAGTGTCAGGTCATCATATATTATTTTTAAAATAAAAACCACCTAAAGCAAAAAGAAAGATCTTACCTGAAGTTGCTGATAGTTTCTTTGGTAATGTAAAATACAGCCATATAAATGCCACCTGGAGAATTCTGGCCATAACACTTTTACAAAAGCCAAACAACTATATGCAGTCTACAACAAAGACAGGCCAAAAATGAATATTTGATGCACAAACAAAATAAAAACAACTATTATTATAAAAATGTATATAATCAGAAATCAATGTAAAATGGAAATTTCATTTTTTGTGTAAGGTGGTTCTTAAATCAATTTATCTATATAATTCAAAAATGTCTAATCTTACTATTACAATTCTGTTTATATAAAGTCAGCAATCCAAGAACTAACATCAACTCATTAAATACTGTTAAAGAATTAGTTTTCCTGTTGTTATAGTTTTTATTTATTGTGCCACACGTATTATAAACTATATTTATAATAGAATGAACATCAAATTAATAATAATTAAACCATGAAAAAAAAACCCTGAAAACAAAGTGACAGACAAAACCACAAAAAGTTGAATGTTTCTTTTAAAAACAATTTAAAAAAAAATCATACTTTTCTAGACACTATGCAATTCAAAACTTGACCTACTGTATAGAAATTCTAGTTACTGAAAACTGTATGTTGACCTCTAAATGAGTTTTGATTTTTTTGTGTTGTTTGGTTGCTGTCTCATTGACATTAACCCAACATAACCTTTTATTCATCTCAACTTTTACTTTACTGTTTATAAGATAACGTTAAAATATAATAGTATCTGGTGAGGCAACAGTTTAGAGAAATCAAGAACCAGAAACTAAGTTTATGTTAAGCTTGAGAAGATAATGATGTTCTTGGGGTATACTCCATGCTTACCTGCCATAGTAAAAAATCACTAAGCCTAACTTCTCCTGATGTCCTTACAAGCAGATCTGGGTTGGGAGAGTTTCCTGTATACAGACTTTTCTCCAATAATGCTTCTGATACATCACTAAAATTTAAACCCATAACATATAATGAGAAGTCATGACACAGGACAGCGATAGATGTATTTCTTTTTTCTAAAAGCCTAAACAAAATCATACATCAGAAAGTAAGGTTATATCTACACAATAATCTCCCCTTTCATCAGCTTATCATTGAACTCTGTACAATTTGTAACTTATCAACATAAGAAATAAAAGGAACTTTACTTTTGTATATATTTTGAATTAGATCCAATATAAGTTTGGATGATTTGTCCGGACTCGACAAAATTTCTTCACAAAATACTAATTGACAACAATTCTGCTAGTGTCAAAAGTTTTATAAATTTCGCTTTTGTAAGTTTTTTGTGAATTTTTATCATTGTTATCAAAAGTATAAAGTAATGAATTTTCAAAACTCCATATTTTGACAATGATGACTAACCACCACCATGAATTTCCTTAATGGTAATAAATATAAAAACTTTATTCTATTATGCATCATCAACAGTGGCAGATCCAGAAATTTTCATAAGAGGAGGCCCACTGACTGCCTAAGAGGGGGCACGCTCCAGTCATGCATCAGTGATTATCTATATAATCAACCAAATTTTTCCCACAAAAGGGGGGGGGGGGGGGGGGCCCTGCCCCCCTAAATCCGCCTCTGATCAATATTAATTAAAATGAAGCAACATAACCCAGTGACAAAATCTCCTCTCAAGACAAAGCTTGTGGTTGTGTAAAAATACAAAGGTTTTGTGAACAGTTCTTTATTTTTTTTCCTTTAAGATCATGAACAAGGGTCTGGAAAGGGGGTCTTCATTTTTGTATTCTTTACTTTTAGGCCATTTTCTCTATTTTAGAACCTTATTATTCTCTAATCTTTATTTTGTTTGCCCATTTATGTCTATTCTTTATGATTTTGGCCCATTATTCTCTAGACTAAACCCCATCCAGACCCTCATGAACCATGACTCTACCTGTCTTTTATCAATCCAAGTGATACACCCTCTGCTATTTCTTTCATAGCTGTACACATTTCGTCTCTAGAGGTATAGGCAAAACAAACATTCAATATGGCCCTGCAAGTATACAAAATATATGTATTATACATTAATTTCCACAATGAATATATCTGTAAAATATTGTTTCACTGTGATGTAATATAGTATATCTCATGGGGTCAAAGTGCAAAATTCTGAAAATGAATCATGTTAGAACCATTCAAAAAGAATTTTCAATTCAATTATTTAATAATAATTTTCAAAGTATTTCTTTTAAATATGTTAGCCATCTTGATTGCAAGCTGATTTGAGTAAATTTTCCCTATTTTCAAAACAGTGACAAACATATTTGATGGCAGTTGCAATCATCACTAACATTTCTTAAAAGATTAAAAAAATGTATCAAGATTCCTACTTTTGGTAGCAATTGGCTTAATTCTATTGATTTACATTCTTTTCGTACTTTAAATAATGGTAGGGATATACTATTTTTCGGTGACAAAAACAGATATAATTTTGAAGCATGACACCATTGAGACTTAATTTGGTTTCTATGGTTTAAAAGCATTTGTTCTTTGTAAAAGTCAGCACAAACCTGTTATTATCTTTAGAGAATGTGACAACTTCTGCTATGATTTCCTGTATATCACTGGGTAATAAACTGACATTCCCCAGCACCCTCACACATACACCATACTCCTTTATCTTATCTCTAAAAAACAAAAACATGTACATATATTACAATTTCTCAAAATGTTTGTTAAAATATAATCATAAAATACATGTATTAAGACATTTGATTTTCTAAGCTGACATGCCAATTTTCTAGCATCATATGAGAGCTTGCTAAATAATTTGCAAACCTATTTATAAGCAAAGGCAATACTTGTATGTTGAAAATCAAATGATACTTGTTAAATGCTTAAATCTATTACTGGGTTGCATCCTCATATTTTTTATTTTTCTCCTTAAAAGATTCAACTCTTTATAAAAAAAAGAAAAACAGATACAAAATTGACATATTTAACTCCTTCCAATCGTGTGTATGGTTCATTTTTGACCTTTTTCCTTCAAAACCAGGGTTATAATGACTTCATTTGTGAAGTCAATACACTATTTACAGATTTACTACAATTTTATCATTTATTTTCTAAATCATAAACAGTAACGCATTATTTTCTCTGTATTGGTAAGAGCAATACTATGTTTAAATTTGTGAACCAAGCAGGAATCGCATCTCCCCTACATCTTTAAATCACAATTGTGTCAATAAAGTCCTTGCAGTGAACCTTATGTATATCAATGTCAACTTAAAACTTACTTTTCTTCCATTAGTCTTTTAAACTTTAATCTGGCAAGTTCCATGAGACAATCAACCTCCTCTTTAGATCTTTTAAAATTCTCTATACTAAAGGCATAAACAGTTACCTCTGTGATTCCAATGTCTAAACACCATTCTAAAACCTATAAAATTTCAAAACAGATTTATGTTAAGACAAATGTAAAAAGGCCCTTAGGGGTTGTGTGTTTGTGTCCTTATTTGGACAAAAAAATTATGTACATTTGTATACATGTACAATATCATTCAAAATATGATATGCATGTGCAGAGTCCTTACTTCAAATTTAAAGTCTTTTAAATTTTATGAATACTTATCATTAATTTAACATGTTTAAGGTGGCATGAATTTCATATTTCTTCAACAAATAACAAACAATTGCTTAGTTCATTGTAGTTTTAGGATGTTTAGCACGTTATTTTGAGAGTTGGAAATATCAAACCACATTAAATATTTGTAGAAACAGTGTAGCTTATATATAGAAAACGCTGTGGTTATGTAGAGTGTATCTTGTTTGTTTCTCAAATGGGCTCATTATCTGTTAGTCTGAAAGCCACTTAAAAATCTACCAACATCTTTGTATATTACATGTTACAAAAAACATTCAAAATTGTGACCTCTCAGGACTCTTTCTATGATACCATCGAAACATTTGACATGCCATTTTATCTTTTTATTACTTATACACATTTAAAACCGTGTCCTTTCAAAATACCAAATGGCCAAAATGTTTTTCCAAGTTGCAGTTTTAACTCATTTCTTCATATTGATCTACTTCCACTGGTGAACAGTTTCAGTCAATTGCTGGTGAAATGTTGTTTGTATGAATCAAATGCAGTGCATTAATAATAATTCTTATCATCCAATTCCAGTGATTATCTATCTATTTTGTGAAAGTGGAGCAATTTTGAACAACTACTCTACTCACCATGCTCACCAGGAATATTGCCTAACAAAAAGTTTGATTTGAATATGAAATTTGTTGGTTGGTTTTATTAATTAATTTGGACTTATATAGAAGATAATTCTTCATAAGTTCTTCATTTCAACTAATTGATGTTTGCCTAACATCCAGTGGCAAATATTTCATGCATGATCAGTCCAATATAACATAATACCTCTGTAAGTTTGTCAAAACCTTTCAGATGACCCTCAGCTCTATCCATACTGTTTTTCACAGCAAATCTTCTATTACCATCCATTATGACTGCTACATGTTTAGGAATTGGTCCAAACTCTAGGATCCTTATACACATCTTGTGGTACCATGCTTTAGGTTGTTCAGGAAACCATGTTGACATTTTAAAGCTGTTATAATGAAACATTTATATTTACAGATTCATTTAAAAAACAACTTGTGATCAATTATTGAACCATTACTGAATATTTACGTGGAAATAAGATTTCATTGAATCATCATAGGTGGTTTCCCTTCAAACTTTAACATGTAAACTATGCCACATTCTATATGTGTCTGTCCCAAGTCAGGAGCCTGTAATTGAGTGGTTGTCGGTTTTTGCTCTTTCTCACATTTGTTTTTCCTTTATTGTTTTGCATAGTTTGTTCTAATGTTGTGCCATTACACCACTGTCCCAGGTTAGGGGGAGGGTTTGGCGCCAACAAACTAGTTTAACCCCGTCACATTCTGTATGTGCCTGTCACAAGTCAGGAGCCTGTAATTCAGTGGTAGTCGTTCGTTGCTGTATATCATATTTGTTTTTCATTCATTATTTTGTACATAAATTAGGCCGTTAGTTTTCTCGTTTGAATAGTTTTACATTTGTCATTTAGGGGCCTTTAATAGCTGACTATGCTGTATGGGTTTTACACATTGTTGAAGGCTGTACGGTGACCTATAGTTGTTAATTTCTGTGTCTTTTGGTCTCTTGTGGAGAGTTGTCTCATTGGCAATCATACCACATCTTCTTATTTTTATATACAAAATTTTTAAAGTCAATAGACCATGACTGAGGAGTAGGGCCAAATAATCTCCGTGAAAATGAGATGTGCCAATGATTATACCACTACATATATGTACCAAATATTATTGACTTTTCATAAACTGACATAATCACAAACTTTTAACTAATTGCTGACGCTGCTGCCGTTGGAAACAGCACTCCTATTTGTAAGTCTAGCTTTTTTACTTTGTCAAGGGGAGACTAAATTGAAAACAATACAAGGATCAGTAACAATAATCATAATGTCCAGATAAGCTATTATTTAATATGTTTATGGTAGCACTGCAGCTCAAATTGTATCAAAGTAGGCACACATCATTGACTTGTATCTAAATTTATATTATTAACAGTCTGGTTTAACTCATAGTAATAAAAATGTCTTATGAACAGTTCTGTAACATGCTTTCTTGACCCTCTTTGAGTTGCTAATTGTCTGGAGGTACAAATAAGTACTAACAAATTTGGTAGTGTTCTGATCATGAGCTGTGAAGGACTTCTGATATCGATGTAGAAGTTGATTGTGGATGTTTCTTGAGACATGTGAGAAAACTTTAAAATTGGAAACCTGTTTTATGGCTATTCACACTCACTATATATCAAGCAATTAGGACAAGGAGTCAAAATTGTGTAGTGTATGCCTAATTTGTGTATATTGGCAGGTATGCTATGATGCCAGCTTTTTCCTGAGAAGTTCCTTTTTTGGATTTTTTTTTACTATCCACTTATATCATGTTTATGAGTCCTTTATTTACTTTCAGTATTTAAATTTGTTTGATACCTCTAGAAAATAGTATGATCCATCCAGGAGCCGGTTTTAGTATTAAATTGCTACCTAAGTTGAAACTGTCTTATGTAAAGTTAACCATAACTATTAATCAGTGTTATATTAAGGATTTCAGTGATATTTATGGGCAGAGGGGTCCAGTTTTCAAGACCAAGGCTAGCATGGTTACTAGTCTGAATAGGGACAGGTTGATCATGTTTAGATTGATAAAAAAAAATTAAAATATTTCATTTTGAATAAGTTAATGTATTTTCCTTTTATTTATAATATCTTTTGCCTGCAAAAACGCTTTTTCAGTAGTTAAAATGTTTTTGTTTTTTTTTGCATTCGAAAACTTAAATGCACAAAGGGATGGATAAAAAAGGCAGAACAGTGCACAAAAAAGGCATAGGGAAGCTGTTATCCTTTATTTTAGGCCAACAAACAAACTGGACATTTAAAGGAGTTTGGATCAATTGAACTTTGCCATCACAATACTTCTATACTAGTATTGTCAACAATACTCGTTTATATTTAAAATATAAAAAATAAAATGCTCCGCTGGGCGCAGCTTGATATGACCGCTGAGGTCGAACCAGGAACAGTTGGGGCAAGTATGGACACAAAATTCAAGCTTGATACAGCACTGAATTTGGATTGTAATTAAATATTTGACACAGCATAGGTTTCTGACACAGAATGAATGTGGTCTAAGAAATTAAAAAATTTTAATTTACCTATTCAAACCATATCATTATTATTTGCTTTTATATATAAATCAGAAATAACCAATTTAAAAAAAAAAATTTTGAACCCCCTTATGATTCATTACTCCCAAACTCAATCCCAGCCTTCCCTTTGTGGTATGGTACCCTGCAGTACAATTTCAGAGAGATCCATACACTTGAACACAAGTTTTAAAAATGTTTGTTTTTTGGCCCCAAATTCCTAAACGTTTAGGGCAATTACCCCCAAACTCAAACCCAGCTTTCCCTTTGTGATATGGAACCTTGTAGTACAATTTCATAATGATCCATACACTTACACACAAGTTATTGTCCTGAAACTAGAAAAATGCTTGTTTTTTTTTTGCCCTTTTTTGGCCCCTAATTCCTAAAATTTGGAGGCAATTACCCCCAAAATCAATCCCAGCATTCCCTTTGTGGTATGGTACCTTGTAGTACAATTTCAGAGAGATCCATACACTTGAACACAAGTTATTGTCTGGAAACTAGAAAAATGCTTATTTTTGACCCCTTTTTGGCCCCTTATTCCTAAACGTTTTGGGCAATTACCTCCAAACTCAATTCCAGCTTTCCCTTTGTGATATGGAACCTTGAAGTACAATTTTAGAAAGATCCATACACTTACACACAAAGTTATTGTCATGAAACTAGAAAAATGCTTGTTTTTTGCCCCTTTTTTGGCCCCTAATTCCTAAAATTTGGAGGCAATTACCCCCAAAATCAATCCCAGCATTCCCTTTGTGATATGGAACCTTGTGGTACAATGTCAGAGAGATCCATACACTAACACACAAGTTATGTCTGGGAGTTACAAAAATGCTTATTTTTGGCCCCTAATTCCTTAACTGTTGGTACCATAACCCCCAAAATCAATCCCAACCTTCCTTTTGTGATATTGAACCTTATGGTAAAATTTCATAGAGATCCATTCACTTAAACTAAAGTTAGAGTGCGAAAACCAATGTGTCTTCGGACGACGATGCCAACGTCATACCAATATACGACTGCAAAAGCGGTCGTATAAAAATACCTTAAAGTAGTTTCCAATTATAGCTGCGTTTATTCAACAAAATTCAAATGTAATGCATTGATTTTAAAAATATGTATTCCACTGTAAAAATAGAGAAACATTTTAATATTCATTTTTGTATCTAAAAATTCTTTATTATAGTTTATTTTGAATTAAATGTACTTTTTTTATGATAAAGTCTATTCAAGGGAAATAACCCATGGATTTTTAATAGATGCATAACAAATTCAGACTATTTTTGTACGATTTGGTTAGTCCTGAAAAGGACTGTTTGACCATTAAGGACTTTCCAATATATACTTCTCAGACTGCGTTTTGTTCAGCAAGGTGGATATATACATAAGTCTTTAAATGCGAATTTCTGTTGTGTTCTGGTCAAGTAGGGTTCATTAGTATGTGTGGGATGCCAGTTTCTGGGTTGACAAAGTAGGTAAAGTAACAGTTTCACTTTTTATATCTGCCCAAATGTTATGGCTAATTTTTAGTTTATCTGCTTTTTCTATTTTCTAGTATCATTATGTCTTAAAATAGAAAATAAAACCAAAAGATTGTTAAAAAATTACATTAATTGAGTTATAAATAACAAACTCTATTGATTTTTTAATTTTGCCAACAACACTTGGGGAGGGTTAATTTTTTTGATTGCCTGCATGTTTAACCCCACCATATTCTGTATGTGCCTGTCCCAAGTCAGGAGCCTGTAATTCAGTGCTTGTTGTTTGTTTGCTTTATTTTTCATGAATTGTTTTGTACATAAATCAGGCCTTCAGATTTTTCATTTGAATTGTTTTACATTTGTCATTTCAGGACCTTTTATAGCTTGCTATGCGGTATAATTTGTGCTCATTGATGAAGGCCATATGGTGAACCGTAGATGTTAACTTCCACGTCATTTGGTCTCTGATGGAGAGTTGTCTCATTGGCAATCATACCACATCTTCTTATATTTATATAGTACACATATTACATATTACATATGAGTATTGTGGTCACTAAGTTCATTGATTCTGGGGTTCTTTATCCATTGTGTTTTCTAGTTCTTAATGTATTGGAGTTCATAACATCAAATACCTTTATCATGTCATCAAATTGTTGACTTGAAAATATGAACTTCAATTATAAAAATTGTTCCCTATTCTTTCTGACACTGTTGTCCACAGTTCTTAACTGGAATTCCCAATAGGGATTAAACTATTAAACTGTTGGATGATTGCACTATGAAAGGGGTACATTACAATATTAAAATATTTAAAACTTTGCTTAATATTGTGTATAGTATACACATTAGTGTTGAGTGTATTGCAAGAAATCATGTGTAAATATGATGAATTTATGTCAGATGTACAAAAACATTTTTAAAACAATAAATTTACAAAATACTTTACCAACAATATACGATGCTATTAACAGACTAATTAAATGCTGAGAACAAGTGAGGGAATCACGAAGCGAGGGCTATCCCCATCTGTGTGACGTAGCACCGGGTTGTAATTCGGCTAAATTTCAAACATTAACGAAATAGTGCGATATATTTCTGTTTTACCTGGTCATTTGTTGACCACTTTTTATAATATTAAAATAAAGAAAATAAAATAATGCTTTTAAAGAATAAAGTTATACTCATATTTACAAAACAAAATAGATTTTATATTTCCATTATATTATTCTTCCGCGTTTCGATCCATGGCAGTAAACAGAAAATGGCGTCGCCATCGCTCATTGAATAACCCACACAGTTCATTGTTTAATTAAGTTTTAATGATGAAGCCTGGACCAAGTAAAGAAAACAGAGAAATATCATCAATAGAAGCTGGTAAATTAATGGTTTCATTATGAATTCATGTGTATTTTCTACGAATAAAACTGATTCCAATGTACAAGCAGTCTTTCTGTTTTCTTTTCAGAGTTATATTTCCTCATCGCCAGATTCTTGTCTTCTGGACCCTGTTCCGATGCCGCACAGGTAAGTCTTTGACATTATTATGTTCGTAAGGGTTCATTGAACTTATCTCATACTAAATTAACCCTTTTCTTTTCCAGGCACTTCGCAAAGAACTAGAAAAACACAAGGTAAGTGTGCGAAAATTGAACATGTTTCCAATCCAAATTACGCGCTTTTACGGTAGAAAACGGGTAAAAAACGGCAATATCATGTTGAAATTTAAGTAGAATTATAACGGAATTTACTTGCTGTCATTGAAAACGGACTGTTCCACGGAACTTTTGGAATAATGAATTTTTGAAATTTTGTAGCTTTTGCCAAAAAGAATTGACTGGGAAGGCAGGGAACACGAAAGAAGTTTTGAAAATTTGGTAAGTTTTCGAAAAACAAGAAATTGACATTTTTTACTTTTTCCATATTCAAGACGATTTTTACTTTATCTTGTTTCATGTGTCTTATCTGTTTAATATTATTTAGTGATGCTCGTAATTTTCACTTAATTAAGTCAGTTTTATTAAAAAATCAATTGTTTCCATGATTTGCTTTGAAATTGTAATAATTTCTTTGAGGCCATTATCATATCTAATGCACAAGGTCATGTGTGATGTCATTGACCCCAGGTTCAGATTTATAACCAATGAGAGAAAAGCAAGCTATATTTAGCAAATTCCTTCTGAATATCTCTAGACTTATCATTGCGCATCTAAAGTTTATTTTCTTATTTTCGTTGTTTCTCTGTTGAGGACCATAGGTGTAACACCTGATATATATTGTTTGGCAAATATAAAATTCTGTTTATAGATTGGGAACAAACTTCAAAATCAATTTCAACAATTTAAGGTTCAAAACATGAAAAATATTCATAAAAAATGTACTAACATTACTTTTTAAATTGTGTTCTTTCAAAAACAGTAAAAAAATGTTTTTTTTTTTTTATAGTATAAATAATTTGAAATATCTCCATCATGAAATCTTGTCAGATTCAAATGTGCAATTCTCAGTTAAAAGAAAAAGAAAAGAAAAAATACTCTTTTTGTAATTTAACAATATAATTTTAGTGGTAAATACTCATTTAGAGAACTATTTACAGAGAATGAAGCCCCTAATATAGTAGAAAAATCAATATAAAAATTTTTGCAATACTGGCTGTCCAAGCCCACAGGGGTAATACATATACAAGTTTTTTTTAATTATTTACTGGTACAAGTTAATAATTTTGGATGTAGAGTAATATCGCTTAGTAAGACGTTCAGATTTTTTTTCTTTTATCAGGGACTCTAATATACTTAATTAAATAATAGTCCCAGCTTATATGTATAGGTGAAAGAAGTCATAAGATCTTCTTTTTTTGAATTTTGCTCTAATTGAGTGTTAAATTCATTGTCTGTCTTTTATACTGTTAAGAAATTATTTTGTGGATTTATGAATGCGATATCGACAGAAAATAATGTAAGAATAATTATTATGACTTAATATAGGAATTAGCTGCATACAAATATATGTATCAGATTTCAAAATGTGAGTTCTAATTATTGCTATACTCACCCAGTCGCATTATTTGCAATAATAAAAACCTCACAATAATTTGCAATATTTGTCTTTTCTGTAAAAGTAGAATTTCATGGACAATTTAAAACTCATTTGTCTGTTACAGTATCTTCTAAATACTGAAGTTGGCAATGTAAATAAGTTTCTTTTGTTATCGTAAAATAAGATTGTAATAACTAAAGGAAATTTAATTGATTTATGATTTTTGCAGGTTGAATTATATCGTCATGTTACATCTACCCATTTGTTACACATTTGTCAGAGACTTGGTCCATTATTAGACAAAGATATCAAACCAAGTGTATGTGGTGTGCAGTCTTTACTAGGTTCTGGTAGCAACTCTTTATTGAGGACAAAAGACGGTAGGTTGCATATGTTTTACATGTTTTTCCATCTGGTTGGTTTTAATTGTTATCTACCTTTATTAGTTTTACATTTCTTGATGTCATAGTTTTCAACACTCCAGGTTACAATAAACCACTAGATTTTACGGGTGCAGTCATTTTATGAAGATAACATCATGTCATGGTATTCAGAATTAAGAGTATGGCTAATCCTGATTGGTCGTTGTGTGCAGCTGATATTTTTTATTACTAGATACTTCGTACACTCAAGGCAAGGGAGATAAGAACAAATTCCGCTAAGAAAAGCAACGGTAACCTATATTTTTTGGACTAAAAATATTGTCAGAATGATTTTTCTTTAATTCTAGCAAGGTTTCGTTCTAAAAATCGACTTTCCAAAGTCTGTATCTTGAAAAAGGCTACTGTTGTCGCCTATGGTGAAATTAATTGTTGTTTGCATGTATAGATGTTGGTAGGACCCTTCTACTTTTGTTTTTGATTAAGAAATCACTGTTTTCTGACAAGTCTTCTAAGGGTTACATCAAAACTCTCACTTCGCAGAAAACAAGATCCAATATCTATCTTGACTATTTCAGGGTTTTTAAAGTTAAAATAAAAATTGACAAATTGCTTAACTTTGATTGTGAATACAACATAGAGTGGCCAAGTTACTAGATATATTATTTTATTATTTATTTTATATTTTTATTATATATTTATTATTTTAGCTATAAATAAGTACAGAAATGATTTAACTCTAAAAAATTCTTGAATTAAAGGGGACCTCCCAATTCAAAGAATTGAAAAGTTGACACGAACATGTTTTTTTTTGCAGAAAAAGTACATAGCCAATTATATTACAATTATTGTACATATACAGTCTATTGTCAGATGAAAAACAGAAATTGTATATAAAAAACTGGAAACACCACATTGAAATGCACATAACATAAATATATATATCATTTATATTATATAATGTCTAAAAATAGCAACAATCAACATCCAATCTATTTAGGCGTTGATCATTAATATTATATATATATATATATATTAACATTTATGAAACTTTGACTTTTGTTGTTTGGTTAATGTTTACTCCACATCTCAGAAAAAGAATCAGGAAAAGTATATTGAACAGTTTAATAAAGAAAATGTCTTGTGTTATTATCTTATTGTCATATACCCAACATCACCTTTTACAACCCTTAAAAAACCCATAAGTTTGAATATCAGATACATAAATAACTTTTAGTGAAACTATAGACTTTTATAAATATTTGATGTCGAACATTTTTTTTAGATTAAAAACACATAAAATTTTTGTAACAAGGTAACAGATGTTTATATAAACATGCATCATTTTTTTTTATTGTCAAATGTTGTCTTTATTTTTTAGTACTTCAACTGTAAAATATGAAGAGATGGGAGATAACTCTTATTGTAATTAATTTATAGATTTGGGAAAAAAATAAACAATCACTGATTTAATAAGATATCATGTTAAGAATGGATGTGCCTTATAGAACTTTATTTTTATAAAATATTTTCAGATCAGCAGTTGCACAAACAATAAAAAAAATTACTTGTAATAGTAAACATTTTGAACTCAAGTAAATCCCTTAGTTTATTGACTTGTACAAGTTAAAAAAAACTTATATCATTATGTATATTAATTTTTTGACTTGCAGAATCTAGAAGCCAAATTTTCATTACTTACCACTGACACTTTTTTATATGGTTAATTTATGCGCCAAGATGTTTAGAAGTCCCTATAGACAAAAGGCTTTGATGATAATTTAAATTATCTCTCTTAAAGGACTCTTACATTATTTTTGCTACAATGTTTATGTAAGGTTGATCTTAAATGGAAAACTTGTATTAGTGTAAAATGTTATTTGGTCACACCAGAGGCTCAAAGATCTTGATTATTGACTTGTTTAAGCTTTTTTTTATCAAAGTAAATTTTTGAAAGGAAAAACTGACGGGAGATAATTTAAAATACTTGAACAAATGGATTAATTTTTAACTTACTTTTACAAGAAGGATTTCTGATTTTAAGAAATGAATATTTTGAATTATTGCAAATTATGTAATCAGTAATGATTAAGAGGCAGTTGAAATAAATGCATACATAAATTTACTTTGATAGATAAAGGATAGCTGAAATTAATATATATAGTAACTTATAAAAAACAATGACAGTAATTATACCCCATGCAACGAGTTGCGGAGGGTATAATGTTTTTGACCCGTCCAACTGTCCATCCGTCTGTCCGTCCGTCCTTCAGTCCTGTTTCTTGTCATCGCAACTCCTCTCAAACCACACAACAGAATTTCACGAAACCTTTTTAGATAATAAGGACATACTATGTAGTTGTGCATATCGACAGGAAATTACTATTCAATTTTTTTTCCAGGAGTTACGCCCCTTTGAACTTATTTGCCCATTATACTACTGCAACAGTTTGTCATCGCAACTCCTCTGAAACCACACAACAGAATTTCATGAAACCTTTTCAGATAATAAGGACATACTACGTAGATGTGCATATTGACAGGAAATTATGATTCAATTTTTTTTTCTAGGAGTTACGCCCCTTTGAACTTATTTGCCCAATATACTACTGCAACCTTTTGTCATCACAACTCCTCTAAAACCACACAACAGAATTTCACGAAACCTTTTTAGATAATAAGGACATACTATGTAGTTGTGCATATCGACAGGAAATTATGATTCAATTCTTTTTCTAGGAGTTACGCCCCTTTGAACTTATTTACTTTAATGTACTACTGCAACAGTTTGTTATCGCAACTCCTCTCAAACCACACAACAGAATTTCATGAAACCTTTTCAGATAATAAGGACATACTATGAGATGTGCGTATCGACAAGAAAATAAGGTTCAATTTTTTTTTCAGGAGATTCGCCCCTTTGAACTTATTTGCCCAATATACTACTGCAACCTTTTGTCATCGCAACTCCTCTCAAACCACACAACAGAATTTCACGAAACCTTTTTAGATAAGAAGGACATACTATGTAGTTGTGCATATCAACAGGAAATTACGATTTAATTCTTTTTCTAGGAGTTACACCCCTTTGAAATTATTTACTTTAATGTACTACTGCAACAGTTTGTCATCGCAACTCCTCACAAACCACACAACAGAATTTCATGAAACCTTTTCAGATAATAAGGACATACTACGTAGAGGTGCATATTGACAGGAAATTATGATTCAATTTTTTTTTTTTTGATACAATTTTTTTTTCTTACACATGTTACACTTATTTTATTTCTCCAATGATAATGTGGGGACGTGGGGTATGTGAGCGCGCTCACTAAGGTTCTTTCATTACCAAAAATATTGTATGGTACAAGAGATCACACCAACTACCAACACTTGACTTAAAAAAACAGTGAAAAAACAAAGATGAACGACTTGACACAGTTACAAAATGGGTTTGGGTTCAACCAGTTTAACATTCATAGTGGTTGTTTTAAAGGTGTTAAGATTGACACATGTTAATCTCATTCAGAGTTTTCAAAGCACCTTGTTTGGTTTTATGAATCTGCAAATATGCCTCATTTGCAGATCAGAATGCCACTCTGATCAAATAGAATCTTTGAATTTTCACTCCTTACATCATTGGAGATTTCTAAATAAAAATATTGCCTAAGAGGAACATGAGGAATGTGAAATGTTATTGTGAATACATGTAATCAAAAACAAAGATAAACAACAGATGGTCTAATTCGTGATTGCTCAGAAGTTTTGGACTACACATGGTCCAGTTAGCTTGGCTTGACACAGTTACAAAATGGGTTTGGGTTCAACCAGTTTTACATTCATAGTGGTTGTTTTAAAGGTGTTAAGATTGACACATGTTAGTCTCATTCAGAGTTTTCAAAGCACCTTGTTTGGTTTAAAACCTTCAAATTTTATGAATCTGGAAATATGCCTCATGTGCAGATCAGAATGAAAATCTGTTCAATTAGAATCTTTCAATTTTCACTCCTTACATCATTGCAGATTAGTAAATAAACATATTGCCTAAGAGGAATGTGAAATGTTATTGTGAATACATGAAATCAATCCATCAGTGATTCAAAGAATGATAAAAAGATATAGATAAGAACAATTTTCTTGCTTTAAGTATTCGATCAGTGTGATAAATTATATTTTTACTCCCAGTTAACAATATTTTACTAATGGCAAAGCCACAAAATATGCAAGACAAGATTCATTTTGTCCAATTACTGATTTTTTTTTGACTTGAAAACATTCCAATAAATTTGGCTTTATAATTTGCTTTGTAAGAAAAAAAAATTATAATGAGAAATTTACATTTGTAAAACAGATTGTAAGGGGTAAGTAATGATGTGTACATCTTGTTTTTCAAACTTGAAAACCATGCTTTTAGCAAACAACAATCAATCAGTTATACCTAAAATTTTATGGACAAAGGGAAATAACTCAATTCAACACATTACAATTACAGTCAGATCTCAGACATAAACATGATAAATAAGTCTTGTTTTTGATTCATAGTTGTCTAAACTTGTTTATATGGTTGTTGCCCTTTATATTTAAACAAAAAATGACTTCAACATGTCAATAAATGTTAAGCATGTAATGATTAATATGAATCAATATATTGTGCGAATATTGACTTCTTCAAGACAATATCTTACCAAAGTTGATTATTTTCAAGACCCCATGTACAAATATAAAATGGTCATGCATCTACATGAAATTGTGACAACTTTGTTAGGCAAAGCTTTAATTTCTGCTGGAAAATATGAGTGAGAGGCATAAAAACAGAGAAAATTTAAAACCCTCTAAAACTGATTTTTAACTGGATTTTATAGTAAAATGTTCTATAAGATCATTAATTATAGACATGATAGAAAGCACAGATCCTCGTTAATTCTGAGAAATTTTATTCTCATAGGTGATATACGATGGACTCAAAGTCATATAACGTGTTTTAAAACCCGTTAAATGAAATATTAGTTGTTGTAAACAAATCTGTCATTTTCTGAATTGGACAAGTCCAAAATTGTAAACACATTTTTATCATACTACATAATTTGACCTCTGTAAGTCAGAAACAAAAAAAGAACTTAAGTATGAGCTCTGGATGACTTTAAAATATTAAGTGTAATGTTTAATTTAAGTTCTAAGTGCAAATTGATGCAATCTTAACCCTCTCAATGCTCACAATCACAATGATTATAGTATGTTTTGTTCCATCAAGGGTCCAAAAACAGTCATATTTTGCATACAGGTTTATATTTACATTTGAGATTGATATTCTTAGACTATGTTTATATTGACACCATAGATATATTATACATCTATACTTGGTATAATATTTTATAGCCATATTAAATCCAAGATGGCCACCAGTTACTCATGTTGTGATGCATCATCAGAGACCACTTCTACCTCCAAACAATCTTGTTATCCCAAATGTTGGTAAGTGTATTATAATATCAAGTGTAATTTTTTGCAACAAATTTTAGACATTTTTGTCGAGCCTTCGACTTTTGTGGAAAAAGCGAGACATAGCGATCCGACATTCCGTCGGCGTCATCGTCGTTGGCGGCGTCCACAAATATTCACTCTGTGGTTAAAGTTTTTGAAATTTTAATAACTTTCTTAAACTATCCTGGATTTCTACCAAACTTGGACAGAAGCTTGTTTATGATCATAAGATAATATTCAAAAGTAAATTTTGTAAAAAAAAAATTCCATTTTTTCCGTATTTTACTTATAAATGGACTTAGTTTTTCTGCCAAGAAACATTACATTCACTCTGTGGTTAAAGTTTTTGAAATTTTAATAACTTTCTTAAACTATCCTGGATTTCTACCAAACTTGGAAAGAAGCTTGTTTATGATCAAAAGATAGTATCCAGAAGTAAATTTTGTAAAAAAAAAATTCCATTTTTTCCGTATTTTACTTATAAATGGACTTAGTTTTTCTGCCATGAAACATTACATTCACTCTGTGGTTAAGGTTTTTGAAATTTTAATAACTTTCTTAAACTATCCTGGATTTCTACCAAACTTGGAAAGAAGCTTGTTTATGATCACAAGATAGTATCCAGAAGTAAATTTTGTAAAAAAAAAAAATTCCATTTTTTCCGTATTTTACTTATAAATGGACTTAGTTTTTCTGCCAAGAAACATTACATTCACTCTGTGGTTAAAGTTTTTGAAATTTTAATAACTTTCTTAAACTATCCTGGATTTCTACCAAACTTGGAAAGAAGCTTGTTTATGATCAAAAGATAGTATCCAGAAGTAAATTTTGTAAAAAAGTAAAAAAAAAATTCCATTTTTTCCGTATTTTACCTATAAATGGACTTAGTTTTTCTTCCAGTTAACATTACATACAGTCTGCACTTTAAGTTTTTAAAACATTTATTAGATTCATAAACTATCCTGGATTTTTACCAAACTTGGACAGAAGCTACTTACAATCAAAAGATAGTATAGAGAGGAATATTATAATTAATTTTTTTCCTCATTTTTGTTGAGCCTGCGATTAACAGCAAAAGTAGACGAGACACTGGGTTCCGCGGAACCCTTACGAATTTTTTAAATAATAAAACTATATAGAGAACTATAATTGTAAAAATCATAAACAATATTTCATATCAATATGGAATCCAGATGACCACCAGTTACTTATATTGATACATATATACCATCAGAATTAGGTTCAACCTCTAAAAAACCTTAGTATTCCTCTTATCATGTTATTTTTTTATTTGTTTGATGAAAAACTCATACTTGCAATAATTGTGCATTCAATTACATCTGACATGTAGATGTACGTTCAGTCACAATAAACAACTGTTTTTTTTTTTATCATTGATTTACTCTTGACATTACAGTTGAAAAGCTTTGGGAATCAAAGCGTACCTGTGTCTATAACTTTATTTAAATGAACAGTTTAACAAAAAGAATACTACCATAAGGCCTTGTGATAGAAATATTCTAATTGCATACAAGCACAATCACAAAAGATTTTTTTGTTGTTCACTTTTCAAAATATTGCTTATCTTTGATTTTTATTTGTTATTATGATATTAATGCTTTGTACAGGCCATGTATTAAAAGGCAGAGAGATGTCTGGACATTCAAGATTGGACCATACCTTTTCAAATCATATCTATGTCAAAGTGGCACTGCATGCCAGAAAATTAGGCCACTTGGCGGCAGTTTATTGTGTAGCATTTGATAGAACAGGAAAATATATATTTACTGTAAGTAGTATTCGTAACTAGAATTTATAGTGCAGCTTAGTTTTTACATGGAATGATAGAAAATATTTTGGTATTATTAGTGAAAAATGACATGCTTTCATTTGAAATGGTGCATAATATCTACACCATCACTAACAGGTCTTTGAATGAGATTTGAAAATAGCAATGTTAACCAATACAAAGGTAATTTCAAAGGCCATTATGTCCATAAACATCGAAAATTGCAAACTCCAATATATATCATAATGACTAAAAGATTAAATGAATTTAAAAATCACTGTCATGTTCCTGGCTTAGAACTTACATTTTCCAAAAATACATTTGTAGATTCAAATGTAAAACATTCATTTAAGTAAAGAATTAATAGATTGTTTTTAAGTCTTTCATAAGAAAAATTAACTTAGCATTGTATATACATTCTAAATTTACAAACATTAGAAAAATAAGAAGATGTGGTATGATTGCCAATGAGACAACTATCCACTACATACCAAATGATGTATAAGTTAGCAACTGAAATTGTCAGTTTCATGTACAGAAAAGAAATTCAGTGTTATTTTTGATACTATTCATTTATCATTTACATTTTGATATATTTCAGGGTGCTGATGATGCTTTAATAAAAATCTGGTATGCTGAAAACAGTAGACTATTAGCAACTCTAAGGGGACATAATTCTGAAATAACTGACATTGCTGTTAATTATGAAAATACTTTATTAGCATCTGGTAGTTGTGATAAAATTATTCGTGTTTGGTGCTTACGAACAAAAACTCCTTTGGCTGTTTTAAGTGCTCATACGGGAATGATAACATCTTTACAGGTATTTATTGAATTTTTTCTTATTTCTTAGATGATTTATGCTTTCCCTCGAACATTTGATTATTTTTTTATCATCGAAGTTTGTTTTGCTTGGTTTCACTTTTTTATTGGTCAAATTCTGTCATGATGTCAATTTTCTTTATTTCCTCTGAATTCGGTATTGTGATGTCACCAAAAAGGCCATATTGCCTGATGACATCGCACTAAAGAACACTATCATTTTACAGATAATTGAAAAAGAAAGATAAACTTTGCTCACTTATCTAAAAATCATTAGATGAACAGATTCCACCACAACATATTTGATTCAGTAATTTTTTTGGAGTACCAATTTTTGTGGAGTTAACTGAAAATGTCATTATTGTTGCTGTATGATCTTGTTTTTCCCAAATTATGCATACTATGAAAATAAGAAAATGTGGTATGATTGCCAATGAGACAACTCTCAACAAGAGACCAAATGACACAGAAATTAACAACTATAGGTCACTGTAGCCTATATAAGATTTGTACTATGTTGAACATTGTAATTCATGGTTACCCTATATCCATGAAATCAAGGAAACTTGTAGCTCATGAATAGTAATAAATCCACAGTAGACAATATTTCTCAACTCTTTGACAATTAAATTTTGACATTTTAAACACTTGACAAGCCTCACATTTTAAACTTGAAAATTTAACTGTCTAGAAGGAGAATAATGTATCATCACACTTGATGCAGTGTGGAGATCTATATGTATAAAATATCTAAATGTGATTTTTCTTGTAAGAAAGAAAAAGTATGTTTGCAAATACGTTCTTTACATTCTCATCATATTTTCACATTATTTCTCACATCAAAGGAGAGAGGGCCTTTTCTGTTTTGGAACTCCATCTTACACCTATTTTGAATTTCCTAGATAAGACACATCTGTACCTGAGAATATTTCTTTAAAATGAAAAAAATTGGTAGTGATTGCCAAATAGTTTTATAGTTTAATATATATTCTACGTTTTCACATTAAATATTAATTTTATATAGATATAGATATGTGTTGTATTTAAATTAAATGCACCCGTGAGTTATTGGACCATATATATATGGTCATATTGATGAAATTACTAGTTATCAAGGTTGGCAAAAAAGCGGTCAATACTAGTATTGACCAGGCCGGCTGTAAATACCGGTAAATACCGGGAAATACTGGCAAATACTGGTCAATACTGGCAAATACTGGTCAATTGAAATTTTGATAAGATATTACTATTGAATACAGTCCCTACCTGGTCAACTACAGGGTAAATGGACAAATATATTCACAGGACAGAAAGTCACTTATTTACTACATTGTAAAGGACAAAAAGTCACAATTAATTAGTTAACAAGTGTTTGAATATGTAAGGGAAAATCCTTGAAATAAATTCATTGTAATGTTTATGAGATTGATAATGAACATGGTTAAATGAAGATTTATTAAATATTAATTCTACAAAAGATATTTCTTGGTACCATGAAGCCAGTCAAGAAAAAGGCTATGACAGCTTGTTTTCTTAACAGTAATTTCATAAAATGTAATAAAACAATGTCTTAAAAATTAGTCTTTTCTTAATCAAAGAAACAGTTCTTTCAAAATTGCATTGTGACTTTCTGTCCTGTGATATTTAGCCCTACATTCAATAACTGTTAGTCATGAAAATATGAAAGTTTTCAAGTCAAAATTAGACTTTTTTAATGTTATCTTTTCTTATATAAATTGAAATTTTACATGAACACATCAAGGACAGTGATTATTAGAATAAAATTAAAGAAAAAGAAAAACAGCAGCCAAAGTATAGATCCTTCAAAATTTCCATTTTCTGTATTTAGTTTTAGAAGATATTTATCATGCAGTTGAATAGTCAGGAATAAATTAATTGTTTTAAACAGTCTTCAAAAATAACTTTTATGACTTTTTTCCTGTTATGTCAACATTTATTTGGGGAAAGTTGTAATATTGAATAAACTTTTGACACCTGCTTGCCATATAATAGGTAATGCCCTGATAATTCTATTTACCTGTTAAAATCAAACCTTTTCAAGAAAAATATATATATATTTTATACATGTTGAAATAACTGATATAGCAATTTTATATCCATACCTAAACTATGTTATATCATTACCCATAAGAACTGAATAAGTCATTATTCATGCTAATAGTTGATAAAACATACCAATATCAATCCTTTTTATAAACTGAATCATGCCATATGAATAAAGTTAAAATAATTTCCCCTATCAACTAAGATTTAACTAACATTGATAGTAAAATCTGTCAAAAGAACCATGAAAATTTCAATTGTCCAATATTTGCCAGTATTGACCACTTGAGGAGTATTGACCGGGGCGGTAAATACCGGTAAATACCACTGGTAAATACCGGGGGTGGTATTTACCGCCCAACCTTGCTAGTTATCTATCTACCTTACACTTTAACTAAATTCTGATGAAAAACAAGCACAGACCTTTAATTGCAGTCCTTAAGTCAGAATGTACATTTAAAATGACATCCAAAGTGTGTGAGAAATCAAAGAATTTGAGAAATCAGATAGCAGCTGTTGTCAAAACACGTAAAAATTGATTCTATGTTGTTAAAGCTACACAAATAGTTTTAGTAGTATTCGGTATGTTGATTTGTGTACTAAGGATTCAGTAATTTTCATGGGTACCAATTTTTCGTGGATATTTGATTTGTAGTTTTGGCAAAGTCTGCATACAAGCCTATAAAAATTTGTCCTTCTTTGAACATTTAAATTCATGGTTCTCGTTTATCCACGGAATAAACAAAAAGTTGTATCTCAGGAATAATAATTAATCCACAAGATATAATAATTACACATAGTGCACAACAGTACACAACACACACTATTTTATATTTTCTGTTACAGTTTTGTCCACAGTCACATGGTGAGAATAGAATATTAATGTCCACAGGAGGTGATGGCTGTGTTTGTTTTTGGTTCTGGAATGTTACAACTAACAAATTTGAGTATGTATTAGATGTTACCAAGAAAAAGATGTATTGAATTATTTTTTAATGTTGGAATAGAAAATGGAAAAGGGGAATGTTTTAAAGAGACAACAACCTTGACCATGGAGCAGAAAACAGCCTGCAAAAAAATCGTATATTGGTATGACGTTGGCGTTGTCGTCCTTGTCCGGCGTCGTTGTCCGAAGACACATTGGTTTTCGCACGCTAACTTTAGTTTAAGTGAATGGATCTCAATGAAATTTTACCATAAGGTTCAATACCACAAAAGGAAGGTTGGGATTGATTTTGGGGGTTATGGTACCAACAGTTAAGGAATTAGGGGCCAAAAATAAGCATTTTTGTAACTTCCAGACATAACTTATGTGTTAGTGTATCGATCTCTCTGACATTGTACCACAAGTTTCCATATCACAAAGGGAATGCTGGGATTGATTTTGGGGGTAATTGCCGTAATTTTAGGAATGAGGGGCCAAAAAAGGGGCAAAAAACAAGCATTTTTCTAGTTTCATGACAATAACTTGTGTGTAAGTGTATGGATCTTTATGAAATTGTAATACAAGGTTCCATATTACAAAGGGAAAGCTGGAATTGAGTTTGGGGGTAATTGCCCAAAACGTTTAGGAATAAGTAGCCAAAAAAGGGCCAAAAATAAGCATTTTTCTAGTTTCCAGACAATAACTTGTGTTCAAGTAAATGGATCTCTCTGAAATTGTACTGCAAGGTACCATCCCACAAAGGGAAGGCTGGGATTGATTTTGGGGGTAATTTACTCCAATTTTAGGAATTAGGGGCCAAAAAGGGGTAAAAAACTAGCATTTTTCTGGTTTCAGGAAAATGACTTGTGTGTAAATGTATGGATCTTTATGAAATTGTACTACAAGGTTCCATATCACATAGGGAAAGCTGGAATTGAGTTTGGGGGTAATTGCCCAAAATGTTTAGGAATAAGGGGCCAAAAAGGGGCCATAAATAAGCATTTTTATAGTTTCCAGACAATAACTTGTGTTAAGTGTATGGATCTCTCTGAAATTGTACTGCAAGGTACCATCCCACAAAGGAAAGGTTGGGATTGATTTTGGTGGTAATTGCCTCAAAATGTTAGGAATTAGGGGCCAAAAAAGGGCAAAAAACAAGCATTTTTCTAGTTTCAGGACAATAACTTATGTGTAAGTGTATGGATCTTTATGAAATTGTACTACAAGGTTCCATATCACAAAGGGAAAGCTGGGTTTGGGGGTAATAAATGCCCTAAACGTTTAGGAATTTTGGGCCAAAAAGGGTCCAAAAAACAAGCATTTTTCTAGTTTCCAGATAATAACTTGTGTTCAATTGTATGGATCTCTCTGAAATTGTACTGCAAGGTACCATACCACAAAGGGAAGGCTGGGATTGAGTTTGGGGGTGATGGGGGTTCAAAAAATTTGGGGGAGGGATTTTTTTTTCTTCTTTTTCTTTAAAATTTTCCATTTTAAATTTGTTATTTCTGATTTATATATAAAAGCAAATAATAATAATATGGTTTGAATAGGTAAATTAAAAAAATTTAAGTTCTTAGACCACATTCTGTGTCAGAAATCTATGCTGTGTCAAATATTTAATCACAATCCAAATTCAGTGCTGTATCAAGCTTGAATGTTGTCCATACTTGCCCCAACTGTTCAGGGTTCGACCTCTGCGGTTGTATCAAGCTGCGCCCAGCGAAGCATTTTATTCATGCTGTTTTTCAAATAAAGTATGATACTGAAACTAATCTGGAACATTTACATGTACACAAGAATTTGAAACATAATTTTCAAGATTAGGATACTTTCATGGAATGTAACTATTGAAATACCAATTGTTTTTTTTGCACGAAATTTTCATTCGACCCAATTTCACAATATTCTTGTTCTTCTATTTTTCCCCAGCATATCCCTTTTTTCATTCCCCCTCTTCCCTCAGCTCCCACCTCCTGACTCCTGCTTCCCTCCCCCTGACTCCTACTTCCTGCCCACTGACTCCCTATTCATGCCCCTCATTCCAATGTTCCCTTACCCCTGTCCATCCCCTCATTGATATATTTTTGATAGCATACTTTGTGTCTTTCTCAGCTAGATGGTTTAAGAATATGAACTCTATTGTCAGTTAGATTATCTTTTACAGTACAGTATCCAAACTTCATACAGAGTAATAAATTTTGATCAAATATTCTTTAATTACTGTTTTTCAATAAAATGTCATTTGTTTTTACTTCAGATCAAAACCAGGAAAGTTTATTGAAAAGTCTCGAGCTGGAGCTCAAATGTTGTGTTCATCATTTAGTCCTGGTGGTGTATTCCTTGCCACAGGGAGTTCTGATCATGTTGTTAGAGTTTATTTTGTTCATGGAAAAACTCCAGAGAAGATTTGTGAATTAGAGGCTCATACAGTTAGTATGCATGTATATAACAGACAATATGATCTTTATTTTTGATACTATCCATTTAAAAAATATTTGAATTGGGAATAAAATACAATTGAAAAATATTTATATGATTTGAATAATTACTAAGATATCTATGTTATGATTAGTTCCATGTGCTTCTGATGGTTATTTTTTTTTTTATAAAGCATGTTCACCAAACTTCTTTTGTAAGTTTGTGAGGGAATTGGTCCAGTTTACACTTCAAGAATCACTGGAAAAAATGTGTTTAAGCCTACAATCAAAGGGAGATAATTCACCCTGTGGACATATTTTTCTGTCTTTTATTTTACTGATAATATATATAGCTTATTTTCATAAGGCATTTCATGAACCCTTAATGGACTCATAAGATAAATTTCGACTTCCCTTTAAGAGGAGTTTGTACTAGCTAACTGCATAGCAGGTAAGAAATCATTAACAAGTTATATGTTACCCTTTAAAACAGTCATTTCAGCTTTTACTTGAGTTGGATAACAAGTTAGAAGTTGAAATACAATGTGAAATGGTAATTAGAGGGAATAATTACTTTTTGCATAGCTCACCACGAGAGTGAACAAATACTGCTCCAATGGAAGGTATATAACTTGTTTCAAAATCTGGAGTTTTCAGGAATTGACTAATCTCAAATACAATCTCATCCTTGTAGCATAGAGACCTTATTACTGAGGTTATTAATGCCTTTAGACAATGTTAGAAAGGATGGTAAATGAAATATGTTGCACCAGAAATCAACAAGTAGAAAATTGAGTTATTATTATAATGCGCCTTTTTTTCTGTAGGAGAGGGTAGACAGTATATGCTATTGTAATACAGGAGAGAGATTTGTCAGTGGGAGTTGTGATGGCACAGCCAGAATTTGGCGATATGATAGGCAGGAATGGAAGTCTATTATACTCAATATGGCAACTAAGTTACAGTGAGTATAAATTGCCATTCTTTAACCTAAGTTAATGTAATGACCTTTTTACTACTGCAATATTTAAACTACTTTATAATTTTGTTTAGGGTTATTCCATTAAAATGGTAGTTGGAGAAACAAAATTATTTTATATTGAGATCATGCATGCAATTCCTATTTGTTTTCTGTTATATTGGATAACTTATTATTTAGACTGCCAAAATGGCAAAAATGTGTTACACAAAATGAGATTGATTTAAACAAGGATTTTTAACTCCATCTAACACCTTTTGAGTACTAGACTTGATGTTTAGGAAACATGAAAAAGTAGTTTCAAACTAACGCTGATGCATTCTATTTGATATGTGTAATTTTTTATGCCCCCGCCGTAGCGGAGGGGGCATTAAGTTTTACCCTTGTCCGTATGTACGTACGTACAATGTACGTCCAGACGTCCCAAAATTGGTTTCCGTTCTCTAACTTGAGTTTGCCTCAACCAAATGTTATGAAACTTACACACAATGCTAATTACCACAAAACACAGATCAAGTTTGAATTTTGGTGGCGTCACTTTAACCATTCTAGAGTTATGCCCCTTTATAAATGGAAAAATTGCAAAATTTTTAGTTTCCGTTCTCTAACTTAAGTTTGTCTCAACCGAATGTTATGAAACTTATACACAATGCTTATTACTACAAAACACAGATCAAGATTGAATTTTGGTGGCGTCACTCTTACTGTTCTAGAGATAAGCCCCTTTATAAATGGAAAAAATGCAAAATGTTTGGTTTCTGTTCTTTAACTTAAGTTTGCCTCAACTAAATGTTATGAAACTTATACACAATGCTTATTACCACCACATACAGATCAAATTTGAATTTTGGTAGCATCACTGTAACCGTTCTAGAGTTATGCCCCTTTATAGATGGAAAAATTACAAAATTATTAGTTTCCACTCTCTTACTTAAGTTTGCCTCAACCAAATGTTATGAAACTTATACACAATGTTTATTACCACAAAACACAGGTCAAGTTTGAATTTTGGTGTCGTCACTCTAACCGTTCTAGAGTTATGCCCTTCATAAATGGAAAAATTGCAAAATTTTTAGTTTCTGTTCTCTAACTTATGTTTGCCTCAACCAAATTTTATGAAACATATACACAATGCTTATTACCACAAAATAAAGATCAAGTTTGAAATTTGGTGGGGTCACTTTAATCATTCTCAAGTAATGCCCTTTTATAAATGGAAAAAAATGCAAAATTTTAGTTTCCATTCTCTAACTTAAGTTTGTCTCAACCAAATGTTATGAAACTTATACACAATGCTTATTACTACAAAACACAGATCAAGATTGAATTTTGGTGGCATCACTCTTACTGTTCTAGAGATAAGCCCCTTTATAAATGGAAAAAATGCAAAATTTTTAGTTTCCGTTCCTTAACTTAAGTTTGCATTAACTGAATGTTTTGAAACTTATACAAAATGCTTATTACCACCACATACAGATTAAATTTGAATTTTGGTAGCATCACTCTAACCGTTCTAGAGTTATGCCCCTTTATAGATGGAAAAATTACAAAATTATTAGTTTCCACTCTCTTACTTAAGTTTGCCTCAACCAGATGTTATGAAACTTATACACAATGTTTATTACCACAAAACACAGATCAAGTTTGAATTTTGGTGTCGTAACTCTAACCGTTCTAGAGTTATGCCCCTTCATAAATGGAAAAATTGCAAAATTTTTAGTTTCTGTCCTCTAACTTAAGTTTGCCTCAACCAAATTTTATTCTCTAACTTAAGTTTGTCTCAACCAAATGTTATGAAACTTATACACAATGCTTATTACTACAAAACACAGATCAAGATACAATCGGAATAATTAACATGCTTTGGTTTATGTCTAATTTTACCAGTTTAAAGAGCCTATATTTTTCTCCGCTAGAGTAAAATTTTCATGAAAATATGGCCTACCCATTTAAAATCTCTATACACAATGCTTATTACCACAAAATAAAGATCAAGTTTGAAATTTGGAGGGGTCACTTTAACCATTCTCCAGTTATGCCCTTTTATAAATGGAAAAAAATGCAAAATTTTTAGTTTCCGTTCTCTAACTTAAGTTGCCTCAAACAAGTGTTATTTTTAAGGATATAATGCAAGTATTTTAACCATATTTATGTTGCAGACCTACCTCAGAAGAAGATAAAATTAAGTATGGTGTAACCATGGTAGCATGGAATGCAGATGACAGATATGTTTTAACAGCCGTTACAGATTGTACATTAAAAGTTTGGGACTCTCGTTCTGGAAAATTATTACATATACTTAAGGTAGAAGATGCTTTCTTGTTTCAATATAATTACTAATTTATGGTTAGAAAAATCTCATATTTTTGCTTCTTAATTGTTAATGTGTGTTTTTTGTAAATTTTTTGTATATGTTTTTTTTTAAGAAACTTTGCTTATACAATCGGAATAATTAACATGCTTTGGTTTATGTCTAATTTTACCAGTTTAAAGAGCCTATATTTTTCTCCCCTAGAGTAAAATTTTCATGAAAATATGGCCTACCCATTTAAAATCTCTAATAAACTTTATTCTTTAGTAAATTATTATACCCCACCCAATAAGCACGAAATTTTTTGGGTCGGGTATAATGTTTTTGCCTCTTCCGTCCGTCTGTCTGTCTATCCCTCAGTCCTGTTCTTGTCAATGCAAATCCTCTGAAACCACACAAGAGAAATTTATGAAACTTTGTAGATAATAAGGACATACTATGTAGATGTGCATATCGACAGGAAATTATGATTCAATATTTTTTCTACGATTTATGCCCCTTTGCACTTATTGGCCTTAATATACTACTGCAACAGTTTGTCATCGCAACTCCTCTGAAACTACACAACAGAATTCATGAACATTTGTAGATAATAAGGACATACTATGTAGATGTGCATATCGACTGGAAATTATGATCCAATTTTTTTTCTAGGAGTTATGCCCCTTTGAACTTGTTGGCCTCTATATACTACAGTCCGTCAGTCCTGTTCATGTCATCGTAACTCCTCTAAAACTACACAACAGAATTTCATGAAACTTTGTAGATAATAAGGACATACTATGTAGATGTGCATATCGACAGGAAATTATGATTCAATTTTTTTTCAACGATTTATGCCCCTTTGCACTTATTGTCCTCAATATACTACTGCAACAGTTTGTCATCGCAACTCCTCTAAAACTACACAACAGAATTTCATGAAACTTTGTAGATAATAAGGACATACTATGTAGATGTGCATATCGACAGGAAATTATGATTCAATTTTTTTTTCTAGGAATTATGCCCCTTTGAACTTATTGGCCTTAATATACTACAGTCCGTCAGTCCTGTTCTTGTCATCACAACTCCTCTAAAACTAGACAACAGAATTTCATGAAACTTTGTAGATAATAACAGTCAGGGGACTTACTTAAATGAGTGATTTTCTAAATCACTGATTCAAGTAACATTATGTCCATAAAGGTTGGAAGTAAGAGTTGTCTTTCTTTAATAATCACCTATTGAATTAGTACAAATTAATCACTAGACTAAGTGATTTAATTGTATTGTAGCTTTAAATATAGAATACTAATGATCCAGGGACTAATTATGTTGCTAAAATTATCAGAACCAACATCTGTGTTGATAGGATGACCGGGTCATGTCAGGTGATGACCTTGTACTAAATCTAAAATAATGACATAAAAATCACTTGTTTAAGTATCATACCTCAATTTCCTTCCAAAAAATCACTTCTTTAAGTATCATTATTTTAATAACCCCCACTAATTTCAACACCCCCGAACAGTGAAATTTTGATCGCGAACAGTAGAATTTTATTACATAATCTATAAGATGAAACCTTGAATTTTACAGGAAAAATACTCCCACTGCTGGGAAAAATCTGTTAAGAAAGTATCAGTTCATTATGTACAGCCATTTTTATAGCATTTTTTCAACTAAAATAGAATTTGCTTCTAAATGATTGCATCAAAGGCATAAACCTTGCTGCTTAAAAGAAGCAAAAAGTTCATTTTTTTCAATTTTACAAATGAAAAGATATTATCTAAACCTATGTGTTTAAAATTTTGGTAAAACTACAAAATCAGAATTTGTGACAAAACTTCGAATTTGCTACTTAAATAAGTGATTTAAAAATCACTTATTTCAATAAGTCCCCTGACTGAATAAGGACATACTATGTAGATGTGCATATGGACAGGAAATTATGAATCAATTTTTTTTCTAGGAGTTATGCCCCTTTGAACTTATTGGCCTCAATATACTACAGTCCGTCAGTCCTGTTCTTGTCATCACAACTCCTCTGAAACCACACAACAGAATTCATGAAAATTTGTAGATAATAAGGACATACTTTGTAGATGTGCATATCGACAGGAAATTATGATTCAATTTTTTTTCTAGGATTTATGCCCCTTTGCACTTATTGTCCTCAATATACTACTGCAACAGTTTGTCATCGCAACTCCTCTAAAACTACACAACAGAATTTCATGAAACTTTGTAGATAATAAGGACATACTATGTAGATGTGCATATCGACAGGAAATTATGATTCAATTTTTTTTTCTAGGAATTATGCCCCTTTGAACTTATTGGCCTTAATATACTACAGTCCGTCAGTCCTGTTCTTGTCATCACAACTCCTCTAAAACTAGACAACAGAATTTCATGAAACTTTGTAGATAATAACAGTCAGGGGACTTACTTAAATGAGTGATTTTCTAAATCACTGATTCAAGTAACATTATGTCCATAAAGGTTGGAAGTAAGAGTTGTCTTTCTTTAATAATCACCTATTGAATTAGTACAAATTAATCACTAGACTAAGTGATTTAATTGTATTGTAGCTTTAAATATAGAATACTAATGATCCAGGGACTAATTATGTTGCTAAAATTATCAGAACCAACATCTGTGTTGATAGGATGACCGGGTCATGTCAGGTGATGACCTTGTACTAAATCGAAAATAATGACATAAAAATCACTTGTTTAAGTATCATACCTCAATTTCCTTCCAAAAAATCACTTCTTTAAGTATCATTATTTTAATAACCCCCACTAATTTCAACACCCCCTAACAGTGAAATTTTGATCGCGAACAGTAGAATTTTATTACATAATCTATAAGATGAAACCTTGAATTTTACAGGAAAAATACTCCCACTGCTGGGAAAAATCTGTTAAGAAAGTATCAGTTCATTATGTACAGCCATTTTTATAGCATTTTTTCAACTAAAATAGAATTTGCTTCTAAATGATTGCATCAAAGGCATAAACCTTGCTGCTTAAAAGAAGCAAAAAGTTCATTTTTTTCAATTTTACAAATGAAAAGATATTATCTAAACCTATGTGTTTAAAATTTTGGTAAAACTACAAAATCAGAATTTGTGACAAAACTTCGAATTTGCTACTTAAATAAGTGATTTAAAAATCACTTATTTCAATAAGTCCCCTGACTGAATAAGGACATACTATGTAGATGTGCATATGGACAGGAAATTATGAATCAATTTTTTTTCTAGGAGTTATGCCCCTTTGAACTTATTGGCCTCAATATACTACAGTCCGTCAGTCCTGTTCTTGTCATCACAACTCCTCTGAAACCACACAACAGAATTCATGAAAATTTGTAGATGATAAGGACATACTTTGTAGATGTGCATATCGACAGGAAATTATGATTCAATTTTTTTTCTAGGATTTATGCCCCTTTGCACTTATTGTCCTCAATATACTACTGCAACAGTTTGTCATCGCAACTCCTCTAAAACTACACAACAGAATTTCACGAAACTTTGTAGATAATAAGGACATACTATGTTCATGTGCATATCGACAGGAAATTATGATTCAATTTTTTTTCTAGGAGTTATGCCCCTTTGAACTTTTTGGCCTCAATATACTACAGTCCGTCAGTCCTGTTCTGTGAGACTGTGACCTCAATATACTACAGTCCGTCAGTCCTGTTTTGTGACCTCAATATACTACAGTCCGTCAGTCCTGTTCTTGTCACAGCAACTCATCTGACACCACACCACAGAATTTCATGAAACTTTGTAGATAATAAGGACATAATATAAATGTGCATATCCACAAGAAATTTTTATCAATTGATTTTTGTAGGAATTATGAGTCTGTGACACTTAGGCATCTCGTGAGATTTTGTTTGCTCAATGTCAATGTGGGGGCATGGGGTATGTGAGCGTGCTCACAAAGGTTCTTTAATTTCTTAATTGAATTGACAATATGTTATACAATCAGCTAAGACAACAGATAAGCACTATTGACAATATCATCATCTAATCATGTTAAGTGAACAAACTCTATAGCTACGACTTAAAGGGTGTGCCTTTCCCAAACTAGATTTTGTATTTTCTAAATACAATAGAAGGAAAGTAGTACTGTAAATTCAAAAATTTAAGCATTGTTTTTATAATTGGGAAAATTGCGACTGGATTTTAAAAAGTTAACTTTTGAATTTTGATAGCATTATTTGTATGCAGCATTTTCTTACATAGCAATAATTAATTTTGCATCTTTGTCCTTTGTTAAACAATCACAATAGTTAATGCATGGACTTTTTTTTTTTAAATTTATAGTATATCAGAAGAAAAATGAAAATATTTAAAATAGTTTTTGAAATATGAGGGTAAAAACATCATCAGCATCCTCTTATGAACAGTGCATTGTATTAAAGATGGCCTTCATCTATTATCAGGATTATATTAAATTGTAAAAATAATTTAATGTTAATAAGTCTTATGTAGACAAATACATACCAATTTTACATTACTTGCTTGTTATATTTCAGTACCATGAAGATGAAGTATTTGTATTGGAATGTAGCCCATGGGATCCTAGAGTCATCCTCAGTGCTGGTCACGATGGTCATGTGATACTCTGGGATATTCAGAAAGGGGTTAAAATCAAAAGTTTCTTTAATATGGTATGTATTTGATGTCAGTTTATTTTGAACTATAAAGATTAAAACGAGATTTTGTCTTAAAAATTGGTATTATTTTTGGTGCATTTTATATTAATTGCTTGTAAATGGTATGTATTTAATAAAAACTCACAAAAGAGTCCAGGCTTATAATTTAGTATGCCAGATGCATGTTTTGTCTACATAAGACTGATTACAAGTTTATTTGGTAACTATTTGGACAGAAAAGGTGAGTTTCCTAAAAATAGGGTCTTGATTTTTTTGTGAAATTTACAAAGTGCTTGTTTGTTTCCTGTACAACTGATGAACATGACTTTTAATATACATATGAGATGAGGGATATACTTCAATGAGGCAGCAATCAATGACACAACATACCATGTTTACAGAAAAATCTCCTAGAGGTCAACATATGGTTTTCAAAAATAAACAAGTGTTTGTACCATATGTCAATCTCTCAATCTCCCTGATCATAGAAAAGCTGTGAATGAATCTTGCAGATACTAGGATAGACCATAATTGTTTAAATAGATTTTAAAGTGGTATAAAATGATTTTGTTAACTTTAATTTTGGTAGTGATATACTAAAAGGATTATGTTTTTCCTTGGGATTCTGTATCAATCGATATAATCAATTTTATCACTGTTAAATATTTTCATTTTTTGTAGATTGAAGGCCAAGGGCATGGGTCTATGTTTGACTGTAAGTTTAGTCCTGATGGTTTAAGCTTTGCTGCTACAGATTCTCATGGTCATATGTTAAATTTTGGATTTGGTGGTAGTGAAATACATAAAAAGGTAACATTTTAAACATTGAAAGGAGTGACCTTGCAGGTCTCACACTACATCAGAATCATAGGGAGAAGTGACTTCTCTTTTTGAAACTGATAGGGAGAAGTGGTGAGACTTAAAAGAGAAGAACTCATTTATTTCTAGTTTTGTTTGGTTTTTATTGTCTCGCCTTGACGGAGTCAAAAAGCAAGACATAGGTATGCTGTTTCCGGCGGCTGCGGCGTCAACAATGTATTAGTTTGTGATTAGGTCTAGTTCATGGTGAACCACTAGTGGTAGGTCAATGATATTTGGTATGCAGTTGTATTAGCATTGGCACATCTCACTACCATGGAGATTATTTGGCCCTGCCCCCTCAGTCAAGATCTATTGACTTTGAAACTTTTCATAGTTTACATGTATTAGTTTGTGATTAGGTCAATTTATGGGGAACCAATAGTGATAGGTCAATGATATTTGGTATGCAGTTGTATAAGCATTGGCATATCTCATTTCCATGGAGATTATTTGGCTCCGCCCCCTTAGTCATGGTGTTTAGACTTTGAAAATTTTGCTAAGTTAACATGTATTAGTTTGTGATTAAATTAGTTCAAGGGGAACCATTAGTGGTAGGCCAATGTTAATTGGTGTTCAGTTGTATAAGCATTAGCACATCTCATTTCCATGGAGAATATTTGGCCCCACCCCTTCAGTCATGGTCTATTTACTTTGAAACTTTTGCTTAGTTTACATGTATTAGTTTGTGATTAGATCAGTTTAAGATGAACTGCTAAAGTTAAGTCAATGATATTTGGTATGCAAATTTATTGGCATTTGCAAGTATCGTTTCCATGGAGATTATATAGCCCCACCCCTGATCATGGTTCATTGACTTTGAAACTTTTACATAGTTTACAAGTTAATGTTTGTGTTTAGGTTTGTTTAAAGGGAACGACTTATAATAAGTCAATGATATTTGGTATGCAGTTGTATTAGCATTGGCACATCTCATTCCATGGAGATTGTTTAGCCATGTACCTTCAGTCATGGTTCATCGACTTTGAATATTTGCATAACTTACATGTTAAAGTATTGCTATTTTAATTTCAACATTTGCATTATCAAAATTACAAAAAGGCGAGACATATCTCTGTGATAACAGTTTATGATAATTATTTTATATAATCTGTCAATTATGACATTACAGTTACATCCCATATGATATATCCTCACTTAAATGACCAAACTGTATAATCCTATACAGCTATTCAGTACTGTTTCATACAAACATACATAGGACCCTGGAACCTCAACTATCATGGTTGTCAAATATTTTTTTGTACCATGAAAAAGTATGTGAAATTATTTAACTTGCCTTATAGTATACCCCATTTTCAAAGTGCCTTCCCTGGGTACTATGTAATGGAACAGCCCTCACTTACTAACTTAAATCACATAATTTTAAAAGGAATGAAGAATTTTACTATTATTGCTATTTCAGGATCAATTAATGACTTTTCATACATTCTGTAATTTCAGATTCCTCAAGAATTATTTTCATACATTCTGTAATTTCAGATTCCTCAAGAACTTTTTTCATACATTCTGTAATTTCAGATTCCTCAAGAATTATTTTTCCATACAGACTATAGACCCCTAATGAGGGATGCTAATAATTATGTTCTGGATGAGCAGACCCAACAACCCCCACATCTGATGCCTCCTCCCTTCCTCGTTGATATCGATGGTAATCCCTACCCTCCCAGATTACAGAAACTAGTCCCAGGGAGGGAACATAACAGGGACGATCAGTTAATTCCCCAGATGGGAGTTAATGAAGAAGGTAAGCGTATAAACCATTTTGCTTGAATGTAATTGTATTCCTATAAGAAACTAATATCCTTATAAGAAAGTTAAGTGGCATGTAGAATAAATTTTCCACTTTGTCTTTTATTTACATCATTACGTTTTGTTTTCAATTAGGTTAGATTTGATGATGAACTGTCAAGATTCATTACATATAAACTTTCATAGGCAGAAAATCTATATAAGAATTCAAAATTTTATTGATTTCATAATATAGATCCATATGCCTGCAGTAGATTTAAACCATAGTAACAAAAGGTCCCGATCACATCAAACACAGTGCATGTAACAGACAGGTGCTAATTAAAAAGCTTTCATGACAAGCAAAGGTAAAACTACCTCAGTGAAACTTCCTTTATTGAGGATTTAATCTGGTGTTGTGGTTAGCATCTCTGTCTTTACATGTTAGGTGCATGGTGTAAAAAATGGTTGTAAGTTGGTCTCTCGAGAGATGACTTAAAACCAAATGTGTGTGTACATTTCTTAAGACAAAAAGAACATTAAAATGTATTGTTGAATTTTATTTTGTATAAAAAATCTTATTTTATAAAAGCATTGATCGTACAATTTTAAGGTAGATGGGGTGTCTAAATTATAATCCATAGAATTTTTTAATAATTTGCCAAAATGTAGTTTATATCAAGCTTTTTAAAAAAAAATGATAAAAAGAATGGGTCACGGGGCTTATTTTCACGCTACAGCTTGTTCAAAATTAACAGATTTTGTATAGATTATGCATGGAAAACCCAATTTTCTGCCATAAAACGAAAACTACACCATAGAATTTTGAGATAAAATATGAGAAGATAGCTTTAATATTATGCTTTCAGATAAGAAAAAGAAAAAATGGGGTCACCGGACTCGTTTTCTTGCTACATAATAAAATAGGTAAATTCCTAACACATTCTATTGTAAAAGTACCTTTATCTGAATTATCTGCCCTTACATTTGAGTTGCCTCCCCTTATGTGGCAAAGTTGGAAAAAATTGAATCAAACAAAAGTTTTCTGTTTTTTGTAAAATACAACCATAAATATGATAAAACATGTCATTTTCTATATTGAAATGAAAATTCTTACACATGAATTACCTACTACTCTCAAAATTTGCATATTCTATTAAAGATCTAGACCGATTGTTTTCAGGTATTACAAAATCCAAGATGGAGGAAGACACCCTATCTACCTTAATTAACTGAATCAAACAAGAAAAAAATAAGGAGTTGTTGATTGAGTTTTGAAATTTATCTTTTATTCAGGTGAACAGGAAGTATTAGGAGATGTAGAACCAGAGGCAGGAGGAGCTGGACCATCAGGGCATGCTCCAGGTGGACCACCAGGGCAAGCGCCAGCTGGACTGCCAGGGCATGTTCTAGGAGGCTCTTCAGGGCACGCTCCAGGTGGACCATCTGGACAGGCCAGTATAGATAGAATGATAAGAGAATTACAGAGGCAGCAAGATAATAGGATAATACAGCAGGGAGGGGCACCATTGGCTTCTCCCCCTCCTCCAGGGGCACAACTAAGAGTGAATAGATCAAATTCTGGTAATTAGATTTTTTACACAGTCCGTAGCATGATGCTATTTTCAAAAACCCACCTAATTTCCACAACAGACGTTTCTAGAATACCAGACTGTTCAAGGTCATGGAAATTTTCAATATAAGAATATTGTCTCATTGTGGATATTACAATAAAAAAGATAAGTCTGCTCAAGTTAAAAAATGAAAGGAAAATATTTTACAAAAATGATTATCAGTTAAAGAGTTTTACTGGTTTTTTTAACAGCTTTATATTATGTTGTTGCTATTTTTGCCATACCTGCCAACCTCTGAAACCTTCAAAGAGGGAGATCTCCCCCTCAGCTATGACAGCTGAGGGGGAGATTTTGCACGAACGACATTTTCAAGTGAAATATATGAGGGTCCCGGTAAAGTGAGAAACCAAACAGAGCGAAACGAAACGAAACGAAACATGGCAAAACAAAACGAAACACAGCGAAACGAATGGAACACGACGAAACGAAACGAAACATGTAAATTGAGAAACGAAACGAAACAAAATCTGTATTTTGAGGAACGACATATAGAAAATCTTCCTGACGAGATATGTGCATAGCCGAAGACACCGAATATTCCATTCAACTTTGAAAAAATTACTCGTCATTTACATTGGTATCTTCGTGCATTAGTTGCAATTATTCAACTTGTTTTGTTAAATGTGAGGCTTAGGTGCATCAGCTATGCTACAGAGCCTGTTCTAATATCAAGGCTTCTTGTCACGTGCAACAATGAGGGAACATTGAAATTAGAATAGCTGTTACTGGGGATCGTCTGAATATCAGCCTCAAACAAAATTGGCCATTCTTACCTTTGTGACTAGGATTTTTATGTACCGCCTACGGTAGTGGGGCATAATCTTTTTTGGTCTGTGCTGCCGTCCGTCAGTCCGTCCGTCTGATACTAGGTTTATTCTGTTTGTTAAGATAGATTAAATTACAATGGAGTTGTGTTCATGTCAACTTGAAACTATACACATGTTCATTATGACATGTTCTTTTTGAAATGTATGCCAAATTAGGAATTTGAACCATAATTTGCGATTCAGTGAACATGAAAATTTGATATTTTAAGCGTGTCATACTGTCCTATGGATACTTAACACATGACATGAGTAAAATCTCTTTGTTCTTACTGTGCTATAATCTAGATAATGCACAGCAAAGTTGTGCATTTACTACCTCAGATATACTGCACAGTTCAAAAGTACTCTTACCTTTAGGGGCGGACCCTCGATTTTGAAAGGAGTGTAATTCCATATAAAATTTTAAAAATATCACCGAGTGTACATGTAGCGAATATAAAAAAGAAGATGTCATATGATTGCCAATGAGGCAACTCTCCACAAGTGACCAAATGACATAGTAATTAACAACAATAGGTCACCGTACGGCCTTCAACAATAAGCAAAGCCCATATCGCATAGTCAGCTATAAAAGGCCCCGAAATGACGTACAAATGTAAAACAATTCAAACGAGAAAACTAACGGCCTAATTTATATACAAAAAATGAACGAAAAACAAATATGTAAAACTTCAACATTTGACAACCACTGAATTACAGGCTCCTGACTTGGGACAGGCACATTCATACAGAATGTGGCGGGGTTAAACATGTTAGCGGGACCCCCCCCCATAACCTGGGACAGTGGTGTAACAGTACAACATAAGAACGAACTATAAAAATCAGTTGAAAAAGGCTTAACTCATCAGATGGATACAAATAACATACATCTAACAAAAACACAGAGTGGACGTGGCCAGGTACTTGTATATCCCAACAACAAAAAGACACTAAGTACTGATCTGAGAGTACTCGAAGTTACTGACAGCTAGTTCAAAGCCAATTACAAGTAATAAAAAAATCATGCATCTAAGACTAAATTATCAATCTGTACGCATCCAACATCCAATGGATTTAGTGTATAGACGTCATAAACAGTCAGAGGAAAAACACGACCTTGTGTAATGCCAAGATACAGGTATTGACAGATTGTAGATCCATGAATGTGTATATGAATTATATAACAATAATATTTAGTTTGCTTTTAATTTACTGACAACAAAATCAATATTGATACCAATAAAACAATTTTCAATGATCTAATTACAGTGTTGAATTGGTAACCTTTTAGAATAAGTTTATATCACGGATCGACAAGTTTACCAGGATCGTTTCTAAATTTCCGGGCACGGTAAACAACAAATTTCCATAAAAAATTAGGATGTGCTATCCCATTTGAACTTCAAAACCAAATCTTTATATCTATGGAAGAATTTAGTAAAGGTTTTAAGTAATTTGTGGTAACGAAGTCCCTGGCTTAATAATTTACCCGTAATACATAGATTACGTTCGTTAAAATCAAAAACGTCACAACAGACACGGGCATAGCGAACGAGTTGTGAAATTCAAACACCATAAGATGGTGCCAATGGAACATCACCATCCAAAAAGGGAAAAATAACAATCGGGAACTAAAAATCGTCCCTTTTGTCGTAAATTTCGGCAGCATATTTAGAAAATTCTTGATTTTTTAACGAAAAAATATCATCAAGATAAAGGTAAGTGTTGTTGAATTTATCAGTTAAATGCAATTTTGACGGGTCTTTACTTAGTGTGGTCATAAACTGATTCATAACAGTACAAAAACAAGTCTGCTATAAAAGGGGCGCAACTTGGGATACGTACATGTAAGTGTTTCATTCATGAAACAAATACCTTTCTTGGCACAAACTCATAAACAATAAATGATAAAAATCTATTGCAGATTATTGCATATACAATGATATTAACAGACGTGATCGAATGAAAAGTTATACATACTAATATATCATAATATTATTAATGATAACAATGTGTGGGACTATAAAGCATAGAAAAATACAAAGCACAATAGAACTTGTATGTAATGCTTTCTTTCTAGTGCGGCAATCAGTGAAGTTAATCCCAGTGTGTAATGTGTGTTCGAATAAACCGTTAATCACACGTTCTCTTTGGATTAAACGAGATCTTTTGTATACATATATAAAAAAGCAGAGACAGATCCAGAGTTTAAGGAAAGGGGGAGGCATAATTGTCCGAAAGATAAACATACCACCAATGTTGTTTTTTTGACGATTTTTAAGCAAACGATTAGATGATATCAATCAAAAGGGCCCTCTAAACCCACATTGATCTTCGGCTATGTCAGGAAGATTTTCTATAGGTCGTTCCTCAAAATACAGATTTTGTTTCGTTTCGTTGTGTTTCGTTTCTCAATTTACATGTTTCGTTTCGTTTCGTCGTGTTTCGTTTCGTTTCGCCATGTTTTGTTTCGTTTCGCTCTGTTTCGTTTCTGTTCCGTTTCTCACTTTACCGGGACCCAATATATGACCTGTTTATTTATTCATCTACAAAACACATATAAGAGTTAATAGTTATACTTTATTTCATATCCTATACAAGGTGTGTTGTTTGTTTATTTCCTCTCTCATCATTTTTGACATGTGTGTCCAATCAGGCCAGCAAATTTCAAAGATATGTCTCTGTTTCCAGTGATATGTCACATTGTACCTAATGGTGCATTGTATGTATGCACATTCACATTTTCATAACATTAGTTCAATACATTCCTTATAAATTTCAATTAAAACATTGAATAGAAGTATAGATCTTACCCGAAATTTCTTTGAAGTGTTTTCAAATACACAAAGCTTGAGGTAAAAGTCGTTAATGATTGTGAATTAGTATTATGTTTGACACCCAAGCTGTCAGGTGAAGCCGTTTAGTTTCCCATGGTCTGTGATTTACAGGTAACAACTACCCTCATCAGTGACACAAAAACGTAATTAATGTTGACAGGTCTTTCAAGTTAAAATATCCAAAAGCGGGAGATTCTGTACTCCCTCGCGCGAACGTACCGGCAAGTGGGAGATTTCCGGAATTTTGCCATTTGAGCGGGAGGGTTGGCAGGTATGATTTTTGCACATATATGTCCAGTCTACTTGATGTACTTGCATTAAATGTTTATATTTAAATAAAGTCTGTTTGGAATTGCATACTGACATATATTCAGATGTGTCTATCTTTGCTGCATATCAATCGATTTTGTTGAAAAAAAAATTCTGGAAATTCTCTGGTCTAGCTTCAAACATGTACATAAACTTAGAGAAGGATTTTTCCAGTGACATATAAAACATAAGAATATGAGGGTCTGGATGGGGTTAACAGAATAGAGACTAATGGGGTACTAAAATATAAAAAAAAAGAGAAAAATGAGTAAAAAATTAAATACAAAGAAATAGAGAAAAATGACATAAATGTTAAAGCATACAGAAATGAAGGAGCACAATCCAGGTCCTTTTGGTATAAAACCACTAATTCATAGCCCCATTGCTTTCTATGTTAAATTCTGCAATTTCAAGCATAAATGGCTACTTTGTCTTAAGTTCAAATAAAGTGGCAGTTATTTCATGTCAAAACTGTACCTTATGCTGACTTGTGCTGAAAAAATCAACATACCTTTAATTGCATATTAGAGTGTACTGGTTCCCGGAAGTTTGATAGTACAAAAACAGGAACTTCTGATCTGAACAACAGGCCAAATGAGCCCTCCTATTAAAATTTCATATACTTCTTTATTATTCAAATAAAACTTTCAACAAGGGTTCTACAGTGATCCCAAGTCCCCAAGCTCTCATTTGATACTAAAACTACCCAAATATTCCCACTATTGACAAAGATACAGCTATGCGTGGGAACTATTTTGTTTAAAATATGTACTACTTTCTTGTATGTTCTTTCGGACCGGGCCTGAATTAGTGGTTCTATACCTATAACAGCACCAAACTTGTTATATTGACTTCTGCTTGACTTAATTTCCTTCTATGATCTATTTCTAGCATAGAAAAACACATAAAGCTTTGTCAAAACACTATATCACTGAATTCAAGCTCAAATTGGACTGGTAGTAACATATGCGTTAAACAAAGAAAACTACATATGGATACCAATAGTGACAGATATGACACTTTTTCAATTTTTACCAGTTCTGATTTGTTAATATCTACTCAAATAACAGTGTTTTTACCTATATGTCTTATTTTTATCAGCGATTCTTCCTTGAATATAAATACAGTGGTCCAAACATAAAATATAATTGATAATTTTGTCCCCCCTTTTTTCTACATGTTGGAAAAGGAGAGTGATTTGGTAAAAAAAACATACTTTTATGTATAAACATGGATCAACAAGAGCAATTTATGTATTTCTAAGCTAGACAACTTGCTAAAATGGTTATAAAATGCATTTCAAGAGAGATTTTGGAATTCCTATATAAGTATACACCAATTTTCCTTGAAATAAATAATTCACCAAGAAACACAATAAAACTTGAACACTCACTAGATAATTTGACCAAAAACAATATTTATACTATAAACTAGTCATAATATACAAGTTTCATTGGTTTCAGTGTTAGATAATCCAAAAATTTAAATTTCAGGTAAAATCTTAACTGTGTGCATGCTAAATGACCAAAAAGGGCTAAACTACCTTATTGTAGCAATTTGAGGGCTGTAATTTGACACTAACATAATTGTTACATAAAAAAAATAATGTAACATGATTTCTGACAACAAATGTGACCAATTTTCACTGTAAAGGGTATGATTTCTAAAAATAGAATCTCACATGCCTGTCAGTAATAGGTATAAAACCACTAATTTATAGCCCCATTGCTTTCTATGTTAAATTCTGCAATTTCAAGCATAAATGGCTACTTTGTCTTAAGTTCAAATAAAGTGGCAGTTATTTCATGTCAAAACTGTACCTTATGCTGACTTGTGCGGAAAAAATCAACATACCTTTAATTGCATATTAGAGTGTACTGGTTCCCGGAAGTTTGATAGTACAAAAACAGGAACTTCTGATCTGAACAACAGGCCAAATGAGCCCTCCTATTAAAATTTCATATACTTCTTTATTATTCAAATAAAACTTTCAACAAGGGTTCTACAGTGATCCCAAGTCCCCAAGCTTTCATTTGATACTAAAACTACCCAAATATTCCCACTATTGACAAAGATACAGCTATGCGTAGGAACTATTTTGTTTAAAATATGTACTACTTTCTTGTATGTTCTTTCGGACCGGGCCTGAATTAGTGGTTCTATACCTTTTATATGGAAATTCTACTACCAGAAGGTTTTCTTTCTAACATATAATCAATAGCATCTGCAAGGTGAAAGTGAAAAAAAAATTCTTTGTTATTAACAGTTGGGAACACTGGGCCAAGAGTTGGTATCAGAAGAAGTGGGGAAACTGAAGGTGTAAGACAATCACTAAGCAATATAGAACAGAGGGCTACACAGTCGGAAATAGCAGCATGGAGTCGTAGGATAGTTGTTAGGGAACTGGATCCTTCTTTGTTGTCGTAAGTATTAGGACATTCTTACATAAAATACTTTGCACTCTACCAATTTATTGTTTTTATTGTTAGGTATTTAGGTTTCTATTGTTTTACTAATATTAAATATATGCCTGCAGTTACAGCTACAAATATGAGTCAATTGTACTAAATAGATTCAATATTTCAAGCTGATACAAAATGGCAACTTGGATGTGATATGGATACTCAATGCTCTAGTAGATTGAGCTGTTAATGGGATATATTTTTTTTTTATTATTATGAAGTTTTTCTGATGGCAAGGATAGATTCTACAGTATTTCTGGTTAAACCAGCAATTTTCATTTTTTTTTATATTTTCATAGAGATCTAGAATCAGTTTGGCATTTATTGTTGTTTCTCAGGCTATTTAACTTTTTGCAAAGTGAACCATCCCATTGAACAAATACAATAGCTATTGTTCTCTGTGGAGTCAATTCAATGGAAACTTTAATTTCTCTTTGAAAGAACAAATTATTCAAAGATTAGATTTGGCTGTACAAAAAATAAACTATTGATGAAGCTAAGTAATAAGTTATTGTATTTTAAATCAAGGAAATCATGAACCAATGACTGCCTGTCCCCGCATGCATAGCTGCCCACGTAATACAGGGACAGACAACTCCTTAACTGGCTTTAATCAAATCAAACAATATAGATTCTTTAACACAATCCTCTTTTTCTGAAGTTGACAGCAGTATGATTTATTTGTGCAACATGTTCATTATTGCTTAAGATGCAAGGTAATGGTAGCTGGTATCTGACCAGTAAAGTTTACACTTACAATTGGCTTAAATGTGAATTTGATACAGTTACAATGTAAAATATAAATTAATGTTACAGGAAAAATGAAGAAGAAAGAAGAGCCCACTCAGAAGCAGAAATGAGGAAATTCTTAGAAGAAAGGAAGAAAAAACCTAGTTTGCATTATGTAATAAGATCTCCATTATTCTTTTGTTAACATTAAGTTTGATTTGTTATAGTGGTTTAACATTCTGTCTGCAGACGACATTAATATATATTAAATGTAAAACATGTAATAGAAAAGAAATTATATATAGAATTTTAATTGCAACAATAGTGAATGTCAATCAAAACAAGCAGTTTCAATTGTAATGGTAACTATTTTGAAATTTTTAAACACTAACTGCACATATATGCATGACAGGTCATGTTTCTGTAAAATTTCATTTATTTAGGAAAATATTCCATTTTTTCACTTTTTTGCTGTTTCCATGACAATGGCAGCCATTTTGAACATTTAAATTGCAAATGCCATCTACACATAGTGGTTATTATTATGGTAAAGTTTCATCTTGACCAGTCCAGTCAACTCTGAAAAATAATGTGAACAATATATTAAATGATTCATTTTATTTTTAGCCCAGCACAGCCAGTACACCAAAGAAAGGTAAAGGGAAAAAGAAAGTGATAGAAGAACCTGCTAGTCCAGCTCAACAAGAGAATGAACAGACAGCTACCAATAGACTAGTTACCAGAGCTTTGTATGACACTGAAGAAGAGGTACCAGCTTAGCCTTTAAATCATTGTTTTGTTCATAGATTTATGCAATAAAAGGAGTCTGTATGAAAAGGCCACTTTTTCGAAAATCATTAAGTATATGAAAATTTTGATACATTTCTCTGGTGCTACTGAACAGATTGACTTTAATTTGGTAACAGCTTGGAAATGATCATGTGAGCTCTTTTGGAACCTGTTAGACACCTACTTACTGTTTTCCAATACTTTGGATTGGAATTAGAATGTGGGGTCAACATGAGATAGCAAACACACATTTCTATTTATATAATAGATGTATGGTTTTGATGATATAATGTTGTAAAGTTGTTGTCCCATTAACTTTGACACTATATCTTGTTTTTATTGGTACAAATATGGTAAATCATCTCATAGGAACTTCAAAGTTTTATGTGTTGGTTTTAACCCCTCAAAAGAGGTTTAATATAGATATTTTAAATAGACTGAGTTTTAGGTGGTTCATTTGATACATTTTATTTCATTAATGAACTAATCAAAAAGGATATGTAGGTCTTTTATAATTTTAAATCATTAACCGAGAAATTCATTCCTGGTTCCCATCAGTAATTTACACAAGTATAAACAACACATATTTTTAATAGGAAGAAGATGGATCAGGGTCAGATCTATGGAATAGCAGTAGTGATGGGTAAGGTACTTGTCTGCCTTTTCTTGTGTCAGCTCACATTTGTAAAAATGACAATGACTGTCAACAACAGTTTAAAAGCTTTCTTTTTTTTTAAATTTAAATAGGAAAAAAAATATTGGGGTATTAATCTTCATGTAGTTATATCAATCTAAGAATCCAATGAAATTTTCGTCACACACTTCTCAGGTACTACAGAACAGAATGACTTCATTTTGGTTAGCAGCTTGACAGTGATGAGTTGTAATGTGTTAGCACTTTATAGATCTGTCAGACACATGAGCAATTTGGTTTCAACATCAGATATTATTTAAAGCAGCTATTCCTAAAAATTGATTTCCATTGATGACTTGCATGAAAATTGATTTATACATTGGTTTTGGTGTAAGGTTGAGATGATTTTATGTTTTACAATTATTTTACAGTGAATCAAGTGAATATTCTGATTGGATGGGAGACACGGGTAACAATTTACAACCACCAAAGCGGACATCTCAGCGGAAACGTAAACAGAGAAAGATCAGTTCTTCTGAGACAGAAGATATAGATAGTGATTACTTACATGATGTTGCTAAGGATGAAGCTAGGGACTCAACATTCCAGGCTAAAGTTCCTCGTCCTCAGAGGAAAAAACCTGCACCAAAGAAGAAAGAACCTAAGCCCACAAAGAAAACGATAGTATGTATTTTAGACAGAAAACAATTAAAAAAAAAATGACTTGATGGTTTTACAAAGGCAAGGCAAAATTAAAACCAGACAGAACTGCCTTTACAATTCTTGATTTCCTCTTGTATTTATTCTATTTTTGGCTTTTCAAACTATAGTTCTGAGTATTGTTAAAGATTATAAAAACCTGCTGGTTAAAAAATTTGAAAAGCAGTATAACTGGTGTACTTAAATAATACAGTTGTTAAGTCTACAAAATGTAAAACTGGTGACTTGGAAATGTTTTTTTCCTGGCTTTTAAAATTAGAAACAGAAATTAATTAACATTCTCTGTCTACATATTTATTGCAAATAATATGATATTATTACGTGATTATTTCTGTATTGGCCTTGTTATTGGTCCGAGGCTTGCTGTATTGGCCTGAGGCGAAGCTGAAGGCCAATACAGTGGGCCGAGGACCAATAACAAGGCCAATACAGAAATAATCATGTAACGATATCTTTATTAATTAACTACAGCGTTTCCAGAGATGCAGCTGATCATCGGACCTGTCGGACCTAGGGGGAAGAATTTTAGAGGGTCCAGCAAATGACGTCTTTGTGTCATACCCAATGACCGACAAATATTTTTACTGTTTGGGGCCGTCAAAATTGAAATTTCTGTTAGTTCTGGTTACCTTGGCTTCCAAATCAATTATGTAGTTTTTTATTGTTTTTTATTTCCTTTCACAAGATATTTACATGTTTTACCTTCAAATTGAACTATCCAAATCTGAGTTTCCTTTTATAAGCTGCAATGTCAAATGATCTGGTGCTTTTTGGAAGTGTCTTCTACATTTTTTGATGATTTGTTAACCCTTTTCAGTCACTATAAAGTGTTACAATACATAGATCTATTTAGACGCAACATATAAATGGTAATCGGAAAGGTACTGCCATTGCATGAGAGATTCAGAAACAAAAGGATTAAATAAAACTAGGAGTTGAATATGATTGCCAATGAGACAACTATCCATAGACCATGACCAAAGAACAAAGACTTGAACAATAGATTACTGGTCATCCTTCAACAATCCATATGCCGGTTCGGGTTGAAAAATATATGATACCTAACAAAACCATGAGAAGCGAAAGTAAACAGTAAATCAAAATGCACCCATTAAACTGATAAAATTTTTTAAATAGTTATGAGGTCGACAAGAACTGAGTTTTGTGATAATCTACAGACTCGTTGCAAAAACCTGAAATAATTCAATTTTCTGCTTACAAAATGCTATTTGAAATTAATGTGACTGTTTTTAGCCTGAAATATTTGCCACAATGAACGTTTAGGCATGTTTATGGTGAGTAAATAAAACTGCGTCTTCAAAACGACAGTTGACATTAAGTTTGTGTTTATCATGACTTTCGATCTAAAAACTAGAGACGTTCCGAAATCCTGTATTGGCCGAGTTGACACTTTTGTATTGCAAAGGCAGTTTTCATCATACTAAGTTCAATAACAGAGTAGTTAAATAATAATACTTTGATATCATGTAACAGATGAGGTATTAAGGTAATAAAGTATATACAATCAATAGTTCTTATTGTTAGATGACAACCAAGTTACCTCCCTTGGGTAGAAGTATGATACAGTAAAAAATGAAATATTCTATGTTCTATACACTTATTTTGGTATTATTTTTCAGAGGAGGCAAAAAATCGTTAAAAAAATGGGAGGTATACAAGAACTGCCTGAAGAATTCCGTCCATCAGAATGGCTAACTGATACAAAACCTCGTAAAACCCCATATGTTCCTCAGATGGGAGATGAGGTTATGTACTTTAGACAAGGTCATGACCTCTACCTCCAGGCAGTAGTAAGGAAAAATGCCTACAAGATAGACCCAAACAAAAACCTACCATGGCATAAAATGCCTAGTATTAGGGTAGGTATTTTAAACTATTGTCACATAGAATTCAAATTATAATACATTTTAATTTTGTAACTTGAAAGAAGCATAAATTAAAGACTGAATTTAACATTTTTTGTACACAATTTTATCCTGAACAACCTAAACAATCTTTCTTGAAAAAAATATGTATACTGAATAATTAAAAGGAAAGGAAACTTGTCTAATCTTTCAAATACTTCAACATATTTCAAATATATTTTAGGAGCAAGAATTAATGAGAGTTGTTGGAATAAAATATGAAGTCCGTCCACCCAGAATGGTCTGCTTGAAGCTGGCATTTATTGATCCAGCAACAGGGAAACCAACAGGAGGCTCAATCTCAATCAAGTTAGTTCCTTTCCCACTCAGGAAGTAATTTTGGATTCAAGAGACTTGTTTCCCTCATGTTCAAGCTTTACCTAGTTTAACCCTGCCACATGTTGATGGCAGACCTTTATAGTCTCTGTTCAATTAATGACAACTCTTTCAATCTCTTGGCGATTAAGAGCATGACATATTGTAAAGACAATTGTCTATTGTTGGAAACTGTTTGTTGCCCTCATGTTGTCTTTTGGGTTTTTGTTAAAGGAAATGTTTTACATTGTTGAAAATAGATGTTGTATTGCAATAAAGATTGAATGAATTACCAGTATCATACAATTTTAATATTGTATTTATAGAGAGCTCTGCTCGAGGGATTATATTGGTTGAGGGTTGATACGGTGTGTGATTTTGAAAAAGCCATATCATATACACTTTGTTATATATCGCAAGTAGATGTTTTTTATGTGACACGACGTTATACAGATTAGGAGTTTGATAAAGCCTTTGCAACAGTGACTTTAATTGATAACGTGACATCATACAGATTCAAGCTGTGATAAAGCCTTTACAACCGTGACTGATATCGATATCATCACGAATGGCTGATACAGCACGATTGCCTTTGACCGTATTACACATACAATTTATCTGTATTTACTACTAAGTATATAATAATGTTCATTTATTATATAGAATAAGAAGCAAGGGAACAGTCTAAAAGCATAAGTCCAAGAAAGACTGACCATGCCATGACCAAAATGAAAAAAAGGTCAATCAAATAAACAAAAACTAAGCAGAATACTAAAGCAGCACAAACCACAAAAAAACGCCGATTATGTAGAAGCTTCAATCTTTCACAATTCAAACTGGTATACAATGACATCCCTAAGATTCTATTAATATGTACTAATATATATGTTTACAGATATCATGACATGCCTGATGTGATAGATTTCTTAGTTCTAAGACAGAATTATGACATTGCCATGCAGAGAAAGTGGAAAACAGGTAATACTACTGCTATGGATTCATTATTATTCCTGGTATACCAAATTGTCTTAGTAAAATAATGTTCCACTATCTAATGCAACATTTAAGGAATGACTGTAGTATTTTTTCTGTCTATGAAGAAATAACATAAAAAATGTGGTGCACACTGAATAACCCACATTGCAGGTTATTTAAAAGTGTGCACCACATTTTTTAGGTTATTTTGAATAGACAGAAAAAATGTTACAGTCAGTCCTTATAATTTAATTCTAAATTCCATTTTTAAGGTAATTTAATTCTAAATTCCATTTTTAAGGAATAAATTTTGAAAAAAAAACGTTGGTGACGTCACGGTCACATGACAAAATTATGTCTATGAGCTGATAGACAAAACACTTTCAGCCAATCAGAAGACATGTTACATCCAAAATTAAATTATTTACGAATCAAAAGGACTATGGGTAACTTGTTTGTTGTACCCCAAATTAAGATAGTGTTACATCAAATTTTCATTGTTTAGGCAGTTGTTAGCAAATTACAATTTTTGATGTACGCTTTTGACAATATCATCCAGATTTCATTAGATTGTGAAATGCTGAAAATTTTAATTCCACAGATGAAAAGGGAACAACAATTGTATTGAATTTTAAGGTAGAGACATATAGAATAACTGTACATTTGCTAAAAATATTTAATTTATTTGTACAAGGCTTTGAAATAGGTTGAATATGAAGCTTTGCTCAGCATTTCTGTCCTGTAATGAGGCGAGTAAAAATAAAATTTTTGTTTAAAGACAATGTATAGTCTTTAACCAACTCTTTAAAATTGTTCCAAATGAAATAGTTAAGGTAAAAAGCAACAATTATGAATTTGAAGTGGACAATGTAAAACTTCTGTGAACCAGCATTCTTTCGCAATGTCATAGAAACATATTAACCTGATTGCTTTATATAATCAATGACTGTATAGAAACAAGAGTTGATAAGGTCTACTTTTTTATTATGCAAATATGACATTTGCAGTATGGAGTTAAATGTATGATGAAATTGTGTGACAGAGTGGGTGTTATACTGCAGTCACCTTATCAATCAGTCAGTTCATCCTTCATTAAGTTTCTTAATATACTACTCAGCTTCTGTATTAATGAATGATTTGATATTTAGTTGGGAACTTACACTTCAGGAGCACCTAAGATCACCCTCGGTTTTTGGTGGGGTTGTTGGTGCTCAGTCTTTAGTTTTCTATCTTGTGTTTTGTGGACTGTTGTTTGTCTCTTTTTGTTTTTTTTCCCTTTTTTTGCCATGGCATTGTCAGTTTGTCTTCAACTTATGAGTTTGAATATCAGGCCCTTGGTATCTTCAGCCTCTATTTTCCAGATCTGTCTGGTAGTCACGTCTTTTTGACCAAATGAGCATGGAATTATTTGTCAATGAAGCCAGTTGGTATATACTTTTGCATGACATCAACTGCAACTTCTTGTTCTTGACATGTCAACCTGTCAGTTTGTTTGCAAATTATTTGTTAATTAACTCAATACAAAACTTTTGTAAGTTTTACCCAACACTAATGTCAGGAATATGAATAAATCAAAATATATTTTAAAGATTGACCATCAATATTAAGAATTATGTTGTATCAGCATATGAATAATTCATTTTTAAAAAATTGTGAGGCGAACTCCTAAGTCATGATCCACTGATTGTTCACATCACCCAATGTCAAGTTTTCTGAAAGACAAGTTTTAAAATACATGGTAAGTGGTGCATATTCCAATATACATACAATGATATAAAAGTAAGTCAAATTGCAGCATTTGAATTTGCAGTGCATTGACAGTTTTATTATTATTTTGTATTTACAAACAGGTGACCGATTTAGGTCAATGATTGATGATGCCTGGTGGATGGGTTCTATAAAGGAACAGTTTCCATTCCAAGAAGAACACCCAGACAGCATGTTTCAGTGTTTTCTTGTTCAGTAAGTCTCTATATATAAATAAGAAGATGTGGTATGAGTGCCAATGAGACAACTATCCATTCAAGTCAAAATGTGTAAAAAGTAAATAATTATAGGTCAAAGAATGGCCTTCAACACGGAGCCTTGACTCACCGAAAAGCAAGCTATAAAGGGCCCCAAAAAGACTAGTGTAAAACAATTCAAACAGGAAAACCAACAGTCTAATCTATATAAAAAAAGAGCGAGAAACACTTATGAACCACACCAACAAACGACAACCACTGAACAACAGGCTCCTATGTACACTTGTAAAGAATTGCTACAATTAACGAATCACTTTTTGTTAGCTAAAAGAGAGTTTAATTATACCCACTTAGAGTATAATCTTTAACCTGTTTATCTAAATGTCTGCCATCACCTTTTTGCAACATGGATATGATGTATATGTTGTTGTCTCATTCCTTTCAAATTCGAGTGAAGGGTAACCCTTTTCAGAACTAGCATGATTACAATTTTAAGACATCAGATTGTAGATGAGTTTAACGACAAGATTTGTATCATGACATAACAATACAATTTCTTTTTTAGTTGGGATAATGGAGAAACAGAAAAGATAAGCCCATGGGACATGGAACCAATAGCTGATTGCAGTAAGTATATTTGATGGGTATTTTTTGGTAAATTCCTTGGTCTGAACAAAATTACTGTATATTCAGAAAATATTTCGTGCATTTATTATTGCGATTGTGTGACAATCAACACAAATGCAAGTTTAATTATTGCAATTTCAGGAAATGCTGCATACAAATATTGCTATTAAAATTTAAAAAGCAAGTTTTTAAATATGTTTGGAACACCTATCTCGCAATTATAAAAACATTGCAAAAATTTCTGAATATACAGAAGTATGAATTAAAATTTTTGTCTAACTTGTGCATTTACCTGATTTTGGGATAAAATGGAATGTGATTTTGAAGTTTTGAAGTCATAATGTGAATGTTATACAAATGACACTTTAAGGAAATTTTTGATATTTTTTTTTCTTTATAAAATTTTGGGTTTTGCACAAACATTGATTGATACATAAATTGTGGTAATGAAATACTGTAAATTCAGAAATTATTGCGTGCATTTATTATTGCGATTTTGTCATTTTAGACTTAAATGCGATTTTAATTTTTACGATTTTGAGAAAAATTCTGTTTTATTCATGTAAAATATTTCAAAATGCGAGTTTAAATTATTGCGTTTACAACTCTGTCGCATTTTTCGCAATAATAAAAACCTCGCAATAATTTCTGAATTTACAGTATATGATTGTTGGAATAAAAAAAATTTACAAATTAACAAGTCCTGATAAATATTTAGAAGATATTTTAGAACAACAAAACTATGATAAATATTTGTAATTGAAGGGGTATACAAAAAAAGTTCTACAGTGTTAAATAGCAGTAAAATCTGTAAAGAGACAGTAACTACCGATATATAGATAATTTATTTCTCATGATCAATCTAAAAGTCAACAAAATCAAACAAAAAGTATAATGTAGATTTTCTTCCTTTAAGCTGGCAGACCAGGACATAGGGGTAAGATAGCATGCTTATCTCACTGTCTTGCTGGCAATAATAGATGTAGTCTCGTACACTATAAAGAGAATTTAAAAAAAGTTTTTAAAAAAATATAAAGTTTTCCCAATTTAATTTTCATGTTGGTTCATCTTTATTTTTCGATAAAAGAGATATTACACTTTTTTTTTTTAAAGATGACCATATTGGAACATGATTTAAGAACCAGTGAGTTCGCTTTCTCAAGTGCCTTTTTCATAGATAGTATTCCTTTGCAAGAAAATATATAAGAAAGTGCAAAATGTTGACAACTACTTGATAGAATTTGCTAGTTACTTTTTGTTGGTTTTTTTCTATAGATAAACTAGTTTCCTCAAGGTAATAATTCTTGCCAAGAAGCAATTCAAAACTGAATGGATGATCATAACTTAAGATCTGGTCTTAATTTTGTATAAGCTATTATCTATTTAATTTAATTTTTGTTTGTATAAAAATCCAATACCAAAAATCATACATATTTTAAGAACAGAAATTAAACCTGACTCCAGAAAATTTGGCACAATAGATAGGAGTAAGAAATTTTTGCATTGAAACAGATCATATATAGACTCGAAAAGTTATTGCAGGGTTCTTAAACATGAAAAGTCTGGTACATTCCCAGCATAGTCCGATTGATCTTTGTTAACTCTGATCAGACATAGCTATGTATTTTGACTTTCCGATCAGCCAGATTGGCACACCCTCAGAAGAGATTTTACTCTAGGACAGTAGAAGTTTAGATGACTGCATTTCTAGACCCGTGTGACCAATAATACATTTACTTGTTGAATTAATTATAGACTTCAGATAATTATTGAAAAAGTGTATCCAACTGGAAGAAAATATATTACTAGTAATAGGCTTATAAAGTAGCATATGAATAAAAAGATTGAGTGATTGATAGTTGGCGTGTAAAGCAACTTTAAGCATTTATAGCTATATCATGGTAACAAGTTTTTATTGGTGGACGATGTGGGAAAGAACTATGACCTTTGACAGGAATACTACATGTATCAAGCATAGTCAATAAAGATTGATTTGAACGCACTGCCCCTGCCATGATAGGGTTGAATAAAAAGAGATGAGGGGTAAACATCAATAAGACAGTAACCCTTTACACTAAAATCCAAAAGATATCTAGAGAATATAGATACAATGTATACTTTTGAGCCAAATTTTCTGTTGAATTAAATTGAATTGGATGTCTTGCTTTCACTTTATTTTTTTATTTTAACTTGTTTTGGTTAGGTGTGAAATACATTGCTTGTTATAAATTTTGATCTTACTAGTAATACATTGAATTAAACAATTGAATATATTGATTTGGTACAGTATTGTCACAAAGCCAGTATTCATAAAGTTACAGCACACACAAAAAGCAGTAATTGTGCCATATCCTCAAAAACTGCCAAATTTGTTTGCAATTTTTAACATTCAGTTGCATTAAAGCATAAACCAGCTGATGGCAAGAATTATTCCTTGCTTATATAAACAGGTTCATCAGCAGTCAGTACTCATCTGTTGATTAATTGAGAAATTTTTAAGGAAGGTAGGTTCCAATTCCCTCAGGCAAAATTGTTCTTTTTTTTCAACACTTGATAATGAATTTATTGCACTAAAACTGTTAACAATGTCCTGAATGCTACAGTTTTAAAGGCAAGGTACCCTGATAATGATAATATCTATAAGAACAGGGTTTCATTAAGATAAGTTTTCTTTTTTCTTAATTTTATGTTAGTGTTATAAAGGCAAAGTTAACATTCAACAGTTTTTACTATTTTGTTTAGGTTTGGGTTTTATAGCTCCGCAAGTATTTATACACCAGGCTTTCAGGTTTTCTTTATGGAGGTAAATCCAGAAAAGCCTAATACACAACAAATTTATATTTTCATACATCATAGGTGACAGTTTATCAGTATTTCATTAGGCATTTATTTTAGCTTTTGAAAGAAAAATGCCACAAAGCCAAGGAATCTTAATTAAATACAGATGTATGTAAATTAATGTTTCAGAAGGCTTGTTCTAATTTTATCAGACAAAATACTTTTGTAATTGAAATATGGAACAAAATGAATTTATGAAGAGAATTATTGAAATTCAAAATTTGGTTTAATGTCTGGACACTAAAAATGACATCACTTAATATGAAAACTGTGCTTGGATTTAGTAGCATGACATTATACTTTATAGAAATGATAGAACATGAATTTTGCTAGGATTTTTTTAAAAGAAAACAGTGGTATCTTTAAGAAATTGAGGTATTTACAGTTGAAGAATAATTCAAAACATGTAGATAAGATTTCCTCAAGAAGTCATCCATTTAATATGGAATCATAGCTTTTCAAACCAATTATTCACTAAGAGCTTGAAGGTTGTAACAATATGTTAAAAGTCTTCAGCCTCTTGTAGGACTTGTTACAAGAGGTTTTAAAAAAATTATATATTTAATACATGTGTATATTAGAATGTTTAAAACACCCATTCACACAATTTTGTGTTGTACAAGCTTATTTCATGTAGTCATTTTGGATGCCACAGTAACATTTATATTTATTGCTTGCTGTTTGTCAATAAAATGCATAATTTTAACTTTCATGCAAGATTAAGGCTCGGTGCATTTGGAATAACCAATGGATTGCAGATAAAATGTATTGTTATACATCAGGATCATGATTGAAAAATTGGTCATTATTTCAATACTTTTTAAGGGAAAAAATTGTTAAAATATTGATGTGTAGGGAAAATATAACTTTAGTGAAAAACTTTGAATATGAATCTTAATGAATATTTGTAGAAAATGAAATTCCCAAAATTTACATTATATATCAAACGTTTGTAATTTAAATTTTTTTTATTGATATTTAAGAAGTTGATAATAACTTACAATGGATTCTGAATTTGGAACCATATTATGCTAAATACTTTACACAAAAGTACCAAGTTGTCTTCTTTTAGTCTTAGAATTTCATTTATTTCATCAGTGAATGGTATTATAGCATATTTATTCTAAAGCTAAACATTGGAAATATTTTATCAAAGATTCATACTTTGACACAAACATCCAAATAATTCAAAAATTGATACAAACAACATCCAAACTTTGATACAACAATTCAAACTTTAAACAAAAATCCAAACTCTGATACAAATAATTTCAGATGTTCACTAAATCAAAAAGTTGATATGTCTGTAGACTCAGAAGAGGTCATATCTCACTTAAGAAACTTTGTTTTGTGGAGTATGCTTGAAGACCAAGGATAGGTCATTTCTTTATTTCAATTTTCTATGATATTTTCTATTTTTCAGGTATGCCTGAAGACCCAGGTGGGGGAGTTCCTGTTACTCAAGATGAAATAATATCTCTCATGTATACGCCCTCTGCAGGAGAGTGGCCATCATGCTTTAGAGACCAGGAATGTGACAGAATTATACGAGGAATGGAAATGATAATGGAACATTCCGTGGCAGAACCCTTTTTAACACCTGTTGATCTCAATGTATTTCCCATCTATGGAATAATTATTGAATATCCTATGGATTTAACTACAATCAAATCTAGATTAGAAAATAGATTTTATAGGTAAGTAATCAACATGTCATCGACCATCAATGTCAACTCTCCCAATGTTGGTGAGAGCCTTTCTTAAAATGTCTTGGATTGTCTGCCCTTTTCTCTGTCTCCTGCTCAGGAGGTAGAATTTATGTAATATATGAAATATTATAATTACAATACATTAAAGTTGGAAACATTAGACATTATATAAAGAGCAGATTTAAAAAAGGATTAGAAAAAAAGATAAGTAACAAACAAAAGGAATGAAAAAAGAAGAAGAGGAATTCACCAATTACATCCTATAGATCTACGTTTTTAAGTGTAACATATCCATGAGGAAATATTTAAAAAAAAATGAAATGTATTTTCATAGCAACAAGCAAATTAGGTCAAGAACATTATATAAAAAGATTTATTTTCTGAACTGAATTATTAGTGATCAATATGTAGGAACAATTTTTAAAAAACTTTCCATACACAATGGAACACTTATTTGAAACACTCATGAATTGACAGTTCTAATTTCTGTTTCAGGAGAGTCAACGCCCTCCAGTTTGATGTACGTTACATAGAGACTAATGCTGTTACGTTTAATGAAGCTGGTACTCCTATTGTTAAAAGTGCTAAAATTTTAACGGAAGCTTTACTTAGATTTATTAAGTAAGTACAATCAAATTTAATGCTGTTGTTTGTGATGTACATTGTTTGTTGGCCAATACACATTTTTTTGTATGAGCTGTTTAATTAGTTTGCCTTTATGTTTCGTAGGACATATTTCAAGACTGCAGAAAGTCATGAGAGATTTAAAAGCCATGTTTGGTCATATTTCACTGAAATTTGTATCTTTTTATGTTAAGATTCCATTAATACAGGTCTTTTCACAGTAATATTAAATGCATTTTGTCAAAGAGACATATTTTAACAAGTAGCAGGGTAAACCAAATGATAGGTATGGTAAGAATCTTATTTGGCCTCCATATGAGATGAAAAAAGTTAATGAATAAAAGTGCAAAAGAACAATTTGTGAAGTCTTCAATTTTTCTGAAGAAAATTTTACATTTACTCACCAAATAGGGCAACATATAGATTTTGGTTCACATTTGACAAAATTTCCTTGATTTTAATCTAGTTTAGGCCTAAGAAAAATAGAATCTTGGATAACTAAATATTCAATTCAGATATGTTATTTGTTGTAAATGTTATGTTACAATTGTTTTTTTGTCTATGTATGTGCTATATGTTTTCAGTCCTGAAAACCTATGGAAATTGGACTATTTTCATTGAAATTTATGCTAATTTTGAAGTCATAATAAGAACGCTCATACATGTACATAAATTTTCAAACTAAATCATATTTTCTATCAAGTCATTGTTTTACCTATGATTCTTGTGATGATAACAATTTTAATACGAATTTGAAATTTAAACTAGATCTACTCCTTTTATAATATAACATCCAGAGAGCTCCGTTATGATTATATAAAAGAAACATGCTATATTGACTTGATTGTAAGAGTCATTCAAAATTCTGGCCCAATTGCAATTTGTTTCAGATAAAATCAAACTGTTCAACTGGTCAGAAATTTAACAACAATCAAGTCATTCATGAAAATCGGTATCCACGAAAAATAAATGAGTCCACAGTACCTCTCATATTTTTATGCCCCGTTGTTGCGGAGGGGGCATTGAGTTTTACCCTTGTACGTCTGTACATCTGTACATCCGTCCTTCCGTCCATCCCTCCCAAAATAAGTTTCCGTTCTCTAACTTTAATTTGCCTCAACTAAATATTACAAAACTTATGCACAATGCTTATTACCACCAAACACAGATCAAGTTCATATTTGGGTGGTGTCACTTTCTGCACTTAACTTAAGTTTGCCTCAACCAAATGATATGAAAGTTATACACAATGCTTATTTCCACCAAACACAGATCAAGGTTGAATTTGGGTGGTGTCACTTTCACTGTTCTGAAGTTATGTCCCTTTGTAAATTGAAATTTTTTTGAATTTGCCGTATATTTACAAGCGGGGCATCTGTGTCCCATGGACACATTCTTCATATATTTTTTATAGCTTTCATATGTACAATTCATTTCAGTGATACTGATTGTTGTGATCCAATGTCAATAGTTAGTAACTTAACTCATGGAATGGAATTTAACTGGGGATCGTCTGATTCTGATTCTGACACAGAGGATACAGCAGATACTAGGAAAAGGAAGCGGGTTAGTACTACATACATAAACTTACATAAGAGGTCAAACTTTTGACGAACAAAAACTGGAAGAAGGTTGATCTGTATTTGAGGTTTAAACGATTCAAAATGATATTCAAAACCAAGATGAAATCACTTGAGATAGGCTGTTACAAGTGAAATATTTTGATGGTAAAAGCTAACAATTTCTTAAATAACTGTTGTAATAAACTGATTAGATTTCATCAGCTGCACACAAATATGGATTTTAATATGGGATTACTGTCTATGTGATCAGAGATTAGACACTCATTAAAAGTATGTAATTCTCACGGAATATTGTTCCGATGCAGACTGCAGCTTGTTTGTACCTTTTCTAAGGTGGATTCAAATATGACGATTCTTTTTATCACTTGCTTAAACAAAAATTGCTACAATTTGTATGAATTTTAGTCTGATGATGAGTTGCCAGAGACTAAGAAAAGAAAAAAAACTGGTATCACAGACCCTAATGCTTGGAAATCTCAATGTCGTCAGTTACTGGAAACAATGTTACGATGTGAAGATTCCGAACCATTCAGGCGACCTGTTGGTCTTAATGAACTTCCAGTGAGTACTTTATTTCATATTGTTGTAGATTGATCATCTAGCTATCCATTTTTATATGACCACAAAATTATTGCAGTCATATAATGGTAAGACTTTGTAGGCAATGAAGGTGGCAGCATCGTCCAAAGATAATTGGTTTCAGACAATAACTTCAGGATAAGTGTATGGATCTCTATGAAATTGTACCATAAGGTTCCATACCAAAGGAAGGTTAGGATTGATTTTGGGGGTTAATGTTCTAACTGTTTAGGAATTAGGGGCCAAAAACAAGCATTTTTCTTGTTTCAGGACAAAACTTGTGTATAAGTGTATGGATCTCTATGAAATTGTACCACAAGATTCCATATATATACCTCAAAAGGAAGGTTAGGATTATGAGGGTTATGGCCCTAACTGTTTATGATAAAGGGGCCAAAACAAAACAATGCTTTTCTAATACTTTCTATGAATTGCTTATTTTTTGACCAATTTCAATGAGGTTTTTTTTAAATGCTGAATCTAACCATGTATTTAGATTTTCAGATTTTTGGCCCCGTTTTTAAATTTGTCCACATTGAGGTCTAAAGGGTCCAAAATAAAGCTTTGTTTGATTTCATCATAAATTGAATTCTTGGTGTTCTTCGATATGCCAAATCTAACTATGTATTTGGATTTATGATTTTGGGGCCGATTTTCAAATTGGTCAACATTAAGGTCCAAAGGGTCCAAAATTAAACTTTGTTTGATTTCAACAAAAATTGAATTGTTGGGTTTTTTTATATGCTGAATCTTTTTTTGGTAAATTTTTTGAAGAACTTCGTGCTAGGTTTGTTTGTTATTCTGTTTAAAATAATTTTCAGAATGCTATACATATATTTATTTATTTTGATGAAAGAATCCCTTTAAAATCTTAGCTAAATATTGTCCATTAATAAATAGATAAATTAAATTCTTGGCGTACTTGGATATTGTGAATCTAATTGTGTATTTAGATTTTGGATATTGGACCATAATATGTAAAAGTCCAATTTCAAATTTTTCAGTTCTTTGACCATATTCATTCTGTGTCAGAAACCTATTCTTTGTCAAATATTTAATCACAATCTTCAAATTCAGAGCTGAATCAAGCTTGAATGTAGTGTCCATACTTGCCCCAACTGTTCAGGGTTCGACCTCTGTGTTTGTAACAAGCTGTACCCCTCAAAGCATTTTATTATGGAAGGTTATCAAAAGCACGGATTTTAGACTGAGCTCAATACAATTATTCTTGGATTTATTTTTATAAATGAAACTATTGAATTAAGAATTCAAACACCATGAAAATTCTACAAATCATTATAACTCACATCTATTAAGAACTATTTTGGTGACATATACTTCTAATGGCATATGTACAAATGTAAAAAACAAACTTTAACAAAACAAACAAAGATATGATTTCCAAATACAAGACATGTGTTTCTGGAAAAATGTATTTTACAACAAAAAGTTTAACTTGGAGATTGATCCCTAAATTCAAAACACAAAAAGGCTTGCAATGAACATGTACATTTGAAATTTCTTCATGCATTTACCTGATAAGTACAAAATGTATATATTGACTTATTATATGTTTCTATTTCTTTAGGGTTACTTTGATATTGTTATGAATCCAATGGATTTAGTCTCAGTCAGACAGAAACTTCAGGATGATTATTACGACAACCCACAGGACTTGTGTAAAGACTGTCGCCAGGTGTTTACAAACTCCAAGCTGTATAATACAAACAAAAGGGCAAGGGTAAGAGACTATCATTTAAAATATTTTATTGGTAAAAATTAAAAGGACTGTTTATGCATAGAAATTCATTCATATCAGGTGAAAAATCATTGATAGTGACAGATTTGTATTTGAATTCAACAGAACTTGATATTGACAAACTTTGGACTGAAAAGTTGCTCTAAAAACTGTTTAGGGCTTTTCCAGGAAATAAATGAATGAGAGGTTTAAACCCCACATGATATTTTTTTTTTGTTGGATATTACAGGTGGAAGCAATTACAATTCTGTTACAAATGAAAATAAAAATAATGGGTGGTGGGGGATACTAAAACTCTAAAAGTTAGTTTTTCTTCGCTATATGCCTGTGTTATTAAAAAAAATGAAAATTGTAATGATAAATTGAACTTTATGTGTATATGGCATGGGCTTCCTGGGGTAAATTATTTTTAATCAAAAGGTCTTTCTAGAGGAATATGTAAAAACCTAAATATGTCTTTTAAGTTATTTTTAGATGAAGAAGCTTTTTACAAATCGTAGAATTTTTTGGAACTCCCAAAGTTTTACCTTATACTTTGATCTTTATATGAATAAAAGGAATGAATTAGTTATAAGAAAAGAGGAGGATATATTGTTTTATCTGATATATGTTGATGTCATTATTTTGTTGGCAGATCTACACAATGACCTTGAGATTGTCTGCCATGTTTGAGGAACAGATCAGGGATATAATAAGTGGTTGGAAGACTGCAGTAAAGAGAAGTCAGAAATCTCCAGCACCGAGAGGTTTCTCTCCAAGGTAAATTATCTTTGTAGATTCCAAATATTTCAGACTTGAATGAGATGCTACAAATTCATTAAAATTTTGCGTGCATTTTTTTATTGTGATTGTTAACAATGGAAGATAATGTGAGATTGATTATTGCGATTTCAGGAAATGTTGCATACAAATAATGCTATCAGAATTTTAAATACAAGTTTTAATATTCCAAAACTGTCCTGTTGTAATTTTTTCAAAATAATAAAATCATTGCAAAAAATTCTGAATTTACAGTATATGAAATCATGTCTTAATGTCAGCATGGTCTGTCAGTAAATGTATTATCAGAAGTTTTATCATGAAGATAATTTTAAAAAGTTTAAAAAATTGAAAATATAGGGTATATTTAGGGGTAAATATTGTTTACTTGTATCACATTTAAAGAAAACACATTGAATCTCAGAATTTGGGAATGTTGCCAAAAAAGAATTTTGTTGCAAAATTTGGCAACTTATTTTTAACTATTATATGTTGTATTCAAATTTTTCACTTGTCACAACTTTTTCATCCAGTCAATAAATTTGTTACAAAAAAGAATTTTCCATTGACACCAGTTTAGGAAAAATGATATAGTGGATTCATTTAGATTCATGTGTACCAATTTTCGTGAATTGAAGAAAAATTATATCTTTGTGAATATTTGATTTCGCCGTTTTGCCAAAGTCTGTATATTAGTCTTGAGAAAGCTTGTTGAACATTTAAGTTCATGGTTCACTTATACTCTCGACATCAACCAAAATTGGTATTCCAATAATAATAAAAATGAATCCCAAGTAAAGTTATAAAATTTGAGTAGCTAAATTCAGGAATGTTGCTGAATTCTTAGATTTTCTGAACTGGTGTAAATATATAGATGCATATATGCAAGTCTAAATTGTAAACAAAGTTCAAACCTATGATTGCGTTGGATAAAAACCGCAATTTTTATACGTGTGCATGCAAAACAAATTTCTTGTTAGAGTGGTCTAAATACAGCACAAACAATATTTTCCAAAAGACCAAAAAAGCGAACAAGTATATTTTAACAAAACGCATTTGACTAACAGGTCGAACAACAAATGTTCTTAAACCCTGCTGACTGCCATTGGCGATTGCCAAATAAACGGATCACTGATGTAATAAATGGATCTTAATTATAAATTTAATACTAAACAGAAAACAATAAACTTGCGGAAAAGATGATATACTGCAAACAAAATGTGCAAAGGTTTTTGTACACCATATCTGGATTTCGACAATTAATGTCTCTTCAGTGATGTTAGGAATCGAAACGGTATTTGAAAAGCCATACAATTTACCTCAATTTAGTATAGACTCTTGAATTTTGAGGAGTCAAAATAGGATGAACGGATCATATAAACCCGAAGGCAACTACAATACAAGCCCAAACAAAAAAATATAAACAAGTCTAAATTGTAAACAACGTTCAAACCTATGGTTGCGTTGGATAAAAAGCGCAATATATATAATAATGTATATAGAAGATTTATACAGTCTAAAAAGTAAATTTAAACTTTTAGTGTTTAAAACTACTCATCTGAAAATAATGATGCTCTTTAATACATAGTAAAGGCACTTGTATCAGTATAAGTAATATAATGATCGAGACTTCCCTGTACACAACACATGTTTTTAACCATCATGTACCTTATGGACCAAAAGTTTGTGAAGCAAAATATATATATATATATGAGCTGTGGTGGATGGAAATTGACCTTATGCAAGTGCACGTATACTTATATATGTACATGTTTAAGACATTTAAAAACGAATTAAAAGATGAATTCTGGTCTGTTTTGTAGGGTCCTTATAATAAACTCAATTTTTACAGACTTTGCATATAGATTTTTTCAAATCGAAATAGGTTAACTGATGTATTGATATTCATTTACATAAGGACAATTTCTATCTGACACAGCTCATATTATTTCAGAGTGTCATAACCAAATGAACCTTAACACAGCAGAAATCATCTAAGGACAACTTTGTCTGAAGAAGTTGGCGTTTTAATATTAATTAATGAACAAATTTTGCATTTGTATTTGAGACCTGAGAAAACTGCAACATTTTAGCATTTCAAAACAAATTTGATTTAAATTTGCAGAATCAAACCATCTACCTCATACTCAACAAGAGCTGGTACATCACGTGATACAAAAGTGTCAGTACCTGGACCTTCAAGATCTACCTCAGCCCTCCGTAATGGCAGAAGATCACGATTTGTTAGTAGTACTACTGAATTTGAAGTAGATGTCACAGGCCCAAGTTCTTCCCGGAGTGTAAGAGTAGCAACAAGAGCAGCTCCTAGTCCTGCAAGTAAGTTAAGGATACAAATTAAGACACCCCTTTTTAAGACCAGAGTTTTTGAATTTGTTGGTTTAAAGATTTTTAATCTAAAAAGTTTGGGTCTGTCAGTCAAAAAAGAAGTCTTATAAACACAAAATAATATGTCTTACTTTACTGTGTATTTTAACTTTATTTAAGTCGTCTTTCCTGTTGAGATAGGTCTGTTTTGTGTATAATGGTGACATACATTGTATATTTCAAAAGGCTGATCCAAAGTATTTGATGACAAAAAATTAGAATGAACATATTGTAATGGACCAAGTACATAGGTTTCATTCTGAAAATTAATTGTGTACTACATTTCCCATCAGGTGCTTTTGGCAATTTTTAGATTTTATTTTTAGAACAGGAAAACAGTGGTAGATTTTTTTGGAATGTAGAATTTGTTTCATCAAATTCATAAATGGGGGAGCTCATTTGAAAGTTTTGATAAACTCGATTTCCAAAGGAAAATATTGGTCATTAATTTGGTGATGTACGGCAGGGGGGCTTGCGGCTACCAAACAGTGTCCATGCATTAACTTGAAAACGCTTGGACGAAATCTTTTCAAATTCATATATGTTCATTCCTGTGACTAAATGATGGTCAAGTTGGATTTTCACAATTTTAGCTTTTATCATTGTTGAGTTGTAGACCTTTAAGTAGCAAAAAGTGATACTTAGAGTGTTGTCCGTGCAATAACTTGAAAGCGCTTTGACGAAATCTTTTCGAATTTAGATATGTTGTTTCTGGTGACTAAAAGAAGGTCAAAGTTTGAATTTCACAATCATTCTTCCATCAACCATTCATATATTGCAATACAACAACCGTTTGAAAGTGGGTTTCTGTTATTGGAGTGACCACAAGATTCTATGGTTTCATATTTAATAAGGTTATAATCTCATAAACATATTTCTTTCATTATTGACTTAATGATGTCTGCCTACCCACCTCTGCTGAACAAATGTGTGTGTACTTATATACTTTCTTAAATTCCAATATTATGTCACTTATGATCATGATGATAAATAGGTCAAGATTGGTTATGGCCTTTCCATTTCTGAACCGTTACAAAAATTCATTTATTTTTTTAACTTGATCCTGTTTGGGGGTCCAGATTTGCAAACATCTTTTTCAAGCAGGAAAATCCGGTTTGCTGTCAAACTGGCAGCCTCTTGTTATGATATATTTTTGTTAACTCTCTCAAATAACTGATGGTGGATTGATCTTCCATTACTGGACAGAAACCAATTATTGTAGCGTAGCATAAGTGTAGCCAGCTAACCGTAACATTTCTGATAAATTCCAGGGTTTTTCTCCACAGGAAAACTAGTGGATTCAGCTCATGGCTGTAATTTCACATCCTGCATATGTTTTTGAATGTAAAACATGCTAATAGGACAAATCCTTGAACATAACCACAAAAATTCTTGCCCTGTTGGATTTTTCTGAAATGCAAATGATAATGAAAGGTTTTCATGTTTCAAATATTGGAATATAAAGACTTCCAAATTATTTATAAAAATTTAGAACAGGAAGAAACTTCTTTCCAATTACAAACAAAATTTATGTTACAGAAAAACCAGTTGTGGAATCTAATCATTATGATTCTGAAACAGAACTAGAAACCACAGATGAGGAGGAACAGGTCAAGGTCAGCAAGAGGCCACAGAGGACAGCAGGAAATAAATCTCCAGGTAAAATTTTCATCAGAGTAGTGCAATAGTCAGTTTTACTACTCCCATTAACAAGGGAAATATTAGTTTTTGTCTTGCCTATGAATTTTGTTTTCAGGTAAGACCTAAGTATGCTAATCTGGCTGCAGCGACATAAACTATTTGTATTAAGCTTTGTATTTCAGTAGGTAAAAGACCTGATTGCTTCATACCTTGTAAATAGATGCCCTATGTTATGAAGTTTTCTATCATGTGAATTTATCACTTATTGTGAGTAATAGGATAATCATATTTGGTATATGGGATACTTGCAAGGTCTACATGTTCTTCAGACAGGGTTCACCTGACCTCTACGGCGATCAGTGATCAAAATTAAAGTTACATAATTAGGTTTTTTATGCCCCCGCTACAAAATGTCGTTGGGCATATTAATTTACCCCTGTCCGTCTGTCTGCTGTTAGTCTGTCCAGATATAGATACATGATATGTCTGGCTATCTCTTCCTACAGTTTTTGAGCTATGGCTTTAACACTTTGTAGGATGTTTCTGCACTTAATAGAAGTGTGCATTTCTACAGGATTTTAATTTTTTTCAAATATTCTCAAAATGCCAGGTATTTGGACTTAGCCATTTTTTTGTACTCAGAATAAAAATAAAAGATAGATCATCATACATAGTGTTAAATTTATAATTTCTTTTGGTCAGGTGGGGGCATCATTTGTGTCTTACAGACAGCACACCAATTTCAAGTTGTACTTTGACATCACTATTTGTCAAATCTAAAGTATGTGAAATTATACTCATGCATATGGTAGAGCAGAGGGGGGCATTGTCCATATCTAGTTTTTCAGATGCTATAAGCAGTCGGTCTACTATATTTGGTGTATGGAATAATTGTAAGGTATACTTGCCTGTCTAGCAGGTTTCAAATGACCATGACCTCATTTTCATGATTTGATGGTCAGTCCATGTTAAGTTTTCATTTTTTTTTCTGTTTTTTTGATAATTAAGCATCTTGTCAGCTATATTTGGTGTATGGAATTATTGTAAGGTGTACATGTCTGTCTGGCAGAGTTTATTTAACCTTAACCTCATTTACATGGATCAAAGAAAACATTAAGTTTATGATATATTTGTAGTAAAACCATTATGTTAAAAGAATATAAAATCAATTATGATCAGTAAAGCAGATGAGACATTTCAGTGTGTGTACTCTTGTTAGATGACAACTATTTTTCTTAGCCCTTACCTTTTTAATCGCAAAACAACTCGATATATTAAAAATGTGTTCTGTGTTAACAGAATGCGATGCCAATTTGAGGTATATTTATCTACTTGCACAAACATCCACAACTCGACAGAAGCAACCCCTGCATACTTGCCAACCTCTGACAATGAAAAATCATGTCATGACATGACATGACATGTCAAAAAGCGTGTGAAAATGTGTGATGTAGTTGCTGACTTTTTAATATGAACATTATACAAATTTGTTAATATAAAACAACAATATTCTACTGTAAACTTTTATTGCATTCAACAGTGGTCTGTTTTTGCTGCTTTCAAAACAACACTACTAGGCAAATATTCAAAATAACTGCCAGTTTGTTTACATGATAACAAGGCACACAATATATCATTGAGTTTTGATCTGAATTCAGTGTAAATTTCTTTATAATTGAAAATGCTCTCTCACAGTCAGAATTGTTATTTGGCAAAACTAAAATAGCTTTAACGTTTAAATAGCAAGCTTTGAAAGAATGTCATATATATAATGGATTTTTTTTGCCATTAAAAATGTCATCTATGTCTGCTATTGCTCCCCACAAATTATATATGTTGCTATTGTCTGGTCAAAACTGGGTAGTTCATCAGAAAAAAGATGGTACTCAGAGAACTGATCCAACAGTTTTGTGATATTCCCTTCCCACATGGCCTGTGGAAATCTGTTGGCTAGATTTGAAACTGAAAAAGAAAAAAGAAAAATCATTTGAATACCATTGAATGCTTTATCAATTAGTACATCCTCCACACATGTTGTTATGATTGCAAATGATTGATAATGTTTGCAGATGATCAAATATAAATATGAGAGTAACATAGGGTGCACAATGCATTGTTCGGCCCTCGATCACTTTCTTTTGATTGATTTTAACAGACTCCCAACTTTTTTGGTACATACACTGGTATCGTTTTCGCTTAGCACTCGGCTCTTTAGACGACAGTACAGGTCCAAAAAGTGACCACTTTCTGCTGGTCATTGCCTCAAAGTGAATTTGAGAGAAAGAAGTAACAAAATCTTAAACCTAATAACAGACTTACCTGAAGCTGGGAACATATATATGTTCCTGCCTGAAGTGAAGGGCTTTTGTTGTTCGTCCATATCGTAAATAAAAACAATGGCGACGTAACTATTTCTTCGAAATTCTCGGGATTCATCGTCTATTGATGAAAACACCCGTGAATTGCGATCTCACTAACGACCAAAAAATCAAATCAACGAAAAAGCGTGTAATAGCGTGTAAAGTTGCGAAAAGCATGTACAGGCCATGTGACAAAATCCTTGCGTGTAAACTGTTGAAAAAGTGTGTATTACACGCGAATATCATGTGAGTTGGCAACTATGAACCCCTGTCATAAAAAAAACACAATTTGAAAGCAGGTGTTCATATGGATAAGAGAATATCAGCCAAATAAGTTCTTGTTCAACATCACTTTATTGTATAGGATATTTAGAGGTATTTTTTTGTCTGAAAAAAAGTGTTTAAGCTAAGGGAGCTACCATTTGATTTTTATTGTGGTGGGCGGGGGCTAGGATGAAATTTGAAAAGAAGGCAGGACAGGAGTTTTGAGTTAAAAAAAAGGCAGGATGAGCAACTTGGCAAAAAAAGGCTGGATGACAATTTATGTAAAAAAAGTCAGGATAAACTAATAAAAAAAAAAACAGGACCGAATAGAGTGAAAAATAAAAAGGCAGGACAGAGATTACAACTAAAAAAAATGCAGGACAAAATTTTTCATCCTAGTCCCCCATAAAAATCAAATGGTAGCTCCCTAACAGAGGGTTTCTAAATTGTATGCTAATCCAAAATGTAGACTAAGAGGATCTATCTACATTTAAACCTCGATAAGTTGGAAATAGAAAGGACCAAATAATTTCTATTCCTTCCAAATTTTACTTCTACAGCGAACTTTGATACACTGGATTAATTTTGTTCAATTTCTTTGAGGGGACTTCGAAATATACTGAAGTTTACTGAGATATCGATTCAACAGATTTCAACTCTAGAGTTAGAAATGCATTGAACAAAAGGGACAATACAGGACTGACAAAATATCTCAACTTCCTCAAGTTTTTGAGCCAATAAAGTATAATACTAAGAGGTATGACTGTATTTATGTTTAAACTGAAAACAAAGGTGCATTGTTTATTTTTTGTACATTTTATTATTACAGCAAAACCATCACTAACAAATGGTGGATCATCCAAATCATACACAACTCGTGCAGCAACAGGATCTATCAAACTTCGTAGATATTGTGCCGATGGATCTTTTACAGACGATGACAAAAATCAGGAAAATTCACATTCATCATCATCATCTTCAGACTCTGAATCTAATTTAAATGAAAAGTCTAGACCTCGCTCATCATCATTGTCATCTTCATCCAGTCGTTGTTCTCATGGTAACAGTTCAGGTTCTGACACTGAATCACTAAGTGATTACAAAACAGTGCAATCAGCTCCTACAGTCAAAGTGCCAAATCATAGAAGAAAACCTAGATTAAAAGCAAATATAGGCGGTGAAGAAGGAGCAGGACCATCCGATAGTCAGAGGAGACCTAAAAGGAGTACTAAACAAATAGACACTTATGGCAATGGCAGCGAGTTACCTGTTCGTAGTACGAGAAATAAGGGTAAAAGGACAATAAAATATACTCAGGAAAGTGATTTGGATGAGGATCAATCAGAATCAGGATCCGACTCGGAAGACTCTGAACCTTCAACACCTGTTGTCACTGTCAGTAGTCGGGGACGATTACGGAAAATGACACCAAGAGCCCGGGCAAATTTAGCTTCATAGTTGTTAGTTATTTGTAGTTTATTGTTAATATTTAAAAAATTATTTGCTCAATTTCTGATATGTCTGCAATGACTTTTAAATTACCATGGACATTTATTTCGTCACATTAAAATTTCTTTATTATTGTTTATTCAGCCTTTAAAAAATGAGTGATATTAAATGGATAAAGGAATTATAAAGATTAATATATTAATATTTTATGCTGTCATTTAATGACAGTACTAAATACAAGCTTTTATATTTTCTTTAGGAAGATGGCTTAATTTTCTATACATATCATAGTAACTGATCAGTGCGTTTATGACCTCCAAAATGTGGATTCTTATATCATTGATCATTTTCAAAAGTGAATTTCTATTAAGTAATCAGTTTCATTTCAGCATAAAATCGTGATAATTAAGTGTCTGTGGTAATTTAACTGCATACACATTGTATTTTGTATTCTTTTACAATTTTTGATCTCACTAGTAAGTTTTTTCCAGTGTTGTAAAAAAAGTATATGGATGATGAATTGAAAACTATGTGAGAGACAAAACTGATATTGTTATTTTTTCTTGTTATAATTTTTTTTTGTGATGAAATAAGTGCTATTGTTAGGTTTTGTACACAAGTCAAATTTTGCTGGTCAAAGATTATTACAAATTGTATTTTACTAATTTTTGGATTGTTTTCATGTAGGTTTTTTTTGTTCACAATATTCTTATTAGATAATGAGGCCAAGTTCACTTCACATGATTACATTTGATTTTCACAATTATAGTAATTCTGAAAAATTGATTGATTGGTTATACAACAGATCTATGTAGATTTATTTATTCATTGCCCAGGTTATTATTTGATAATATGGCCTTGAATTTCAACTTTATCATTATATAGCAAAAAGGCTATTAATTGGTTCTTAAATGGATCAATTTCAAAGGCTTTAATGCTAGATATTAAAACAAAAATTAAATGGTCAATTTTAGCCTTTCGTGAACCTACTCTTTTATGGTCTTTGAATGTCCACCTACTGTGCATTCTTCACAACAAATGTAATGTTAACATGACAAATTATCAATGTACAATTAGTTTCAATAGATTTTATCTGTAATCAGTTTGTTTTGGTTGATCTTAAAGTTGTGAGACAGTACTTATATTGTTTATTATAATAAACTCCAGTTTCTGAAGTTGTATAATAAAGACAATACTTAGTAAGCTGCTTACATCTATGTCATTTAAAATCTGGTAGATAGTTGTCTCATTGGCAATCATACCTCATCTAAAATTTTACATGTTGATTGTTTATCAGAATAAATGCAAGTTTCTCGTATATTTGAAGTTCATTTAGTAATGACTAAAGGTTAAAAAGACTTCGACTGAAAAATATTTGAATGGTAAATTAGAAAATGATTGTAAAGAGATTAGAAGGAAACCAGTGAGGTTAATTGTTACTTTGCATAGTTTCTATTGTTATGAAAAAAAACCAATCCAAAACAATTTTTTGTGAACAGTCGTGTGAGCCTATGCTCCGTGAAGGCCATACCTTGACCTATAATTGTTTACTTTTATAAATTGTAACTTGGATGGAGAGTTGTCTCATTGGCACTCATACCACATCTTCCTATATCTATGTGAGAAAAATTAATATATAAATGTAATTTTTGTATTTAAAACATTGTTGAAAATGAATTTTAATGTGAGAGATTGAATATATTTTTATGTTACGACCTTAACTCATAGAAAGGAAAAGTCAATATTGAAACAGACTGGCTTCAAAGAATGTAACTGATGTGTTAAAATAATCATATTTCAACCTTTCTGCCTGTAGAGAAGAACTTTATAAAAGTATAAATTTAAAAATTTTCCATGTTATACAAGGAAATATTGTGATTTGTATATATTATTTTTCACCGGTGAATAACCATTACCTCGTCCTAGTCTGTATTGGTTGTATATTTTGATCTCTTGTACTTGTATTTTTACCTTCTCATTTAACTGAGTAGCCAAAGTAAAGGGGAATAACTCTTTAAATCTCTAAAGCATTTGTAATTGTCTGTTTCATCAATGCTTTTAAAGTATTCATGTGAAGCAGAATTCAACTGTGTTACTTAGAAGTTTAGAATTAAAATATGAAAATGGTTGACACAAATGTACCAGTGATTTGTAAGAGTTATTTCCCCTTAACCTAAGTATCCCTCCTTAAGCCATACCCATGTACATGATGTATATCCTATTGCCATTTCTTGTAGTTTATAGAAGTAAACATTTATTTTAAAGAAGTACTGAATACAAGCATTTGATCAGTTAAAGAGGTCAAAAACTCATCGTCAGTCATATTTTATATATTATGGCTTACTTAATATTGGTGTGATACCAATTTTCATTGGTAAGAAAAAATAACAATACCACTAATGTAGGTATCTTGAAAATTGCAAAAAATATCTCCAAAACAATTGAAACATTAGTAACTTAATATTATGAATCTTATTCTTTTAAAGCTACTAAAGAAGAAGGAAATGTTGAGTCAATGTAATTGAAACAACAACCAAATAACTTTGCATACAATCTGTAAAATGAAAATAACACTTTATAATGTTAATTTACTTCCTGGATTTACCATTATAAAGAACACTCAAATCAAAACATTTGAAAACTGAAGATGTATAAATACATGAAAACGTAAGGAGCTAAGTTGATTTCCTATTTGCAAAGTTTCCAACTGTGTGGGAAAGTCCTTATTGCTACTAATTTATTACTATTAATAATCATGGAAAAATTCCTATAATTCTGTAATGTTTGCCTTTATCACAAGATAACAGCCATTTGTACTTTTTATATTAAAACATGAAACATACTTCACTTTGGATCTTATTCATTTAATTGTTTTTTGCAAGACAATGGTTAAGGTGATATTGTTGCACATGCTTCATGCATAGTTGCACCACTTACAGGCTATTTACAGCATAAAATTCCCTAATTGATTTTCTTGCAACTATAGAAATCAGTTTAAACTATCAAGATCTATTATTCAAATTTATTATATATTGAAATCAGTTTTGATCTTATAAAATAGCTTGATTCAGGTGAGTTTACCTTATATTTACCTGAATTCTAAAGAAATCTGGTTTCAATACCTTACATTTTTTGTCTGTTTTACTGGTGGTGACAACAGCATTAACAATTTGCAAATAACCTCAATATCCATTCCCTAATTTCATCTAAAATGACAAAAAATTGTTTGGAGGTTGTTAATGACCTAACACTGCTACAGTGAACAAGTTAATTTTGAAGGATTGAGATCTGTTCCTCCATACCTACATGAAAGTGTGATAAATGATTTGGTATGTTGATTTGTTGTGAGGACATGTATGTCCATTTGCCATATGGCCTTGACCTTTTTTTCATCAGGTCATGTAAATTTTTAGCATGTATCTTAGAAATTGTATATGATAGGTTGAAAATAGGTTAAATGTAAAAAACATTACTTTTACATTGACATGAGCAGCTGACCAATTTCTTTGACCAAAGTTAAAGAGATCTTGACCTGACAATTTAATTTGTGAACTCATGTTACATATAGCTTTTGATAAAACTAAATAACCAATTGCATGAACTATGTCAATACATATATGGGTTTGCTGTGATACACTGTATTAGAAGTTTTAAGTTGGAAAGACACTACACTACGCAAACAACGATCAATCATCATTAAGTTGTAGAAAATTTTGAAAAGAGAGTGTAGAAGTGTTAAAAAAAAGATACTTTAATTTATTAACTATCTGGGTTCATATTATGTGTTCGTATCAAGTTCTGTCTTACATGGTCCAAGTGACTTAAAATTATACAATGCAAAGATAAATAAAGAATATAAAATTCTGAATCTATTTACTGTTTCCATTCTTATGTTATCTCTCATTGTATTGCATTTTTACATATTAAAGAGAAAGAGTAGTAACACAAAGAAATTAATCAAACTAAAGTCTTTAGAACTAGATTTTTTTTTGTTGGATTAAACAATTGTTAGGTATACACTATTGGATTTACTGGAGAGTGTTCATGCCCTATGTCTTGAGACAAGTGTTCAGTGTAGAAAAGGGACCTCGGTGGCTGAGTGGTCAAAGTAGTTCATCTACTGTATCACAAGTCTGTCAACACTGATGTTGTGAGTTCAAATACCGCACTAGCAGGTGCGTTCTACTCCAATCTTAATTGACTAGGAGTGTCAGTTTTCCTGCCAAAGGTCGGTGGTTCTCCCTGTGCACTCCGGCTTCCTTCACAAATAAAAAACTGACTGACACAATATAGGAAATAGTGCTGAAAATGGAGTTAAACACCTGGACACAATACAGCAAATAGTGCTGAACGTGGAGTTAAACACCAGCAGCCAATCAGTCGGTGTAGGCAGGCATCCAGGGTATGCATGGTTTGGTTAACCTTTTAGATGGGTTTTCAGACACTTGTATAGTTTGACAACAAAAAAATGGTTACAGAGAATGTGGGTAGTGAATTATCAAAATGTGTATTTACATGTAGGCTAAGGTAAATGCATTGCTTTGCATGATGAATGACATGATTTCTGCCTGAAAAAAGCTTTGTTTTCAACAGCTAGAAACTTGGAAAAGCTATTTGAATATTGTAAGTAAAATTTTCCTTTTGCAAGAAAAATGGTCGATACATGGTACATTATTTATTATAGTGTCATTTATTTATTTTGTGTCAGTGATCTTAGTTGCTATATTGAAAATAAAGGTGACATAAGATCATTTTTTTATTTTGAAAGATAAATATCGATAATTGTAGGTTTTGTTTACTGCAACAAATATATCTATATCTCTTTTCACTCCACTCTACTTGTGATGGCATGTTCTGTATATTTTGTTTTATATATGAAAGTCTAAATTCTTCATGAAATGGAGAATCTCATTAGACATTCAAAGTAATAAAATAAAATGTGCACAAGTTTATGATTGTCCTTTTCAATTAAATAGACACTATCTTGACATGTGAAACTATTCTGAAGTCAAGTACTAGTAAGAAAATGGAGAAACGTTTTACATTCTCACACTTATAGGCTTGAAACATTCTCATTCCTGTTTAATCCAACAAAAACGTATTTCAAGAAAAAATGAAAATTCAGCATTGAACAACAATAATAAAAGTACATACTATAAAAATAAAATTGAGAATGGAAATGGGGAATATGTCAAAGAGACAACAACCCGACCAAAGAGCAGACAACAGTCGAAGACCACCAATGGGTCTTCAACGCAGCGAGAAAAATCCGCACCCGGAGGTGGTCCTCAGCTGGCCCCTAAATAAAATTGTGTACTAGTTCAGTGGAAATGGACGTCACACTAAACTCCAAAACATATAAATGAACTAAAATTAAAAAAACATACAAGACTAACAAAGGCCAGAGGCTCCTGACTTGGGACAGGCGCAAAAATCATACCACATTTTGTTTTTATATAAAAATATATTAGATTACAAAATGGACATATTTTGAGAGCACTGCATAAAAAAAAAGATTAGGAATTTTCTGATCAAATTTTTATATTTGTGAAGAATTTGGAAGCTTTGATTAGTTTTTATGTTTTGGTCTGTTTTTCGAATATTATAAGCACTAGATCAACTTTATGTGATGTATGGAACGATTGTAAGGTGTACATGTCTGTCTGGCAGTTATCATCTTACCTTAACCTCATTTTCATGGTTCATTGGTCAGTGTTTAGTATTTGTGTTTTGGTCTGTTTTTCTTTACTATAAACAATAGATCAACTATATTTGGTGTATGGAATAATTGTAAGGAGTGCATGTCTGTCTGGCAGATATCGTCCTTGATCTCATTTACATGGTTCATTGGTGAATGTTAGGTTTGTCTGCTTAAATCTGTTTTTAGATACTATAAGCAATACGGTCAACTATATTTGGTGTATGGAATGATTGTAAAGTGTACATAGATATAAGAAGATGTGGTATGAGTGCCAATGAGACAACTCTCCATCCAAGTAAAAATTTATAAAAGTAAACCATTATAGGTCACAGTACGGTCTTCAACACGGAGCCTTGGCTCACACCGAACAGTAAGCTATAAAGGGCCCCAAAAAATTACTAGTGTAAAACCATTCAAACGGGAAAACCAACGGTCTGTTTGGTTTGGTTTATCTGACCTCGACTTTCATTTTCATGGATCATTGATAACGTTAAGTTTATGTGATAATTGAATTAAAACTTTATCTTTAGGACTATCAACATAAAATCCATCATGGTTAGTAAAACAGGCGAGACATTTCAGCGTGTGTAGTCACTGTGCACTCTTGTTAAGTCATATGCACAAACAACAATGCGATGAACAAGTTTGTAACAAAAAAACACACACAAATTGTAGAACTAAAGATTGAGTTTTTTTTTCTCGCAAAATTCAACTACAACATTTGGAACATAACATTCAAATGCGCCATTTGATACACAAAATTCATATGAACCAAAGAGTTTGTAAAGCCACATATGTATTCAACATAGGAAAATAAAGTTGGTAAAGTCAAATTCACATACAATTATATTTAACGTTTAGTCAGTTAATCCAAAAACACAATCAGATAATTATTAGGTCAAATATATGAAAATCAAAGTGTTATTCGGTGTTATTTATCGCTATTATAGAAAAGTATGATACAATGTTGCATATGTGACGTAATTTTGCAATATTCAGCATCAAGGAGCATTCAAAAGCAAATGACTTATTTTACATCTAAGAGGCAGTACATATTTTAACTTTCGATTGAATTTAGGTTTAGGTAAACCTGTCCATTTTATTCATTTGTTTGAAAAATAGCCAAAGCTTCCAAAATCCTGTAAAAGTCCAGCTTAGAGTTAATTTAGAAGACTTTTATAAAAACAATTCATAAAAAATTGACCCTACCTCTTTGTAGGTTGGCACATTTGTAATATAGCTTTACAAATTTCACAGTTACGAAATTGTTAACAAGCGAAAGGGTAATGCATAAAAATAAAGACCATTACGCGACTATTAGAAAAAAAACATCTCCTGGGTTGTAACAGGTTTGTTAAGATGTAGTCTAATTGTCTCATCCTCGTAATTTATGTTTTTCTAACATTTAAAAACAGTATATGAAGAACACTGTTAAGTCACTTCGTAACAATTATAGACGATGTTGTTGTTTATATCAAATTTCAACTGGTTTTTGTCGAGCCTGCGACTTTTGTCGCAGAAAGCTCGACACAGGGATAGAGATTTGGCGGCAGCGTCGGCGGCGTTAGCTAACTTCTTAAAAGCTTTATATTTTAGAAGCAAGAAGATCTGGATGCTTCATACTTTGTATATAGATGCCTTATGTTACGAAGTTTCCGTCTGTCATATGTCCATTGTCCTTGACTTCATTTTCATAGTTCAGTGACTACTTGAAAAAAAAGTCAACATTTTTTGTAATGTTATTTTCTTTCTTATTATGAGTAATAGGATAACTATATTTAGTATGTGGGTACCTTGCACGGTCCCCATGCCCGTCAGACAATTTTCATTTGACCTCGACCTCATTTCATTGATCAGTGAACAAGGTTGAGTTTTCGTGGTCAAATCAATATATCAGATACTATAAGCAGTAGGTCTACTATATTTGGTATATGGAATGATTGTAAGGTGTACATGCCCAACTGGTAGGTGTCATCTGACCTTGACCTCATTTTCATGATTCAGTGGTCAAAGTTAAGTTTTTGAGTTTTGATCTTTTTTTCTAATACTATTAGAATAGGTCAACTATATTTGGTGTATGGAAATATTTTATGATGTACATGTCAGTCTCGCAGGTTTTATTTGACCTTGACCTCATTTTCACGGTTCATTCAACTATAAGCAATAGATCAACTATATTTGTTGTATGGAAAGATTGTAAGGTGTATATGTCTGTCTGGCAGGTATCATCTGATCTTGACCTCATTTAATGGTTCATTGGTCAATGTTAAGTTTTCATAGTTAAGTTTGTTTCTTAGATAATATAAGCAATAGGTCAACTATATTTAATGCATAAATTGATTGTAAGGTGTACATGTCACAAACACAACATAGAAAACTGAAGACTGAGCAACACGAACCCTATAAAAAAACCGGGTGAGATCTCAGATGCTACGTAAGTGCTGATATCATTGGTTTTCCCAAAAGCAACAACAGATAATTTGTCAATAAAAAACAACTTGTATATCATCAGTTTAGACAAACAGTTTGAGGTTTTTTAGGAATAAATATTTACGATTTGACAAAAGTGAAGGTTTGTCTTTTCGTAGTTTTCGATTTTTGCCTTGGAATTGTCGACTCTTGAGTTTGAATATCCCTTTGGTATTTTTCGCCTCTCTTGATTACTTTTCATACTACTAGTATTGTTTATAACCTGTCTTTGTTTATTAATTCAAGAATTTACAGGATTCACAGAAACTTTAATTCTACAATGTACCAAAATTAGCGATAACATTACTAACCCCTCTCTACTTGAAAAAACATCTTTGAAAGGTCTAAGGGTCTTCCAATTACACGTTAGTTAGATTTCGCTTCTGTCTGGTCATTAAATATGGCATACTTTGGTATAAATATTGATTCACTCCTAAGATAACATATTATAAAGTGATAACAAATTCAATGAAATTAAAATAAATTATATGATCTTAGCATTAATCCTATGATTTTCGTAAAAGTTGTCTACCTCTTAAGAAAATTATAATGTGTTATAAATATATATTGAAGTACGCTATTACTTGACTAAATATAAGGCAAATACAACAGAACAATGAATCACACCTAATGATAATGTATTTTGTTGATAAACGCGAAATCTAACTAACGTGTAATTGGGAGACCCTTAGACCTTTCAAAGATGTTTTTTCAAGTAGAGAGGGGTTAGTAATTTTATTGCTAATTTTGTACATTGTAGAATTAAAATTTCTGTGAATCCTGTAAATTCTTGAATTAATAAACAAAGACAGGTTATAAACAATACTAGTAGTATGAAAAGTAATCAAGAGAGGCGAAAAATACCAAAGGGATATTCAAACTCAAGAGTCGAAAACAAACTGACAATTCCAATGCAAAAATCGAAAACTACGAAAAGTCAAACCTTCACTTTTGTCAAATCGTAAATATTTATTCCTAAAAAACCTAAAACTGTTTGTCTAAACTGATGATATACAAGTTGTTTTTTATTGACACATTATCTGTTGTTGCTTTTGGGAAAACCAATGATATCAGCACTTACGTAGATAGTGGGTAAAGGTCTAGATGGGTCATATACGTTTTTAACACTCTTCTTATTTTTTGCAATGACATTTATATTGCTAACAAATCAGACTTCAAACCTAGACACTCTGTATCATTTTTACTTCCTTCACTTGGAAATGTCAATCTCATTATTGTGTGAAATTGAAAATTACCCCGTAGAGTGTTTCCCATTTTGAACATTAAGCAGATACGGTGGTTTAGAGAAATGTTGAAAATCAAATTCACATAATACAACATATAAATGGGTAAACCAAAAAAAACGCTTTAGACGCTAGAAATTTATAAAGTCTTATTTCATTCACAATTAATGCATGAACGACATGGCGGGTGCCACATGTGGAGCAAGATTTGCTTACCCTTCCGGAGCATCTGAGATCTCCCCCGGTTTTTTTGTAGGGTTCGTGTTGCTCAGTCTTCAGTATTCTATGTTGTGTTTGTGACATGTACACCTTACAATCAATTTATGCATTAAATATATTTGACCTATTGTTTATAGTATCTAAGAAACAAACTTAACTATGAAAACTTAACATTGACCAATGAACCATTAAATGAGGTCAAGGTCAGATGATACCTGCCAGACAGACATATACACCTTACAATCCTTCCATACAACAAATATAATTGATCTATTACTCATAATTGAATGAACCGTGAAAATGAGGTCAAGGTCAAA